TTCTGCGGCTGCTGCGTTGCAGTCGGAGATCCTCCCCCACCTAAGGAAGAAGCCATCATCCCGAGTAGACTCGGGAGACGTGGGTGCCTCACGTAGAACGGTGTATGTCCAGTCGAGGCATGCACCGAGTTGTTGATGGCGAACTTCACCATCGGCAGGCACTCGCTTCAGTGTTGGAACGAGTGAGCGTAGCTCTTGAGCACGTCAACGAGCACGCGATTCACGCGCTCGGTTTGTCCGTCCGTCTGCGGATGGTCCGCAGTCGACATCGAAAGTTGACTCCCAAGAAGTGTAAACACTTCTTGCCAAAGGTGCGCAGCGAAGCGCGGGTCTCGATCCGACACAATGTCGATCAGCATGCCATGGTGTTTGAACACCATGTCGACGAACAGACGTGCAGTCTGCTTCGCAGTCACTTCAGCGAGTACGGCAGCAAGATGTACCATCTTGCTGAAGCGGTCAACAAAGACCACAACGCCCGTGTGCCCCTGGCTGTCCGGGGAAAAGACCGAACACGAAGTCCAAAGACATGGACTGCCAACACTCCAACGGAGGCGGGAGTGACAGCAAGGGAGCCTGCGCGATAGGCGCAGGCTTCACACGTTGACAAACCTCGCAAGCACGGACGTACTTGCGCACCCATTTATACTGGTTGGCCCAGTAGAAGTCCCGCGTGAGAAGAAGGTATGTCTTCTCACGGCCCGGATGCCCCGCAGTCGGTGCATCGTGATACTCATACATGACCCTGAGTCGCAGGTCATGGTCATTGGGCACGACAACGCGGACCGCGTTGTCGTCGACTGCACTGTAGAGTAATAACCCGTCGTGCACCCGATAACGGTGTGCACGAGCACGAAGATGCTTCGGCAGCTTCTGACAAGCTTTGTCAGAAGGCGCTGAGCCATAGGCGAGCAAGAGCTTCGTGTCCGCGTCGTGCGCGTACGCGACCTTCACGTCGTCCAACAGTGACGACGTTGGGGTGCTCGATCGCATGGCGTCAATGGCATTGACGTCGGCATCAGTCATGGCGTAGTCAGGTCGACGCGAGAGCGCGTCGGCCACCACATTGAGTCTTCCGGGTTTGTACTCAACCCGGAAGTTATACTCTGCGAAGAATGAGAGCCATCTCGCCATCCGTTGCGAGATGTGCGGCGACTTCACAGCTGTCCGCAGCGACGCGTGGTCCGTATAGACCACGAACGGTTTGCTTCCGAGTAGATACACTCGGAACTTCGCGAGTGCGTACATCATGGCAAGGAGCTCCTTGTCATGTACCGGGTAGTTGCGCTCAGCTGGCTTCAGCTGACGCGATTGGTAGTAGACGACACGATCACGGCCCTCGTGATCGTGCTGCATCAACGCACATCCGATTGCGAAGTCGGATGCGTCACACACAACGTGGAATGGGCGATCTTGGTCGGCCACCGCCAAAATCGGCGCCTCAGTCAAGCCCCGCTTGACTGCATCGAAGGCCTGCTGACACTTAGCAGTCCAAACCCATTCGGCGTCCTTCTTCAGGAGCTGTGACAGCGGGCGTATCATGTCCGCGTAGTCCTTCACGTACTTACACAAGTACGTGGCCAAGCCAAGGAACTGCCGCAGTTCCTTGACGTTCGACGGCGCCGGCCACTCATTGATCACTCTGACCTTCTCCGGGTCAGGGCGGACACCGTTCTTCCCAACGAGACACCCGAGCACGGGTATCCCGCTCGCCCCGAAGATGCACTTCTTCAGGTTCGCATAGAGCTTGTGCTTGCGCATGAGCGCAAGCAGCTTCCGGAGATGTACCTTGTGCATCTCAACATCGCTCATCCCGTCCGCAGCCCGGCTGCGAACGAACACATCGTCGAAGTAGCTCGGTGCGAAGTCGCCCACCGAGCGCAACAAGTGCGTCACGCACCTGTTGAAGGTCGCAGGGGCGTTCTTCAGACCCTGCAGCATCACTAGCCACTCCCAGAGCATGCCGCTCGGCGTGCTCACAGCCGTGAGAGGGATATCGCTCTCACGCATGAGGATCTGATAGAACCCATCGCGCAGATCAAGAGCACTGTAGATAGTGCTCCTGGCCATCGAATCGATGATGACATCTTTTCGCGGTATCGGTGTCTGCGCCGGTCTCGTCTCATCGTTCAGCTTGTTGTACGCATGAACGATGCGCCAGCCGCCCTGTGGCTTCTTCACACAGAACGTCGGAGCACTGTGCGGGGATTTCGATTCCCGCACTTGTCCAGCTTTGCGACGACTCTCAAAGAAGTCGTCAATCGCCTTGACCTGCTCTCGCGGCAGTGGCCACTGCAGTACTTCGTGCCCGGCACGAGATCAATCTCGTGCTGGATGCCCTTGTCCTGCGGAAGCTCCGCAGGGATCTCTTCCGGAAGCACGTCCGCGTGCTCCCGTAGAATCTCGTAGAAGGGACTCGTCTTCAGCGAGTCCCAGCTGTGCTCCTCAAAGCGCTCCTTCTTAGTCTTCGCACTGAGAGTGTCCTCGCTCTCAGTGGTGCTCTCCATGAAGAACTGCCTCAGTTCTTCATTCTCGCTCTTCGTTCTCTCGGCGTCCGAGAGAATGCATATTTGCTCGATGCGTCCATCGTGCAAGTCACGCGCGAAGCGCTTCCAGCTCATGACTGGAAGCGAAGTCAACTCCGACGCTTGCGTCGGAGGATTAGCGAGAGTCATCTCCCTGTACCGGAACCCGGCACAGGTACGCGTCAAGACGTTCAACGACTCGACGTCCGGCTTCTCAGCACCCGTCTGCCCGGCAGACATTTCTTGTAGCGTCTCGGCCCAAGGCCGAGACTTGCGCAGCGACCTTCGCATGCGCCGTCTTCTTGCTTTGCGGAGCCCGGCTCCGCTTAATTCTTGATCCCGTCCAGGCCCAGCCGTGGACGGGTGTTCTTCTTGTATACCACCGGCGGGTATATCCCGCGGGCGAGCGACTTCAAGCCCGGCTTGGTCGCCTGGCGCTTCGTCGTGCAGCCCGGATGCACGACAGCATGCAAGTTTTTCCGGTGTGGGACGTTTGCAACCGTCCGCACCGCTTGTAGCGTCGGCTCCCGGAGCCGACACGCCATCTTCACCTCGACGCCTGTTATTGGCGGAGCCCTTCGTTGCAAAGGGTGCGTCGACTCCCGAAGTCGACGCGAAATTCCTTTTCGCAGCGCCGGTTCCCGGAACCTTCAATACCTCGACGCCAACCATTGGCGGAGACCCCCATTACGGAGGGTGCGTCGGCTCCCCGAGCCGACGAATCGAATTCACCCGATCCATCGACTCCCAGAGTCGACGGCGTTTCGTCACCTTGGCTCTTATTATTGGCCAAAACTGATCCAATCAGATTCGCGTCAGCCTCCACGGCTCAGGCGTGTGACTCGCCTGCGTCATCCGTGCCCCTTGAGGTCGGAGACTCTTCCTGATTCGCTGAAAAGCGGGTGTCGATCTCCGAGATCAACCCATTTTCTCCTTCAGCCGTCGGCGGCGACGCCGACGCTTGCTGCTCTTGCGCGCGCCCAGGGCGCGCGGAACTGCATTACCAGTAGGGCGCCCCGCGCCTACTGGCGTCCAGCGTTTTTTGTTTGGTTGCGACGGTGCCCGGCACCGCCGCGATAGCTACCCTGCTGGTGCACGGGGGCCGTGCACTCCGGAGCAAAGTGACCGATTCTACCGCATCGGTAGCATCGCACATTGTTTCCTTGCGACTGCTGGGGTCCAGCAGTTGCAGCGCTCGAGAAGTCCATGGGTTCTGGGCCTCCCGTCCTCACTATCGGGCGAGGCTGTGGCCTCGGCGCATGTGCATGCAGCTTAGCCTGCCGCAGGCTAAACTCCTCCTGCATTACAAGAGTGATTGCAGCTTCGAGAGTACTCGGGTACTCACGGAAGAGATAGGTCTTCACAGGCCCATCTCTCAGTCCCTTCATGAACGTGACGACCTTGGTCGCCTCGTCGATCGGATTGGTCACGATGTTCGAGACCAAGTACCGTGCTCTCTGAGCGTAAGCATGGACATCATGCTTGCCCTGCTGCAGGTCGAGGAACTCCGCCCTCGACCGGAACTCGTTTTGCGGGGGCTCAAACGCTTGTCTGAGCTCTTCCTTGAATCGCTCGTACGTGCTAAAGCACGTAGGATCCGAGAGTCGGCGTCCATACGCCCAACTTCTTGCACGTCCGCCAAGACATGACATGGCGAACGCGACCTTCGACAACGGGTCGACGATGCGTCGAGCCGCAATGGCAGTGTCGAGTTCGACAAGCCAACGGAGGAGAGGCTCGCCCTCTCTTCCAACGTAATTGCTCACGCTGAGCTTCAGCGATTGCGCGCGCGGTGTCGTCCCCAACGACACCGTGGCAGACGAAGCAGCATCTCGCTGCTCCCTCATGATGAACCCCAGAGCAACACCATGTTGCTCTTTCGGCGATAGCGATCGCAGCATCGCAGCTACTGCCGCCTCCCCAATGACTGTTGACAGTCGTTGGGGTGCCTCCCACTCTGGATCCGACAGGTGGAGGCAGTCAGCGCGTGAAACATGAGTTGCAGGCGAAGTGGAGCTTTCCATGGACACCTCCGCGCTCATGAAAAGATTCTCGGCTCCTCGTTCGTACAGCTCCGTACGAACGTTCAGGTAGTGCTACCAGATGTAGTGGGCCTACCTTGGCTCACTACTACGGCTTACTCGTATGCGCACGTGTATGAGGAAGCGTAGATTTCTTTTACTTGGTTAAGTATACTCGAGATCCATGAGTATACTTTAAACAAGATAAAGACTCCAAATAGCGGGGTTTGGTAAAAGATGAGAACTGCTATTTTTGTTTTATGTTTCTGAATGTGTATGGACCACCCGTCGTGGTGGTCGTAAATGTATGTAGCCATTGGTGTACCTTACATCAAGGTCGAGGAAGTGTTCAAACCTCTAACAGACATCGCATCTGTTAGAGGTACAAGTGACTGTAGCCACTTGTGCGTGTAACCCCGTTACAGAAAAGGCCGAGACAATGGAGGCCATATTCGACTACTTCAAGAAGAGGAATGGGAAATGGAGTGATGTCCAGTCCTTTGTCATTGACGAGCACTTCACTGAGTGGAAAGTGTTGAACAAGTGTTTTCCGTCCGCCTGGGTGTTGCTATGCCAGTTTCACGCAATCGCGTTCTGGAAAAAGCTACTCCGAAAGCGCTGCTTTCGCCTCAGCACGTCGGAGAAAGACCAGATTCAAAAGTTCTTCGCTGACATGCTGTACAGGTATGTAAATCTTAGTCTTTTATTCACTTTAGGTGCTAGTCAATCACTGACCCGTGTATGAATAAGCTCGACGGGAGTCCGTTTTGAGCAGATATACTCCAAGTTTGCTACTTGCTGTGAGACAGGTCATAGAGAGGATGTCAAAAACTATTTTGATAAAAACTGGAAGACGTGTTTGCCGATGTGGGCAAACTTTGAGCGCAGCAAGTGTTTCAGCGCTGGAAATACGACAACTAATCGAATTGAGTCGAATTGGAACCAGCTCAAGATGGTTCTCGGAAAGCGGACAAGTATTGACAAGTATGTTTCCGCACTTCTGCAGCACCAAGCGCATGTGCTCAGCCAGATAGCTCATGGATTTGCATGCAGCGCTAGAAGTTCGCACTCACCTGCCGGTGTGCCTCTCATTTTACGGAAAGTATCTGGCGTTATGAGCGATTTTGTGTGCGTCGGCGGTGGGATATCTTTATGATCCATGGCGCCGACATGAATTTGGCTCCGGTTCCAAGCTCTTGTGATTGGGAAGTGCATTCGAACGGACGTCGTTTTATCTGTAACGATAACCTGTGGTCCTGTTCGTGTTGGTTTTATACAAGCCACCATCTTTCCTGCGAGTACATTATGGTTGTCGCTATAAAGGAAAGGGGTATAGTGAACTACCAGTGGGGGCATTGGCAACAAGGTGGAACATGGAGCACGCACTTGGATTGCATGATGAGATCGACAAGAACGCGTCCGCTACAGATGACGCTGTGGACGTGTTAATGATGAGCAAACCCTGTAAGATGAAGGCGCCGGTAGATGATGGGAGCGGAAGTTCAACGAGCGAGTCTACCGATGTTCCACAACCGATTTCGGTGAAAGGTGATTCAACAATACACAACATGCGATCCGATCACCGTGGTGAGAGCCCACAGAAGGTTAAGAACGTCACGATTGTCCATCTACAGCGCGAGCAGCGCGGAAATTTGGCAATTTTGTCATCACGCGAGAAGTATAATTTCGCTGTATCCTGTTTCCAGCCTGTGATTACGTACCTACAGAATTAGGGAGTAAGAAATTCTACCCTGCACTTGATTTTTAGCAGAAGGTCTAAGTGAAGATGCAGAAAGACCTACAGATTTAGATGATGGACACGACGAAACAAGTGATACTCTAAGTATGATTGATCCAGTCGACCTTGCCGCGATTATACACGATGTAGCTACATGGGAACAACCAAGTCATGCTGCCAGTAGTGAAGAACCCGATCCAAGTGTTCTAATGGAGGAGTTATTTGGGATACAACCCAGCTCGCTGGTGCATTTTCCAAGGCCATTTGATCCGAGTGAGACCGACATGACGGAGTCCTCATCACCCTTACAAGCCGTATCCAGGCATGTGGAGGTTCCCTCGACCGAAGGTGCTAGCAGATCGGTTTCGACAACTCGTATTGGGAGTCTGCAACTCAGTGAAAAAGAAAGATGCCAGCCTCAAAATGAAAGCGAGAAACACATACGGCGCGGGGGTATCAATGCTATGAATCTTCCTAACCCTGTGGTCCAAGGGAACCCCAAGCGAGAGAAAGTATTGTATTGGGCTAGCAAATCTTCAAACAGAAGATATGTGGATGGTTCCCCTCCCGACGAAAGTGCTCCTCCAAATATTGCTGAGCTTGTGCATTGGGCCAAACACACAAACTCCTTACAAAAAGTGGATGAAATGATAGACCGCTATCCAGTAACGATGAGGAAACGAGCGCTTAAAGGTCGGGCGCCTATCGTTGAGGCCACCTCCAGCGCCGTTGCCCGAGGATGCTGTCATGCATTTGACATCCCGGAAGGTCTAGTAAAATCCATATCGGCAGCTCTTCTAGCCGACAGATCTGCTATGATCCGAAAGTCTGAAACGCAAGGAACCAACCCATCCAAGTCGAAACATGAGATAATTGACGTCGACTCAAGCCCGACCGACGTGCAAGAGAAAATTGTGAAACTCAAGGCATCAGGGCCTAGCTTTTCCAGGTATGTATTTTCGAATGCTGCGTTGGTGGAATGTGATCAGTACTAATACGTGCGATATATGTGTTATCTTTGCAGCAACTGTGTCGATGCTATTAGAAGCTTTTACAACTGCAGAAAGCAAATTACGTTATGGGAAGTGGACTTAACGTGGCAGAAGAAAGACTGGTCGAAAAACAGCGCTGTTGATGTGGAATTTTTTGCGTTCGAAGTCAGCGCCCGTGAGCTACCCAGAGAGAAAGTCAAAGCGCTGCATGTTCGACTGGCGGATGGCGGGAATGCTGGCTTTGAATCCGCTTGCTTACAATCGTACTACTCAGTTCCATCGACGAAAGTGACGATTTTCTTCTGGGAAATCGTTGGATATATTACCGGGACCGTGTGGCTGAATGATTCGGCTGTTAATTGCGGACTTCAGGCTATGGCGGGCTGTCGGCCCGACGTTCGAATTCTACCGTCGCACGTGTTGAAAAAATGGCTTCCCCAAACGAAAGCAGACACAAAAAATGTCTGACATGACTATTATGATCCTCCCCATCAACAACAAGGGCATTCATTGGACACTCATAATGGTCACCGTCAACTACACAAATTCAAGGAAGCTGGACGTCCATTTTTACGACCCGTATCCCGGACGGCCTTACCAGACAGAAATCTAATCGGCATGGGAGAAACAGTTCTGGCCGTTCATGCAGCGCTGGCACAAGGATACGGTTGGTGGTCATAACCCGACTATTGACAAGCATTGGATAAACAAGCCCACCCAGCCCGATGGATCGAGCTGGGGTTATGATTACAGCGGCTGCATATTCCTACGTGCAAGGACAACGCAAATTTGAGTTCGAAAAGATTTCTAACGAAGCGGTGGAGGTAATGCGACTACGAATACTGTGGATGATTTTGTGCAACTACTGTGGGCACAATTGACAAGGGAGATAGTGCTGCTGCAACTAGAACGGATGCGAAGCTAGCGCTTGCATTTCTGAAAGAGGAGCGAAACGAATGACCTTCAATCTACGTATACGTTTACTCGAGTACTATTTTTTGTGCTCATAATTTCGATTTTCTGATGTAGTAGGGGTTCTCACGGTTGGTAGGTTTGCAGGTTGCAGGTAAAACTGACCACAGTCAGATTCTTCGTGCATAAATTTTCCTTTTACGAGCGTCAGTTAGTGGATCGAGGCTAGCTGTAGGCGGGACCGACACGAGCAAAGCCGGTCTGGCCGCCAAATGTTCTGCTCGTGTGTTACAATTTTGTGTACGACAGTCGCCCCGGACGTCAAAATATTTCCCTCTGCACTAGATCGACGAGAGTGGGCATGCGGCCAAACATCCCTGGAAGCGGAAAGATTGCCACACGCCTCTAAATTTCTTCTAGTGGGAGGCAGTAGTCAGCATTAGTAAATGTGGCCGATCTGAGTTACTAATAACTGCAGTAGTATGAGTTGGCTCCTCGTCCCAAAATAATAGCAACTGTAGTATTTAGAGCATCATTTTAATAGTGGTATCAGTGGAATAGTACTGTAGTTCAAAAAAATTACTTTCAATTCCTGGTCACAACCTTACCCATTTTTGGTACTCATATAAATTATAAGAGATGTACCATCCTTATGGTACCGAATAAAAAAATTTAAGAAGCCTCAGCCGCCTTTCAAAGTACCGTCCAATTTGGATGCGATGGCGCACCCCCCGGTTAAGAAGCAGGAGTTCCTGGGCGCCGTGACGCTGGTGTCCTTCTCGTGCGATGGGTCTCTACTTTACGTGGGTGTGGGGCCTACGATTTTCCTGTACGCCACTGCTACGGGCGAGCTCCTGGGAGAGCACAGCGTGTTGACGCGAGGCATTCTGCACGGCTGCGACGTCGTCGGACTTCATGGGCCCAGCAGCACTGACACCGGGACGTTTGTGGGCGCATTCTTTGGGCAAAAGCGAGTGGCGTGTTTCAAGGACCTTCCGCAAAATCCGGAGGCTGCGCAAGCGCTTGGAGGGCTGACGGTGCTCGGGAAACCGAAAGTGTTCTGCGACTGGGTGTTCGACGTGCAGCTGCTGACAGACGACTTCGCGTCTGAAGAGGAGGAGGAGAACAAGAAGCTGCTGGTGGCAGTGGGCCTTGCGCACAACTTGGTGCAGATCTGGGACCCGGTGCGCAACAATATTCTGCGCAGCGTGCAGTGCGCTGAGCGCTGCATTTTGTACGCGTTGTCATTCCACGGACGATCACTGGACAAGCTCGTGGTGGCCTCGGGAACGGTCTTTCAGCAAATATTGATCTGGAATCCTATGCAAAATGCTGGCGACGACACGGATCCTGCGGTGGAGCCGGCGCAACGACTTCATGCTCACGATGGCGTCCTGTTCAAGCTGGCATGGTCGTCGGATGCTCGCGCTCTCACTTCCGTCTCTGACGATCGTACAGTACAGCTATGGTCGAACATTGGGCAACCTACAGTCGAGCAATTGCTAGGAGCACGAACAGCAAGCCGGTCGGAGTTGCTTGCAAAGGAGTACTCGCCAGTGTTCCGGTCCTGGGGCCACTCGGCGCGGATTTGGGACGTTGCTTTTTGGAAGCACGGCGTAGTGACGGCAAGTGAGGATGGCCTGTGCAAACTGTGGGGTCTCGATGGCAAATGCGTAGCTACATTTCAAGGACACATGGGCAGGCATGTGTGGCGTGCAGCAGTCCACCCGTCTCAAAAGATCATTGCGACTGGAGGTGGTGATGGTGCTGCGAAACTCTGGGATATCAAGCGCCAGCTCATGTCCACCACCGATGCGCCCGAAGCTAGCGAATGGAGTAAAACTATCCGCGTCCCATTCGTTGCGCCAACGACTGTGTCGAAAAAGAAGAAGGGGGGTCAATCCCACAGCGTGCGCAACATCGTGATCAGTTCTCGAGAGGAAGGCAAAACTGCATTTGTCGCCTCTGAGCACGGAGAGATCTATCGTTTGGACCTGCCTTCGCTCGCGGCGGAACTTTTCTTCACAATTCCTCCATTTGACGATGCCCCGGCGCAAACAAGAACCGGAGGTCTCTCGACATTTGCAATCGACAGTTCTGGGCGATTTTTGCTGCTTGGTGACGTATCGGGTCGTGTATGTGTTGTCGAGGCATCTACCGGCACTTTGCTGCACTCGTGGACCGCACATGCCAACATCCGGATCATGAAGATGTGGTGGGATCAGGATGACACCCTTTTCATTAGCAGTGCTAGTGGCATTCTTTCCGAGTGGAAGCCATCTATTGCCGAGCAGACCGACAGCTCGATATCACCGTTTATTTCGATGGAACTGGTCGCGTTGTTCAAGATCCCCGCCAAGAGCTCGGTCTCATCGATCCTGGTGGTAGATCGCTCTGCGACGAGGAATATCATCGGAGGCGATGGACATGGCAGTGTGTATATCTTCCAACGCCCGCTAGGTGCCAGCCAAAGTGGCGATAACATCTCCGATGTGCGAAGCGCAGGCGTCGTGCGCAAGGGTGTTCACGGCCGCGAATTGGTGGCATCTCTTCTACTTTCTGAAGAAGTAGACAGTTCCCAAGCCCAACACGCTGTCATGTTTTCGGGAGGTCACGACGGGTATATTTGCTCGTTTGCGCTTGAAGAAGATGTGAGTGGAGCGCTGACGGCTACACAGGTTGGCCGCGAATCCATCCGAGGCATCTCCACAGTCAAGCAACTTTGGTGGAACTCACCGTCTTCCGAGGGCAACACGAAGAGGGATCTCATGGTGTTCGGCTTCCACGCGGCGCAAGCTGTTCTGCACAATTTCTCAGCTCAGTATCGAGTCTTCAATGTCGAGTGTGGAGGATGGCGTCGCCCACACACTCTTTTCACTAGTGCTCATGGCAAGGGCTCGTGCGTGCCCTCGCACACGTTCGTTTTCACACCTCCTTCAACTCAGAAGCAGCATGTAGATATCAAGGTGCATTCGACCCTTTTGGGGAATGCAACTTTATCGGAGACGCCCGCGCTATTTTCCAGGTGCTCACTGCATGACCAGCATCATGGCCGGATGACGACTTGTGTGGCATTCCTTGGTAATGACCGACTCGTTACTGCAGCAGAGGACAATAGTCTGATGCTACACCGTCGTCGCTTTCGACGTGACCACAATAGCTGGCGTTGGGGAAGCGTGGCCACTGGGATCGCACATACGACTACGGTGCGAGCTCTCACAACATTCCAGCGTAAAACTGATGACGGTGTCGTGGATCATATTGTGCTATCGGGAGGTGGAAAGCAGCGTTTAAATGTGTGGCTAGTTTGTGGAGAAAGCGATTTGCTCCGGCATCTCTGCGGCCAGGAGCGCGCGGATGCAGAGCAGGACCACCGCATTCTTGGGTTGGCAACTTTTGCGATACCCTCTGTGTCGGACGCGTATCGACTTGTGACTGCGTGCAACTCCGAGGGGTCTACCCAGCTCCTGCTACTTGACGTGAATCATGGCAAGCTGTACGAGCTTGGTGACTGCCGTTCAACTTCAAGAAAGCCGATTCTGTCCTGCGTTGGATTTGAGGAAGGCGGAATTGCTGGATTGGCAGTAGGATCAACGGATGGCTTAGTGACGCTGTGGGACCTGAGCATGCTGCTGAAGGAGCTTGCGTCCCTTCTCCAATCACAGGAGGACAAGAACCTTTTCAATGCGAAACTTCTCGGACTGATCAGCACCATGCAGCCAAGTGGGAACTACTTGGCCCATGACATGGGCGCGAACTGCATCAACCTTGCCAAGTGCGCGAAGAGTGAGGAGGAAGGTAGCCTCGACGTTACTCTTATTAGCGGCGGAGACGACCAGAACTTGCTGCTGCGCGAATTGCGCTTCCCAGCGTGCCAGAAGTTATCGGAGACTCGGGCAGTAAATGCCAGCGGATCGGCTATCAAAACCGTTGCGTGCGTGGATGCACAGGTTGTTTTCGCTGCTGGTTATGATCAACGAGTGAGCAAGTGGATCATACGCCGCGACGGTAACGAAATTCAACTGGAATGGCGAGGTGCAGCCTTCTCCGAGTGCGCCGATGTAGCAGATCTCGCCATTCGCCAAGCTTCAACTGCAGAGGCTGATGAAGTCGTGGTCGTTGGCCAAGGTCTGCAAATGATGAGCTTCCAACGCGAGTGAAAGCGTTAGCACAAAAGATAGACTGGTGCGAGCGAGTGAATAGAATTGTATGCATTTTTCTGTTTATTTTTGCTAAGAAAATATCCACATCGCCAGCTTTAGAAGAATGGACCACACGCAGCAGCAAATACTTCTTGTCGCGCTTCGAGTAGCCTGAGGCAATCAAGCTTCCCTCCTTTACCCGCTTCAGTTTGCCATCACCCTCGTGCAAAAGACGCTTGGACATCCGATGCTGAATGACGGTACCGCGACTCCCAGCTTAAGAGCGCAGAACCCACCGTCCACTACAGCGACGACGAAAAAAATCTTCAACCAAAATCCAGTCCCCACACGCCGACAGCGCCTATTGACCGAAGGTGTTTTCGCCGCTGTAGGTGATGTAGAGGAAACCATCCACGTCTTTCTGTTCTTCGTAAATGTTCGACATCAGTGCCGCTAAAGCAGAAAAACCGCAGTAATATACATCAATTAGTACAGAGACAGCAACAAGGTAGCACGGTATGGTCACATACCGGTGGGTGGGAGGACGTTGTTGATGAAGATGAAGATCGCCTTCTCTGGACTCAGTTTGATGCGCTTTCGGATCACATACACGAACTGGCCGACTGTCAGATCGGCCGGCACCAGGTACTTCTTCTTGTCAATGTCCGGGATGTCGCTACGGTCCGCCTTCTCGCAGATGACCTGCACCACAATGGAGAAACTCGCCAGTTAGTTCTCGATTAGCCAACACGAAAACACCTATAGCGTACGCACCGGAATCCGGTCCGGGTACTTGGATCGGATGCGCTGGGCCTCGGCTTGGCGCTTCTCTGCAAAAATGGCACCATCAAACGTCGTTAACCTAAATCTGAGACCGTGGAATCTTGTGGACCTGCTCAGAGAGCTACGCACCGAACGGGTGCTCCTTCTTGAATGAGCTCATCGTTGCAACGTGAAAGACTGGTGGCGTCTTCTGCTCCTGCTCCTGCTAGTGCTTCTCCGAGATAGTTACGTCTGCAGCAAGCCACACAGCAACACAGCAGCGTCTCCGGTCAGTCTCTTTCTCGCTCGGGACCTGGTACCTCCCTTCGAAGGGTCGCTTCACACTATCAGCACTCCGAGTTCGCGCGCTGCACCCGCTAAAGCCACTGAATCCGCAGACGGCTGCGGGCGCGAACCGATTTCGGGTTGAGTCAGCGCAGCGTGCGCCCTCTCGCCCCGTGCAGCGCGACTCGAGTGGCACGCGAAGCCGCTGCTCAACCGCCACATGCATCGTAATCCTAATGTATGCAGGGCGGGGCCACGCCTCGATCTGGTCACTTGCCTTCGACGTTTCTTCTCGGCTTCCACTTTCTTTGTGTGGGGGGAGCTAGAAGGCGGAACAAAACGCCGGCGGAACCCGCCGCCCTAGCGGATAGGAATCCTAATCGGAGGCCTAATAGGGTCCCTAATAAGGCGTATAGCTCCGCTCGGATTCGCGCGTGTACTAGCATTTGCAAGGATAAGGTCTTCGAGAATGGTAGATAATTACTGCTAAATCGCTGCTAAAAATCCGAGGACGTGATCATCACTCTGGTTGAACCGAAATGAATCTCGGAAATCAGTATGGCGAATATGCGATCGAGAGCGGGCAAACTATGCGATGCAAGCGTCCTTCAAAGGCGACGGCGTCCGCGGCAAGCAGGCTGCAGTCGAGCACTCCGCAGTGCAATGGTGCCACCGCCAGAGTGGAAAAGGCACGTTCATCTTCTTGCTTCTGGTTGCACTGCAACATGGATAGGGTTGGTCCAGTGCATCTGGGCCATTCCAGCGATGACGCCGCGTTGAGGATCAAGATCGCTTCTCCAGGTGCAATGCTCTTCGGCAATGTTAGCTGTGCGAAGCAGGTAAGCGCAGAAGCGCTCGGCTATTATAGCGACGTCCAAGCGCCGCCGCGGTCGAGAGCTATGGCGGGATCTATTCGACCTCGCCACAGATTCCACGCCCAAGCGCTGCTGCTCATCGAGCAGCACTTGCAGTCGGCTCGCCGCGGCGGAGCGTTGAGAGACAGCTGGCAGCCTTCTTGCTTCTCCACGGTTACCATCTCGCCCAGTCGATTTTTTTGAGTTGCATCAGCCCAGTTTTCAGGCCGCAGGTGTATATTTAGGTGATGGCAATCGCGGCGCAACCAATGCGTCGGAAGTCGACAGCATCGCCGGGCGCGGCTTCATTGGCGGCGCTGGGTCTGATGAGGTGGTGACCCATGACATGGCCATCGTGTACGAGAGCTCGGAGCTCCGTCGCCGCCTTCAACGTGCGGCGGCGCCATTTGGCGAAATCAAGCCAAGTCCATTCAGGCGGCATCCCGCCAAGATGAGTTCCGCGGCGCCACGCTGGGGGTTGTGATTGGCTTAAATGAAAGGTCTGTGATTGGACATAAATGCGCGAAAACCCCGCGATTGGCTGAAATACGTGAAAAACCTCGATTGCCCGCGGGTAAAACCTCGGGGAAAACGGCCCCGGGACCGCGGCCCCCGTTCTTTCTCCGCTTTCTTCGGGAAACCCAAACGCAGACTCGACGCGCACCCCGCACCCACTCGCGGCACACAACCCAAGAACGCTCGGAACGCGCGAGTCGCCTCCTCCCTGCTCTCTCTGTGTACGTGGGTGCATGCGTCCTCTACCCCCAGCGCCGCGCTCTCCCCCTGCGTCCTCCCGCTCTCCCCCGCGCCGTCTGGTCGAAGTGGGCGGGCGGGCGGATCCTCGATCTTTTGCTTCCCTTCCGTGTTCTTTGGACCCGAACCGAGCGAGGGACGAGCGCTAGAGCGCGGTCGGCGCCACATTTGGGAGTAGGAGCCTAGCCGACTGACCGAATCTTCGCTGCGCTGTGCTGCAGATTTAAGCGCCTTCACCCGCCGCTTTCTCCCCAGAATCGTCCACCATGAACCCCGAATAGTGCGTGCCGCCGAGACTGATTTATAGCGGCCACGGACCAGCACCGTACTGACCCCCCCTTGTCTCTTGTGCGCAGTGACTACCTGTTCAAGCTGCTGCTGATTGGTGACTCTGGCGTCGGCAAGTCGTGTCTGCTGCTGCGTTTCGCCGACGACACGTACACGGAGAGCTACATCTCGACCATTGGCGTGGACTTTGTGAGTGGCGAAAATAGGCCTTGTCTGCCCTCTCGAGCGGACGCTTTAGAGTCCAGGATGGCTAAGGTTTCCGATCCAGTTGCTGACAATATTGTGCCCGTTGTCCCGCCCAGAAAATTCGCACGATCGAGCTGGACGGCAAGACCATCAAGCTCCAGATTGTACGTTCACCCCGGTACATTCGCCGGTTAAGCGCACTTATGGTTCTAACTGGTGGGTGTACGCTTCTGATTATTGGTATTCTAGTGGGACACGGCCGGCCAGGAGCGTTTCCGCACCATCACTAGCAGCTACTACCGCGGTGCCCACGGTATTATCGTGGTGTACGACGTCACGGACCAGGAGTCGTTCAACAACGTCAAGCAGTGGCTGCACGAGATCGATAGGTGCGTTCGATCTCAGAGTTGTTGGGTAGAAAAATCCCGCGGAATGGTGCTAACTGTTGCACCGCTTCGATTTGCAGGTACGCCTGCGAGAACGTGAACAAGCTGCTGGTCGGTAACAAGAGCGATCTGACGGCTAAGCGTGTCGTGAGCACGGACGCCGCCAAGGAGTTCGCCGAGAGCCTGGGCATTGAGTTCCTGGAGACCAGTGCGAAGAACGCCGCCAACGTCGAAAAGGCCTTCATGATGATGGCCGCCCAGATCAAGAAGCGCATGGCCAACGCCCCCGTGGCTCCCAAGGCCGGCGTCAAGCTGACGCCCGGCCAGCAGGTTCCGTCCAACGGCGGATCGAAGTGCTGCTAAGCGGTGTCGTTTAGTCCTGTTCGCCTCGCGCCGCGCGCCAGTTGATTTGTCTGCAGTTTAGCTTTGGAGTCTCTTGCGGCGAGGCGCGAGAAATGGGCTCTGTTGTGCTCGCGGCACCCAGAAGATCAGGACAGGTTAAATACAGTAAGGCTGGTGGTGTGCGGCGCGGGTGAAAGGCTGTTCGAGGATGCGATGGTACTAGGAAAGGAGCGTATGGCAGGTCAACTCCGCCTTCGCTTTTAATGCTGTCGCGTTCTCGGTTTTGGCTGAAAGGAACGACAACGAATGCTACTTTGATTAGTTGTGACCCTATACATGGTATATTCTTTCTCTTTTACAAGGGTGTTTGAGCTTTAAGCTTTGCGTTGCGTTCTCGTTGCACTTGTGTGCGGATTGTAATGGAAGCCTTGCTCGTGACGCGTTTGGCCTTACAGTGAGCCCCTTACTGTTTTGGTGGTGCTGTTCGTGAAAATGCAGTCTGAAGCGAACTGGCAGCACGAGCATCTTTGTAGACCAGGTATTCATGCTCCGGTTGGCGCTTCTTTTGCTTGACGGACTTTAAGATCCATTCTGCGGTCACGACAAACAATGACGAAGTTGTGAGTTAAAGTTTAGATAGCTCACCGTGGACCCTTGATGTACATGTATCTTACCTGGACTAACAAACTTGACTTTGCCGGAGCTCTGTCCATACGTAGATACATGTAGTCTGTTAGTCAATGGAACGCAGCGAAGTTTTGATGAAAGAAACGTAGGTTTGGGCTCTCACCTTGACTACCTTGTCGGCCTTGGATCCATTTAAGTTGGAGCCGACCATGTGCGTAACACGCGTGGCGGTGAGCGCAGAGCTGATGAATAGAACAAACAATAATAAGCAAATCTGTTTGCTGCAACTTCAAATTGAGTCAGCAGAAGACGTACGCGACGCTGCCACCATGCTCCTGCACCAATTTTGCCAAGTAATACCTGCACCGACCCGTGTTAGAGCATATCTGCAACACGTAGCATACTGCTAAATACTGTAGACGTACGAGGACACTTTGCCTGTGCGCCCATTAAACACAATCCGGCATCCCTGAAAACGAATGCCAAAAACGCAAAAAGTCAATCCAAGTCTCGTGAACGCTCCAGCATTTCGTCGCATATATCCACCTTGAATATGTCAGACTCAACGGAATGTTCTGCTTCCTTGCTCTTCCCTTTTGCTGAACAATGAGAAGAAATGCTCTTGTTAGCGCGCAAGTTGCACTTATCGCTACAAACCCCCAGCTCATTCATCACTGACCAGGTTTGCCAGTCTCGTCAGTTTGCGCCTGCTTCTCCCGGAAAAATTGCTCGCGCTTTTTCTCCGCCCAGCGCCTGCGGGTCTCCTCCTCGTCTTCTCGTTGCCGGTCGGTCTTCACTCGCCGCTCGTGACGCGTCGTCGGCCCAGACGGCCCGTTAACAGCAAACATCGCGCACAAAAGTTGCCTTTACCGAAATTATCATCATGGTGCTGATCAATTTTAGACATACAAAAGTAGCAACATATGTGAAATAGTCCCAATTGCGCCCGGTATCCGGCGCAATTGCCACATCAGCAATCGAGATGGAGTTCGCGCACGGCTCGGCGGTGGGCGGGCAGTTTGCTGCGCCGTACGGCCAGCCTCACCCTCAGCAGCAGCAACAGCCACGCCAAGCGCCCGTGGCGAGCATCGACACGGAGCACAATGACATGATCTACGACATTCAGCTGGACTACTACGGCAAGCGCCTGGTCACGTGCTCGTCCGACAGGACGTTCCGCGTGTATGACGTATCGAAGGCCATGGTGGCGGGCGGAGACGGCGACGAGCACTCGGCGCCGAAGGATGTGCAGGAGTCTCAACAAGAGCAGCAGCTTCACGTGCTACAGCACGTGGTGCCCCTGGCCGACGATTCGGCGGCCCCCATCCACCGCGTGGCATGGGCTCACCCAAAGTTCGGCGCCGTGGTGGCCCTGGCTGCGCAGGACGGCAAGGTGTACATCTACCGGGAGGAGCTGGTGCAGCAGGGTGCCGGGGGAGTCGGCAACGTGACGGAATGGCGCCTCAAGCACGTGCACGAGTTCCACTCGCTGGCCGTGTTGAGTGTGGCCTGGGCCCCGTACGAGTACGGATTGTGTCTGGCGAGTGCGTCGGCTGACGGTCAGGTGTCGTTCCTCACGCGCATGCGAGAAGGGTGGGTGGTTTCGTCCAGCTTCCGCAACTCCGACGAGGGCATGGGCTGCACTTCGGTGAGCTGGGCTCCGTACAACTCACTAGGATCGCAGGGGGCGCAAGGGCCGATTCAACGCGTGGTCACTGGGTCGTGCAATCACGCAGTGACTATCTGGCAGTTTGTGAGTGCCCCACAGGAAGGCGCGAATGCTGGCAATAGCTACTGGGAAGTCGTGAACACCCCCTTGTATGGGCATAATGACTGGGTTCGTGACGTGGCTTGGGCGCCGAACGTGGGTATTCCCGCAAATGTTATCGCCTCGGCTTCAGATGATCACACGGTGCGTGTTTGGACTCAAGACGAGGCTGATGGCGAGTGGGAAGCACACGTGGTGCACACATTCCGCGCGCCTGTGTACCGGATAAGCTGGTCGCTGACGGGCTCAGTGCTCAGTGTTGCCGCCGGCGACGACGAGGTCACCTTCTGGAAGCAACAAAGCAACCACGAATGGACGCAGATGTCTTCGGTCACTGACCAAGGAGCAGCTACAATCGCGAGCCACTAGATACTCATCATCAATTAGCAGTGGACTACCGCCACTTGGGGACAACGTTCTCCTTGCTGACGGCAGTTGCTTTCGTTTGCTAAAATACTAGGAGCTTGCTGTGTTCATTTCGTTAACACTGTTTACGCCTGCGTCACTGTTGTCATACCAAGCTCATAGATTTATTACGCCGAGTGGTAAACGCGCATGGCGTACGATGCAACGTCTAGCAACTGGAAGTGTTCACTGGCGCCGTCCACAAGCCTTTTGTCGGCCTCGGCAATGCGCAGACTGATCTTCGCCTTCTGCACGTCGTTCAGCTTGTCCAGCGCCAGAACATCGTCGTTCAGCTGGCGCAAAATCGTGAGCACTGGGTATCCAGCCAGCAGAATGCTCTCAATGTCCGTCTTCATCTTCTCGAAGCTGTTCGACGCCACGGAGACCCAGAATTGCTTCAGAAGCTCGGGCGGAGCAAGACCAGCCACGGCAATGACATCATCCTGGGACAGTTCGTCATCTCCACAGAGCTGCTTGGCACTTTGCAGGTAGTTGATGGCCTTACGCAAGTCACCGTTCGAGCACTCGAGCAGCGATTCCAACACCGGGTCCGGCACATTAACGTGCTCTTCGGAAGCGATGAAGCGCACGCGAGACGCCATGGAGCCCCTCTCAAGTGGGGCAAAACGGAACTTGGCACATCGGGAGGCCACAGGCTCGATGATGCGACTCACGTAGTTACAGATGAGGCAGAAGCGCGTCACCTTGGAGTAGTTCTCCATCATGCGACGCAGCGCCGACTGCGCGTCGCCCGTCATGGAGTCAGCCTCATCCAGCACGATGATCTTGAAGGGAGGGAGTCCGCTGGCGCTGCTAATGGCGCCCTGGGCGAAGCTCTTAACCTTCTCGCGCACCACCTTGATGCCTCGGTCGTCCGACGCGTTCAGCTCCAGGAATCGGCCGTTCTTGCGGAAGTCCGGGCCGAAGAGCTGGCGCCCCACCGCCACAATGGTGGACGTCTTGCCTGTTCCTGGGGGCCCGTAGAAGAGCAAGTGTGGCAGCTGTCCATTGGCGATGGACGTCTTGAGCGTGGCCACTACGTGCTCCTGGTGCGAGATCTCGTCCACGTTCTTCGGACGGCTGGAGCGCAGCAAGCGAAAGGTATGAGTCGTTTGAGTTGCTATAATACAGCTATAGATGTCGGTTAACATGGTACACGTACTACTTCTCCACCCAGGGCAGCACGGGCGCTGGCAGGTTGGTCTTGGAGGTCGACGCGGTGCTGAACATGATCGATCCAAAGGTTTGTTGGACTTCGCGCCACTTTCACAGGTTACGGTTACTCGAGGGTTACTAAAGTTATGTGGGACACATTACGTAACCTGACCAAGTTGAAGCACTCGAGTCACTTTTCGTCTCGAAGAAGAGGAACAAGCAGCCGAGATGGAGATGGAAAACACCTTCGTCTGGACAAGTGTGCGCGTTGTGTGCAGAGCGTGGCTACGTGGGGAGGACCTTCCTCATGCTGTCCAGCAGATCCACGCGTTCATCGGAACCCTTTCCTTGTTCGCGCTACCGAATGTTGTCGACCAGGGAAATAGCTCGTTGGGCCAATTTTACAGGGTATTGCATGCCGTTGACCAAAGCGCGACTCTCGTGCATCACGAGAAGCTGCGTCAGTATCGAGAGGCAATGTACTTGGTCCCGTCAAAGATGTCCCCCGAAGAAGGCGCGCTGGAAGCGATGCAGCAGTTGTACGAGCGATACCCTGGGTGTGTTGACAGAAGAGTGGTAGAAGCAATCGGCGAAATGGCGGATTTACCGACGTTAAAGTGGCTGCACGCATGCGATCCTCGTCTATTTACGAACTTTGGCTGGCTTGACAAACGCGTGTTCTACTATGCCTCGCTAAAAGGCCGAATGGATGCCATTCGTTGGTTGGTGAAGCTATTCCCTGATCAAGTCCGAAGTATAATGTACGTTTCACAAGGGGGCCATCTCAAGCTGGTTAAATGGCTGATCAGGAACTCGAATTGGGATCAGTTGGTTGATAATGCCTTCATTGTAGCGATTGCGAGAGGCCAATTGGAGACGGCTCAATTCCTACACCAGAAACACACGTCTACAAGCATGAAAATGTCTGTAGGTGTGACCTTAGAAGAATACAATTCGGTGATCAGATGGATAACCAAAACTACTTCCAGGAATGAGTATTCTGCAGTTGATGCGGCAGCGTCCGGGGGCCACCTCGACATGATACAGTAGTGGCTGCACGTCAACTTCCCGGAGTGTTTTTCCACGAGAACGATGGATTGTGCTGCCAGAAATGGGCACCTAGAAGTTGTAACATTTCTGCATCGTGATCGTTCAGAAGGGTGCACTGCTAGAGCGATGGACGGCGCCGTGGCAAACGGACATTTCGATATGGTTCAGTGGTTACACCAGAATCGTCAAGAAGGCTGTACGACCGATGCGATGGACTCCTGTACAGATATTGACATCTTAAGCTGGCTAAACGCTTATCAGAACAAGGGCTGCACCGCCAAAGCGATGAAAAAGGCACTGAGAAAGGATCGGTTTGACATCGCAAAGTGGCTCCATGACCAGCAGGGGCTCCACTATCCAGGACCAGTTGGCGGGGGCTGGCGAGCTTGAACTGCTCACGTGGTTACACAGCCATAGAGAAGGAAAGTGGTCCAAGAACACCATGAACGAGGCAGCAGGCCACGGTCACCTTGATGTGGTCAAATTTCTGCACGAATATCGTCGTGAAGGTTGCACCAAGCAAGCAATGAACATTGCAGCAGGCAACAACCACCTGGATGTCGTCAAATGGCTGCACGCTAACAGGCAAGAAGGGTGCTCAGTGTTAGCGATGACTAATGCCGCTGCTGGAGGGCATCTTGAAATGGTGCAGTGGCTTCACACGCACCGCCACGAGGGTTGCACGCCTGCAGCCATGTCCGAAGCGGCCTCTGGGGGCCACGTGCGCGTGATGGAGTTTCTGGCCGCGAGTTTTTCAATGAAATGGCCAAGGACGGCAATGCAGCATGCGATCGAGAACAAGAAGATGTTCGCCATGAAGTGGCTGCATACAAACTTGTAGCCTCTCACTCCTAAAGACTCTTATCATGCCGCTCGCAGTGACAACATCGGAGCGCTCGAGTTCATTCGCGCGCAAGCGCCTGAATGCATCACGAAGACGGTCTATTTCACAGGGAATGGCAATGGCAATGGCCGGTGGTGAAATGGTAGGAGGACTACTTCGGCAACCCCCGCAAGCGCGAGACACCGAGTTAACTTAGCCACTTCAACTTGCATGGTACCTTGTACCACCCATAATAATTCGTACTTAGTGTTGCTTATGGCGAGCCAGGTCCAAATCATCGCTGCTACGTGGCGATGCCATTTCCGCTCCTGCCTCCTCGTGTATCTACCATGAGCGCCTCCCGCGTGAGCCTTGGCCTGCTGTTGTGCGTGGCGACGCTCCTCGCCGCGCTGCAGTCCTCACCCGCCAGCGCCAAGCGGCTGGAGCAGGTTTCCTTCGAGAAGCCGTTCGACAACATCGACGGCGAGGGTCTGCGCCAGATCAGCGACAACTTCGTGTACGGCGGCGACACGGCCGTGAACCGCCACTTCGCGCGTCTGACGCCCGACCGCCAGAGCAAGCGCGGCCACATCTGGGGCAAGCAGAAGCTGGCGGCCAAGGAGTTCGCCGCCGTGTTCACGTTCCGCATCAGCGGCCAGGCCAAGACCTGGTTCGGCGACGGTCTGGCGCTCTGGCTCACGACCAGCCAGTATGTGCAGGGCGACAACCACGGCTTCATTGGAGAGTTCAAGGGCGTCGGCGTCGTGTTCGACACGTTCGTAAACCAGGAGCACAGCGGCGGTCACCAGGACGTGACGTTCTTTGAGAACGACGGCACCAAGACGCTCGACCACCTCAACGACATGGACAAGGTCGGCTGCATGGCTCCGGGCATTCGCTACCACGAGAAGAACGCGGCCTTCAGCCCGTCGCTCAACATGTCGCGCGCCAAGCTGACGTACACGCAGGCGGACCAGCAGTTCACGATCCTTATTGACGCCGATGCCTCGGGCAACTGGGTCAAGTGCTACAGCCAGCGTCTGACCATCGGCGACGACTGGATGAACGACGCGTACGTTGGCATCTCGGCCTCTACTGGTGGCCTGGCTGACAACCACGACGTTATCGCGCTCAACGTCTACGAGTACGTTTGCCAATCTGTTTTTTTTTTTACTTTTTAGTTTTCTAAGGTGACGATGTGTTTGTGGTGTACAGTGATGTCATCGACTCGCTCGCAGCCCAGGCAGATGAGAAGCAGCGAAATGCCGTGGACAAGAACCTCGAGGCTACCCTGAGCAAGGGCAACAACGACGACAAGATGAAGTTGGTCAAGCGGAAGTATGCTCAGTTGCTCGAGGATTTCGAGTACCAGTTTACGGCGCTGAAGGAGTCTACCGAAAACACGATCCAGAAGCTGAAGCAGCAGGGTGTCGAGGACGAAAAGCGTATTGCCGAGCTCGAGGCTTGGGCCAATGGAAAGGTGGTCGAGCGTGTGCACACCACCGTGAACGCCATTCGCGACCAGGTGGAGACCCAGCTTGAAGAGACCGTGAAGGAAACGGCAGCCAAGTCCAGTAGCTGGAAGACCCCGTTCTTTATCATTCTGTTCATTGTCGCCGGCATTGTGGCCGCTGGCTACAAGAAGTACCAGGACCTGCGCAAGACGCACTTCCTGTAAGCGGTTATGTAACTACAAGATTCCCCCTGCCAGTTTGCACCAGTGTTAGATTAGAAATGGCAATAGGTGCAGCCGCAGCCAGGAGATGGAATCGCCTTTGGGTCAATGGCAGCTCGTTTTCGTGTCTTTTACCGGGCATCATGTCATTTGCGATCTCAGGTTGGTATGGTACATCTATTGTTTTGCGAATACGTTACCGTTAGGTCTACAGTAGGGTTTACATCGATCTGAATGAGTAGCTTAGCGGCAATCCTGGGCTCACGATGCCAGCTCGTCCTTGACGTGCTCGCAAACACGGCATACACAGGACGGATCGTAGGGCACCTTCCACGGGGAAGGCAGGAAAGTGCCGTAGCGGCAGCGCAGCGCGAACCACGGCTTAAACACTGCGTGGTTTGGGTTGATGTTGTCACGGTGCGCTAGGTAGAGCAGCACGACAGGCTCCAGCAGCGGCGGCTTCACGTCGGCAATCTGGTTCCCCGACACCACGAACCAGATAGCGTCCACGAGAAGCTCTTTCAAAAACTGGTTGGACCTCGCCTTGAGAAGCAGTAAATCAGCGAAGTACAGAGCTAGCTGGCACTGCTCGAATGAAAGAGCATCCGTGTCGTCTCCTTGGTTGTTTTCTTGAAGCGCGTAGAGCTTCCTTTGCAGAACGTCGAGTATGGTAGGAGTCATGATTCGGAAGTCCAGGATGTGCAAGATCTTCAGCTCGAGCTCAAGAATCTCATTCCACGTCCACTGTGAACAAACAAGCATGAACCAACACAATGATAAGTTCATTGGCGCGCTACTCAAACACAACAGCCCACTTTTCATGCAACTTACGTTACTGGAGTGTCTCCGTCGCTGGAGAATCTCCTTGATGCTCTTGTCGAAAATAGTCGTCGGAGTCTCGACGAACTTCACTGCAATCCACAAGCATCTGTAGTTTCACCAACAGGAAGCCAAACGAGTTAGCTTCTGGTCCCCAAATATTTCGCAGCGAAATGGTTCTTACGAGATGCTCAGGGCTTCCAGTTTCACCGCCTCAACGACCAGTTGCTCCATGTATCGATCCAGTAGGCCCACACACAAGTGCAACGTCTCCCTTGATAATCCCAGCGCCGACGTGATCGTCAAAATAGCAGCCACCATTTCATCACGATGCGCAGCCGTTGCGAGCTCCTCGTTCTCCTGTGCCTGGTTATCTGCTACTTCCACGCGGTCTACAGACGTGGGGGACGCCGTCCTAACGCGCTTCAACTGATCATCGTCGGCTTGCAGGTGCTGAGTCGTCGGAGGCGGACTGCGTAGCTGCTCACGGCGCGGTCGCTTGCGATTGACGCACATTTCTATAGAGGAGGACACGACCAACGCGGAGACTCTACTGGCGAGCTGCGGGCGTCCACGAGCAATTGCAGTGACAAAAGGGACGGGAGCTGAGGACTGTCCGTTCGCTCGCAAGAAGAGAACTGGCGCGTCTACAGTGGCGAGCTCATTGACGATTTTTGGCGCGTGCTAGATACAGCCGTTACGATTTTCCGCGGGTTTTTTCGAACCGGCATGCAGATATATCCGCCAATCACATGTCTTAGACTCAAGATTCCGCCAATCGTTGACTGTCTCAAATTTGATGTACACCACGCCATTCCCACACGTCGCTAGAATTTGGTTGGCAGACGCGGTCATTTATCCGACAAGCATGGGCGCCGCCAAGCCGTCCAAGAAGCAGCGCGGCAAGCTGAAAGCCGCCAAGAACAAGAAGGAGACGGCCAAGACCCACGTCAAGTTCGACGACAATGGAGACAAGGTCGTGCCCAAGAAACGCGCGCGTGCAGCCAAGAAGAAGGACGCCGAGGAGGTGAAGGAGGGCGGCGGCAAGTCGGACCGCTCTCCGGAGATGATCCAGCAGGCCAAGTACTACCTGGAGCAGTGGCAGAAGCGCGACGAGACCAAGGCCGATGACGAACTGCCGTGGAAGTTTAAGGTGGGTCGGGATCCGCAGTGCACCATGGCAGTAGGGTGGAGTTTGCAGCCGCTGACATTTGTGTCATTGCTGTCATTGCTGTCATTGTGGTTGCATTTGGCAATGCAGAAAATCAAACAGCAGTGGATCCTGCAGTGGATGTACGAGGCGGACGTCGTGCCCAAGGCTATGTTTGCTATCGTGCTCGAATACCTGAACGGTATCCAGGGTGCCGCTCGCACGGTGAGTACTGCCTAACAGATGCGTTGGATACTGGTAGAATTCCTGTAGGAAGCTGAGCTCTGTGTGTGTGTTTTCTATTTGCAGCGAGTGATGGAATCGGCGCAAGAAGTCATCGATGCTGGAGTTCCATCAAAGGATGAAGAAGACGCCGCAGCTGATGAGAAGGAGAAAATGCTCAGTATCAAGCTTGCTCGTCGACGTTACAAGCGCGCACTGCAAGTGGCGGAGCTTTTGGCTTAGTTTTGCTCTAAACAAAATGCCTATTTTTGCATCAGTTCTTGCCGTGTGTGTTGCTCTACAGCAGTGATTTTGATCATTGGTCACAGATGTCAAATAGATAGCGAAAGCTTAGTCAGAATGGCTTCCGATGTGATCCAACACCATGTCACGGAACCGGTCAGAGGGGCAAAGACCGTTGGGCCCATCGCCTATAGCAAGGATCTCGCCGTTCAGCCGAACACGAACGAAAAATTTCCCGTTCCCGTCTTCCAGCAACTCCAGCGCAAGGGCTGAGGAGTACTCGGGCCACCAGTCAATGTCGTTTGCGATTTCTGCGTCCATGGTTCGGAGGACTGATAGCAGCGACACATCGTGGCCGCTGTAAATCACAATCTTCTTGCACTCGCTGTGATCCCAGAGAGCTTTTTGCATCTGAATCGCCACAACAGTTACAGGTTAAAAAAGCACGCTCAGTATTTCATACACCTAGGCAAATTCAACCCACCTCACGGAGTACGTTGTGCATTAGGCGACCGGCAACCAGCTTCAAAATCGTCCGATGAGAGTAAAACTTCAGACACAACAGTTAGAGGGTCAGAGCTGCACAAGCTGGTTGTGACTACATTTCGAATGTATCCCGTACCTGGTGGAAACGGAATCCAAGGTGCCTTTCAGTGGCATCACCATGGACTTCAGTTCCCGGAATATACGGGGTCTGGTGAGCCCGACGACAAACGAAATAGTCGGCTGCGGTTAGCCAGGAAAAAGGGATCTGCTTCGAGTCGATGGCTGGGAGCAGTCTCATCAGTTCTTGCTTGACGGGGGCCATGTCGTGTTCGCGCGCCGCAAACTCCGCGTTGTCTCGCTCCAGATCCGCTTTCAACTCCATGATCTCCGGAAAAATCCCGTACGCTGAGTGCAACAATATCATGCCACCAACATCAACCCTTCAATCAGCAAGTACCAACTCATTCGATCTCGCACTGAAAAAGCACTCACTGTTGATGATGTCTTTCTCCGGAGGAAGCACGCTCACCGGAGGGCTTAACTGAGGTTGATCACGCAGCATGCCACTAAGCAACGCCTGCACACTCAATTGAGTGCGCGTGTAGGAGTTACTGAAGATCTGCACCAGCTCAGGCTCCACTTCATCGAGGCTTAGGTCCTCTTGCTGACAAAACTCTCGCTATCACATCACAGGACCACGCACACGATTTCATTAGTCCCCCTAGAACTGTTGCCAAGCCCATGCTCAACATTTGTATTGCCCCTCACCAATCGGTCTCCACGCCTCGTCATCTGCTCGATACCTCGCGTCGTCAAGTACCCAAACGGCCGCTGCTGGAAGGAGGCTTGGACGTCACCGTCCATTTGAACACTGAACTTGGAGCGAAACTGGGCCAGTTGCGTCGCTGTCGGCAGCTGGCGATTCCACAGCAGCACTTCCTCCTCCTCGGAGCGCGCATTGACGCTTCCTCGGAAGACGTTATGCAGCGGGGTACGGTCACCGTGGCGGTGCAGCACTTGGAGCTGGCGCAACCTCAGACCCATTTGATCTGTTTGGGATCCGCTAAACGTTTGCCAAGTGTCGACGGATACCGCCGCAAATCTTAGAGCGTGTTCGCTAGGTAGCTGGAGATGGAGATGACCTCTCATCAACTCTATTTCTTGTCTTTTGATTGGTCAAAATAGTATAGTTCACAACGTGACAACTGGAGAATTACCCCGTCTCCTTCTCCAGCTCTGGGAGCTGGAGAAGGAGAAAGTAGCTGGAGATTGAGGCAGTTCAGCCGCACACACAATGAACGAAGAGGAAGCTGTACTGGTTGCTACATGCTCAGCTGTCGCACAGGTTGCAGTCCTCCTATCAGGAGAATCCGACGACGCGCCGCAAGGCCCTAAGGAACAGATTCGTACCGTGACCTCACTGCACTTTGAGCCCATGCTACAGTCAGCCGCGTATGCAAGTTGGTTTGAAGACAATCTTCGCTGCACCAAGCCAACTTTCCTACGTATTGCTGGTTTACTACGAGATCAAGGTGTTCTGTTTGCTGCTGCCAAAGTACGGCAGCATAGCTTTGAGAAGAAAGTTGCAGCCGTGTCAAAACGAGCCCGCAGCAGGGCATCAGCTGCTGCAGTCGTCCACGCAAAGGAGGGTTGCTTCGTAGCGATAGACGTTTCACCAGTATTGGCCTTCTTCTTCTGATTCCCAACGCGGCGATGTGAGTCTTGGTTGCGGGCTGACGCAGCTACAACTCCGAGCGCAAAACGCTGGCTGGGTGTCTCTGAATGCGGCAGCGCCAGCGAGGAAGTGCGGGCATCCAGCTCCGTTTGAGTAGTGGCCGGTGTCGCATACACAGTCTGGGCAAGAGCAACATCAGAGGCAGGTATGTCCAAACTGGCAGCAGCCAGCACGAGGTCGCCACTGAACGGAGGCGCAGCTCTCGGAGCGTCATCGGCAGCTTGGTCCATCTTGCCACGCGTCCGGTGTCTCGGGCACAGTGTTCCCGGCCGACGAAAAACAGCAAAGTAAGGAGAAGGAGAGCGAGTCGCACTGTGATTGGCTAATTTTACCCAGATGCGCTCTGTTGCAGCGAACAAGCTGGAGATGGAGATGCACCAACTCCCTGTCTCCAGCTGCGTAGCGAACACGCTCTTACCAAAACGTACTTCAAACGTCGTGTGCACCACACCACACCACTCACCGTTTTAAAACCAACCAAAACTGTCGAATAGAGTTCGTGCGCTTTTCGAGCCAGGATTAGCGTCGCTTGTGGCCTCCTTCACGCTGTGAGTGCTGGCAGGGTGCTAAGTGCCACCCCATCCGTTGAGCATGGCGAAGGAAGCCATGATCGCGGCCTCCACGCTGTCCTTGAAGGACGCACAGCGGTGCTTCGACAAGGTACCCAGTCTCTGCCTCGTCTCAGGATGTTGAAGCTGTAGACGAAAACTGTATCTATCAGCAAGGTGCCAATGTGCTGATGTTGTATTTCCAACCTGCAGGAGCGCAAATCGTTCCTACGCGACCTCGAGACGTTGCGGCAACAGCTAGTTAAGAAGGACCAGACAGCCGCCCGCGCAGCCGCCGCTGCCAGCGCGCACACGATTCAGCTCAAGCGCGAGATTGCTACACTACAAACGGCTATGGCAGCCTTAGAAGCCGAACGGACGAAGTTCCAAGAGCAATTCACACACACGAGCTCACTGCTCGAGACAGCACTGGACCAGCGACAAGAGGACCAAACGAAGCTGAGCCGCCTAAACGAGAAACTGCGGACGCTAGAGAAAAAGCACGACGAGACGGTGGAGCTGGTGAAAAAGGAGGCAGCGGCGAACGTACGCGCTACTCAAGAAGAGCGCCAAGCACTGCGTGCGAGAGTGGAGCAATTAAGATGTAAACTGGAAAGCGAGCGGAAAGAGTGGCAAAACGTACACCGACCCATGGCGGATGAACTGCAAAAGTGCAAGACTCGGCTGCAGCTGGTTGACAAGGAGTTGCAAGACGCACGCTATCGAGAGCGCTCCAGTTTCCAGTTGAAGGAAAAAATGGGAGGAGAGGTGACAATGTACAAACGAAAAGTAGCAGATTTGTCGACCGCGCTACAAGAGGCACTGCACGGGAAGAGCGAACTCAAAGCCGAACACTCTCTGATGATAAGGCATATGAAGGACAAGTGGCGAGAAGTGTTGCGTAACCATCAGCATTCAAAAGAACAACTGATGATGCTGCAAGAAGACTATAACGGCTTGTTCCGCTCGCGAACATGCATTGAGCAGCAGAATGAGCAAATCTACCAAGCCATGAAGCAAGTGAAGGTGCGACACGAGCAAGCAATAAAAGCCAAGGAACAGGAATGCTGGGAGATTGAGAAGAAGCACAAGAAGATCAGCGCCACGTGTCCACAGTGTTTAAAAACCCCAGAACAGAAGCAGCAGGACGAGAAGCTAAAGCTTGATGCGGCCCGAGAGCAAACGCGGCTTGAAGTAACGAAAAACTTGGAGCTGGAGCGCTGGGACCGCTTTCAAGAAGTAAACTCGAAGTACTTGGATACATGCAAGCAACTGCAAACTGCTGTTGAGGAAAATGAAGTACTGCGGGGAAAATACAAGACGGTGACTGCTCAACACCAAGACCTTCAGGAAACGGAACAAAGGCTGTCAAGTATGCTGAAAGAAACTCAAACCAAGCTGCGGGAAATAAATGGTAAGAGAGACGAGGAGACCCAACAAATCGAAGGGACTAAGAAGACGATGCAAGACTTGGTTGAGAATTTAACGAGCTTGACTGCTGTGGTAAGTAGTTGTCTGAATTCAACCGAGGGTAGGTCGGTTGGTAATTAATTGCATTTGCGTGTATGAAGACAGCAGATCAGAGCAAGAAGCTTCAGGAGCTAGAAGCCGCTCATCTGGAAGAGGTGTGTTGACTGCAATCTTCGGCTGAGGCAATATTTTATGCACTTACGATGCTCGTTGTGGCCTCTCCAGCGTGAAACTTTGACTGAACAAATTCGCAATCTTGAGGCAGATAAACAATCCATTGCCCAAGATCATGAGCAGCTAACGCAGCGATACGAAGAATTCCTGGCACAGTATGAGCTGCTTAAACAGGAAAAGTCGAAGCACTGGAACGAAATTGTCGAGGCACAATTGAGTGCCAACCTTTTGATCGAGGTAAGCTTTCATGTACGAGAAAGAAACGTCAACCGGAACTCACGTTAGGCTGTCGATATCCCTGCAGGAACAGGCTCATACAATAGATGACTTGCTGCAAGCAAAAGCCAGTGGCACCTACGTGCCAAAGCTCTCATTGAATGATGTTCACGTCGACTCGTCCACCTTCTCGGACTCATCCATAGCTGCAGGAGACAATTTTACCTCGCCCGCCGAGTACACCAGCCTCATAGCTGCCTTGCGCCAGGAATGTGACGTCCTCCGAGAGGAGGTGACACGATTGAAGGCCAGAACCCGAGATGAAAGGACTACGACGAACGAAGGCGAACTTTTGCGCGAGATTAAAACCTTGCAGCTGGAGCGACAGAAGTTGAAAAAACGTCTTGAAGAGCAGGCGCTTACAATTCACGAGCTCACGCTGCAAGAAGACGAGGAAGAAGAGGGCGACGAAGAGCAAAGCTTCATATGTAGCAACGAACAGGTCGGGTTTGATCCTGGTGTGTCATCCTGTGCGGAAAGTTACCCGTCGCCAGGAAGCCATTCAGAGGTTAGTAGTCGGCGACTGCCTGATGGGACGTATCGTTATCCACTACGTGAACCAAGCGTTGGATTCTGGTTACCCCAAGGTAAACGATTATCAAACCGCCCAAGAAGCCGCAGTCCTCTAAAGGTGAGTGCGCGTGCGTAACTTTAAAGCTAAGATTGTGCTCACCACCATCGTGCCGCGTACACGTAGCAGGATGAACTTAGCGATGTTTTAACTACCAGCTGAACAAAGAAGATATAGTGAGTTCTGCCACTTGGCAACTTGTATATTCAACGTTGAGGCAGAACGGTTGCTTGTCCTTTTGGGGTGCCAATGGAAAGTGGAAGTTAAACAACAACAAAAAAACACTTGGCTCAGCCGAACACCTTTCCCCGCAAAAGTGGCGAAACAAGTGTGCAGGTATTCGAGTGCAATCTCCGTGAGCTTAAAACCGAGTCGATAGGGTCCCATAAGCTGACTGCACTTTGCCACACTTTGCGGGTATCAAATTGGTGACCAATGCGAGTACGTGTATGCAAGCACTGCTTGCATGCTCGCTTGTCGAGCACACCGAAATGGTCCAGGATACACTGGTCGGTTGCCGTTGCTCCAGCTGTAGTCGTATCACACGAGTAATAATCGGGGACCAGGTGGCTGCACTACATCATGTTGTGGGCTGGAGGGAGCTACAAATCGATAGCAAAATGTAGCGCCGACGAGCGCAGGCACCTTTACCGAGGATAACCCGCTCAAGGTGAGCTAAGACGCTCGACGACACCGAAACTAGAAACGCGCTCGGACATCTTTATATGGGCATCTTCGGCTGTGCTCGAGGAAAGGCAAGAACAGCCCGAAATGCTGATCCTGATCCTTGCGCGTTTCTGGCATTTAACTCGCGGAGGATGTAGCGATGCACGGATTAATCAGCAGGGACAAGGCCAATCTGCTGGTGCAGTAAATTGCGGTGCAGCTCTTGATACATAATAATCCCAACTTCCTCAACGAGGCGGAGCAGACTTTGCTGCTTGACTGGATCGTACAGGTATCATACCAGTTTGTGTCGTCGAGAGGGCACTGCCTTGCTGCTCATTGTTCTTGTCACCATCAATCGTGGTGCGGTCAATGAATGCAACACATGTATCAACCGTACTGCGTTGTTGGCTGCAAAGTAACCGCGTTGAACGGATTAGCACCGAAAAAAGCTTGGCAGTGGCGAGCGAGCTTGCTGTGTTGTGCCTTCTCGTCATTATGCTGCGGCGAGTTCCCGATCTCCTCGCAGTACACAAGTGAGCGCCCGAGGCGGCGAGCGTGTCCGTGTAAAGCGATGGTAGAGGCCGGATTCCCGGACCTTGAGTTCTTCTCCGGCCAGATCCTTATTTGCTTGGAGGATAGTCGTAGCGCGCGTTTCTAGTTGTTCGAATTACATACAGAACTTGTAGCCCACCATCGCGGCTCCCTTCGGCAAACACCGCTGGGACGGCGACACGAAAGTGTCAAGTGCGAGCCTCAACAGCCCAGCTCGAGTTCTCCACTTTGCTTTTTGCAGTCCAACTCCAAGGGTACTTAGGTGTGCATTGGCGACAACAGCTATGGACCGCTCGAGAAAAGAACCTGGGCGTGGTAAGCCTAAGAACGACCTCAAGATCACTCCGGCCAAGACGCAGGCCCTCATTGACGTGTCGACGCCGTCGCCCAATGCTCCTCGCTTCGGTGACAAGTCGACGCCAATGATGTCCACGATGGTCAACATGAACCAGAACCCGCCGCTCCGAAAGCCGGCAACTGCGAACTTTATGGACAGCAGCAAGTTCATGTCGATGAACTCGACCACGACCCCCGCGGTAGGCAACTGCAGAGGCAGCGGCAACAATCGCAGATCGCATCGTCGCCGCGCCAATGTGGACGCTATGATGCGCTCCAACATGGTTCGTCAAAGCTTGACGTTGTCAGCGTCGAGTGTGTCCATGACTTCGACTGGGCCACGAATGAAATGCCGTGTCGCTCCACCTGCACCCAAGGACGACATGTACGGCCCACCTCCCGGAAGCGACGTCGTGACCGTGCCGATCCCGGGTGACTGCAACTTCGAGCAGAAGTACAATGTGGCCATGAGTATGGATGAGAAGGCCTACACGCCCATGGAGAAGCTTGAAGCACTCCGTGACGCGATGGGAAACATCACCGACAAGGATGGCTACATCGAGCGCGAGACCTTTTCGCATGCCTTTGAGGTGGACGGCAACGATTTCGATGGCTATGCTACCAGCAACGGTACGATCGACGGCAATGCCATTTTGATCGACGCCGTGATGAAGCTTGGAGTGAACGCCGAGCAGAAGCTGCGCTTCATTTTCGACACGCTGGACCCCGACAACACGGGTTATGTGGTCGAAGATCAGATCGTTCAGTTGCTGGAGTCGAACTTCTCCAGTGCGAGGATCGACGTGGTGGGCATGAAATTCCAGACGGTGGCGAAGCTCATGTTCCGCAAAGCTCGAGTTCAAAACGACGCGATGACTTTCGAGCAGTTTTGCAACGTGTTTGAGCCGTACGTGACGGACTCGTACCACCTCGAGGAGGCCAAGCCGGTTTACTCGGCACCTATTCGCCCCAAGAGCAAGTTTGGTCAATGGTACAGCGACAACAAGCTCCGCATCTGGTGGCTCCTGTTCTACTTTATTGTGAACAACATCGCTTTCTGGGTCAAGTGGTTCATGTACGAGGTCGATCCGGCCATTGGTTGGGGTCTGCGCATCGCCCGCGCCAACGCGCAGGTCGCTATGCTCAACTGCGTGTTCGTGTTGCTCCCCATGTGCCGATCCATTACGCAGGTGATGAAGCGCAGCAAGTTTTTGTGGCGCATCATTCCGTTCGACGACCACATCGCTTTCCACAAGATCTCCGGTAGCGTTCTCTTGATTGCTGGCCTCATTCACACGATCGCCCACGTCTTCAACGAGATCTACCTGTACCTGATCGCCACCCCAGACGAGGTCAAGCGGTCAATCTTCGTCACCCGCCACGTTTCAACGTTCGTGAATGGTGAGCGTCCTCCTTTCACGACAATGCTGCAAGCACTTCCAGTGTGGACGGGTGTGATTCTTTTGGTGATCACGTGCATCTCGTTCCCGCTCGCTGCGATCCCCAAGTTCCGGCAGGGCAAGTTCAACCTCTTTTGGTACTCGCACATGCTCTTCGGGCCGTTCCTGGTTGTGCTGGCCTTCCATGGAGCCACATCATGGCTCGCTCGCTGCTCGGCGTACATTTGGATCACGCCTCCGTTCTTGATGTACTTGATCGAGCGTCGATTCCGCTACGCCAAGATGTTCGCAGCGCCTGTACGTATCATGGAGGCGATGGAGCTGGACAGCACCGTTGCGCTGTTTATCGAGAAGCCCCGACGGTTTGTCTACAGACCTGGCATGTACCTGTACATCAACTGTCCCCAGATTTCGTCCCATGAATGGCACCCGTTCACAATTTCGTCAGCCCCCGGTGACAACTACATCAGCATCCACATTCGTGTGTGTGGTGACTGGACTGATGCAATGGCTCGTGTCATTGCGGACTGCCACGCGTGCAACCTGCAGTACCCTGATGTGTACCTCGACGGTCCTGTTGGTGCTCCAACCCAAGACTACCACCGCTACAAGACTGTCATTTGCATCGGTGGCGGCATTGGAGTTACCCCGTTCGCCTCCATTCTGAAGGATGTTGTTCACCTCTGGGAGGACAATCGCTGCCTGAACTGCAACCACGTTCGACACCCGAGCTCGTTCCAGATCCAGAAGCTGTACTTCCACTGGGTGACTCGCGGTCAGGAATCACTGAGCTGGTTCGAGGGCACCATGAAGCAAATAGCTCAAATGGACCGTGACAATGTGATCGAGACGCACCAGTACCTGAGTACCGTCGTGCTCGGTGGAGAAGAAAACACCTCGCAGCTCAAGATGTTCCAGGAGTTCGTTCATGAACAAACGGGCAAGGATTTCGTGTCTGGAATGGATACCAAGCAGCTCACGCACTTTGGCCGACCAGACTGGGAGAGGGTCTTCTCGGATGCTAGTGCCAAGCACCCTGGTGAGGAAGTGGGTGTGTTCTGCTGTGGACCCCACGAGCTGGAGGAAGTTCTGGCCAATGTGTGCAAGAAGTACACGTCCTCCAAGGCCGACGGCACCGTTTTCGACTTCCATTCGGAAAAGTTTGCGTAGACGTCGGATGAACCAACGCCAGAGTTCCTGCTGATCGAAAGCGGGCATATTCATGTCTTGATGTAGCCGATATTGTCGTATCTTACATAGTGCTGTTTGCCGAATGCATGTATCTTTGCTCTAAGTTTTTTATGCTGCCTGTGTGAAATCGTTAACTTTCGTCAGAGTAGTACTACGCTGATGCCGGTCGGTACTTGTGGCGAAGTTTCGACGAGTTCAAGGGGCAAATGATCGTTCGCGGGATTTCAGGTACGAGAGCTCGAGCTCAAACATGGAGTCCCAGAGCTTGCCGGTCACAAACACGTGACGGCTCACCGGGTCGTAGGCAATCCCATTCATCACTGCATCCTTAATTATGGGTGACCTCTTCATGGCCTTGGTATGAATGTTGGCCACCATGTTGGGGATCCAGTCCAGGTCGATCTGCTCCAGCACGTCTCCTGTCTCGATGTCAATACGCAGAATGTGGTCCTCAAACCACACATTGGCGAGCAGTTCTCCCTCTACGAACTCGAGTTCGTTCACATTTGTGACCGGCACGCCGTCTTTGCGAACGGTGATGCTGTGGTGCAGCTTGAAGTCATTGTGCGGGTCGAAGAAGAGCACCTTGGCGGAACCGTCACTGGCGATGAGGAACTCACCATCCGTGGTGAGTCCCCAGCCCTCCTTGGTGGAAGTTGAGAGGGGGAACTGACCGATCAGCTGGAAGTCGCGTCGAGACAGCACCAGCACCTGCTCAGCCTTGTAGGTCAGCGCGAACAGCTTGTCGCCCAGCACAGTCACGCCCTCGCCGAAGATGGCATCGTCGAAGCGGAACTCCTGCAAGTACGGCACGCTCTGCGTGGTCCCCGCCCGGAAGAACTCGGGATTGAGGTCCGACAGTCTGTACTTGCGGATGAAGGACGCGCCGTTGAGTCCCGTGGACTCGATGAGTGCGCCGTCGTCGAAGACGAGTCCCTCTGTGAAGGCGCTGACGTTGTGCGGGTGGATGGTTACGAGACGCACAGCTGTGCGGGTGCCGTCGCCAGTCGCACCTACGCAGCTGAGGCAGGCCAGGGCGGCGAGCAACAGGAGCAGCAATCGACCACCCATGGGGTGCGTCAGGAGGGCACCATCGCCAGTCGACGACACCTTGGCGACTGCGCGGCGGTGCATTTGGCCGAAGTGCTGATGGCGCCTTAAAGTAGGTGGACTAAAATATGGATGGACTAAAATATGGGCGGACTAAACAAAGTACAAAAAGTGCTTCTAACCCTTCCCCTTTTGACATTCGGGGGGATTTTTTTTCCATACAAGTCCAAGTGTTTAAGCGCCCTGAAATACAGACTTGTATTATAGGTGTGCACACACACTATTAATAGGGTGTGGCAACACAACACAACGCAATTGGGAATTGGCTGGTCTCAAGGTCGGGGCTTCTTGAGAAACATGTTTTTCACCGTGCGTACACCTGTAGGACGTGAGTGCTGGCAACAACCTTACAGGATCGCCACTCCTCTCCGGTAGCGCACATCGCGCTCGATGAAAAGGTTCATTTGCACAGCAGAGAGCGCCGCACTGACGAGCATGCAATTTGATGCGCGAAATGTTGAAGTCTGCTGTAGCAGCGCAGCACCGTAGTCACGCCGGACGGGATCATAGGGACGTCAAATGCAAATTGACTTCAACGATTCCTCGCGCGAGCCGCTAGCCATGTCTTACAATGTACGTATGGAGCTGCCGGCGCGAATCCATTCGAGGCTGTCCCGAAGGCCGCCGAAATGTGCGGGCAAACAGATCACACGGAGCATCTCGGGCTGGACCAACTTGGCGTCGTGGTTTGCCAACGGCCGTGGTGTAACGAGGCACAACGCTTGCAATGCCTTCGCTAATTATCCCCGTTTCGCTGCTGGCTGGGGCAACCGTCCATATTTCGAGGCGGCGACTAAGTCTTGCTTTTTCGTGATTGCAAGACTTTCCACTACGGACGGTTTTCAAAACAATTTGGGAATGGTTGCAATGTTTTGGTGGCTACAGTTGATTGTTACCACCGTGTAAGTAAGCTAACAGGAAAATCGCCATGTCGACGACAAATTGTCGTTCCTGGCAGACCAGAAGTCCCCATAGAGACACGCGAGACCTCAAGCTGATCCCGGCGGGAGCACAAATGCTGGACCAGCATTGCTGGTTCACTGGTGGAGAGGCTCGCAGCAACGGTAGTCGTTCGTGATGAAGGATGAAAATGCGAGCCACATTGAAACAAGGAAATCGGATGCCTCCACTGCACTTTGCAGTCGGTTACGTTGGCATTTTAGCGGTGAATTACTCGAATGGCTACACCATCGGAATGGCAAGATCTGGCATCGATTCCACGGCCACACAACCGAGATATATCTGGTTCACCGTATTCAAATCTGTCGACATCGCTGCCGGCACGCAGTGAAATAGCGTTGCGTTCGGTCGAGCGTGCGGCCGCAGCTTCATGTTAAAGCTCCATCTCGCCAGCAAACAAGTTCGAGGCCAGTGGCTGGCGGCCCGAAGCTGTCAAGATGTGAATGTGGCAACAGAGAGCAGAGCGGCGACTTGACCTCTGCGCCTCCGTCACCAGGAAAGTGCAACGCGCTTGTGCCGTTTTGCCAGCTGGTGGCGGCACCATCCGAAAAGTATCCTCGGCTTGGCTGCAAGAGTCGGACCAAACGGCGCATAGAACGGTCTACCCATACAAGAATCAAGATGTCACAGTTCGGTGGGCCTGAACTTTACTGACGTGTCACTCGCGCGCATGGCCGGGGCTGCGCGCCGACCAGGTGGAAGCGCCAGCGGGCCGGGATGCCTTGAATCAAGGCCCTTGATACGCCGCCTCGGCGGCCACTTCACCATTTCGCGATTGCAAGGCCGTCGGCAGTGCCACCTGCCTGTTTTCCCGGCCCACAGGTGCTGTGCGTGTTTCTAAACCTAGCGCTCTAGCGTCAGGGTCCGTTGTTGCGCGTGCGAGGACTTCTACCGTCGTGACCGCTTGACTGCCGGTCGGCCACTTCGCATTCTTCGCCGCCTTTGCAAGGACACGAGGCGCCTCGGCGGACGCTAATGGACCGCCAGAACCGCGGCCAGGTGGAGGGCGGCGCTGCCGCGCGCCAGCCAGCCGACGAGCTCAAGATCACGCCCGGCCAGAACCTGCAGCCGTTCGTCGACATCTCCACGCCCTCGCCGCACGCCCGCCAGTTCCAGCACAAGCCCAACAGCAAGTCTTCCAATAGCAGGTCAGGCAGCAGGAGCAATAGCAGAGTTAACGGCAGGTCCAATGGCAGGTCCAACAGCAAGAGGGGCAGCATGAAGGACAAGCGCGTGCCAGGACCGCCTCCGCCCCCGCCCCCGCCGTCGTTCGGACACCCGTCCATCGGCAGCAGCCACCCGAGCATGGTCTCCTCGTTCCGGAGCACCGCCAAATCCAACTTCATGGATAGCAGCCAGTTCATTAACCCGAGCGCCACGAACACACACATCATCGGGTGCGGCCCGCCCAAGATGAGCGCCAACTGCAAGAGCAGCCGCGGCCCCCGCCGCCGACCCAACGTCCAGGCCATGCTGGGCGCCTCCATGGTGCGCCAGAGTCTAGCGCGCGCGTCCAATCTGTCCTCATTCGCTGGATCCCGGTACGGCCCGCAGCCCGGCTCCGACGTCGTGTCGGTGCCGGTCTTGGGCGACTGCAACTTCGAGCAGAAGTACACCGTCGCAATGAGCATGGATGAGCATGCGATGCACGCCAACGACCCGTCGTACACCCCCATGGAGAAGCTGCACGCACTCCGCGATGTTATGAGCAGCATCACCAGCAAGGGCGGGTACATCGAGCGCGAGACGTTTTCGCAGACCTTCGAACTGAATGGCGACGATTTCGATGGATACGCCACGGGCAATGGAGCGATCGACGGTAACGCCATCCTAATCGACGCCGTTATGGACCTCAATGTGGATGGCGAGGAGAAACTCCGCTTCATCTTTGAAACACTCGACCCGGACAACTCGGGCTACGTGATCGAAGACCAGATCGTCCAGCTTCTCGAGTCAAACTTCTCCGCCGCTCACCTAGACGTGGTTGGCACGGACTTCAAGACGGTGGCCAAGCTCATGTTCCGCAAGGCCCAAGTAAAGAATGAGTCCATGACGTACGAACAGTTCAAGACGGTGTTCGCCCCGTACATCAACGACTCGTACAACCTCCGCAAGTCAGCACCCGTTTACACGGCGCCTATCCGCCCCAAGAGCAAGTTCGGCGCCTGGTACAGCGCCAACAAGCTGCGTATCTGGTGGCTTTTGTTCTACGCCATTCTCAACAACATCGCCTTCTGGGTCAAGTGGTTCTCTTACGACGTTGACCCCGCTATCGGTTGGGGACTTCGCATCGCCCGTGCAAACGCCCAAGTTGCCATGGTCAACTGCGTGTTCGTGCTGCTGCCCATGTGTCGCTCCATCACGCAGGTGATGAAGCGCAGCCGCATCCTTTGGCGCTACATCCCGTTCGACGACAGCATCGCGTTCCACAAGATTGCGGGTAGCGTTCTCCTGACCGCTGGCCTCATTCACACGATCGCCCACGTCTTCAACGAGATCTACCTGTACCTGGTTGCCACCCCGGAAGAGATCAAGCGCTCGATCTTCGTGACCCGTCACGTGTCTTCCTTCGTGAACGGCGAACGCCCTCCGTTCATAACGATGTTGCAGTCACTTCCAGTGTGGACGGGTGTGATTCTTCTGGTGATCACGTGCATCTCGTTCCCGCTTGCTGCCATCCCCAAGTTCCGCCAGGGCAAGTTCAACGTCTTCTGGTACTCGCACATGCTCTTCGGACCGTTCCTCCTCGTGTTATGCTTTCACGGTGCCTGCTCGTGGCTCGCTCGCAGCTCTTCCTACATCTGGATCACGCCTCCGTTCTTGATCTACTTGATCGAGCGTCGATTCCGCTACGCCAAGATGTTTGCTGCACCTGTGCGCATCATGGAGGCCATGGAGCTGGACGGCACGGTCGCGCTGTTCATGGAGAAGCCTCGTCGTTTCGTGTACCGCCCGGGCATGTACATGTTCGTCAACTGCCCGCTCATCTCGTCTCATGAGTGGCACCCGTTCACGATTTCGTCGGCCCCCGGCGACAACTACATCAGCGTTCACATTCGTGTGTGCGGTGACTGGACGCAAGCTTTGGCTCGGGTGATCGCTGATTGCCATGAGCGTAAGGTGCTGTACCCGGATATCCACCTCGATGGCCCTGTCGGTGCCCCAACCCAAGACTACCACCGCTACAAGACGGTCATCTGCGTCGGCGGTGGTATCGGTGTTACTCCGTTCGCTTCGATTCTGAAGGATGTCGTTCACCTGTGGGAGGCCAACCGCTGCCCGAATTGCAGTCACGTTCGCCACCCAGGCTCGTTCAAGATCCAGAAGCTCTACTTCCACTGGGTGACCCGCGGACAGGAATCGCTGAGCTGGTTTGAAGAAACGATGAACCAGATCGCCGAAATGGACCGCGACAATGTGATCGAGACGCACCAGTACTTGAGTACCTTGAAGGGAAGCGAGAACACCTCGCAGCTCAAGATGTTCCAGGAGTTCGTGCACGAGCAGACTGGCAAGGATTTCGTGTCGGGTCTCAGCACCAAGCAGCTGACCCATTTCGGCCGCCCGGACTGGGACAAGGTCTTCTCCGAGGCCAAGGCCAACCACCCTGGCGAGGAAGTCGGTGTGTTCTACTGCGGCCCCCACGCCCTCGAGGAGATTCTCGACAACACGTGCAAGAGGTATTCGTCCTCGGACCCCAACGGCACGATTTTTGACTTCCACTCGGAGAAATTCTCATAGACTACATGTATACGTCGTTAGTGTGCCGGTTTGAAGGCAGCTCCTATTCAGACACGTTGATAACCGTAAATTTGAAGTGTTAAATTGTCCTTGCTGCACCGGAAAAGTTTAGACGAAACCGGAGATCAGACGCACGATGTACAGCGCAAAAGTATTTACCCCCAGAATGACACCAAGAGAGTACGAGATTTTACGTTATCTTTTGAGGTGTTAAACGCGCCTGTGGCTCCGCATTGTCAAAGCGGATTAGAAACTCAAATGTCCAAGAAGCTGCTCGTTGTTGGCGGCGCCGGTGCGCTAGGCCGCGGTGTGGTGAAACACTTCGCCCGTGCGTCTTGGGGCGTCACGTCCGTGGGATTCTCGGCCAACGAGGACGCCGAGAACAACGTGCTGCTGCCTGTAAGCAACTCGCTCAAGCAGGCGGAGCAAACGCTGCAGGAGATCTCCAGCAGGTCCGTTCACCCTCTCACGTGCAGCCACTCTATTGTAGTACTCGACACTTACTTAAAGTGGGCAGGAATGGCAAGATGAACACCGTCGTGTGCACTGCTGGCGGCTGGGCTGGCGGCAGCATCCGCGACGCGGACTCTCTTCTGAACTTGAGCGACATGCACACCAAGAACTTGGAGTCGGCCTTCCTGGGTAGGTTGGACGCAGGGCATTCAAGTGGTTTGCGCGGTTTCTAACAGACCTTTGCGACTCTGTAGCAACGTACTTGGCCAGCCATTTGCTGGTACCCGGTGGCCTGCTAGTGCTGACGGGAGCGACCGCTGCTCTCAAGGCTACGCCTGGCATGGTGTCGTACGGAGCAAGCAAGGCGGCCACCCACCATCTGATCGCCAGCGCTGTGTATGATCATCAAGTGTTGCAGTGTTGGTGGACTTATGGCACGCTAATGATAATTTTTCGGTTAACATGTGCAGGTCTGAGCTTCCGGACGATTCGTCCGTGCTGGGCGTGCTTCCGCTGACGATCGATACGCCGATGAACCGCAAGTTCATGGCCGATGCGGACTTCTCTACCTGGACCAAGGTAACCAGAGATGCGTGCGTATTTTTTTTAGTGTTTGAAGTCACACGGATGCTTGTGTTTAATGCACAGGCGGAGGACATTGGCGAGAAGATTTTGGAGTGGTCTGACGCCCCTTACGCTGCTCGCCCTTCGAGTGGACATTTGATCACTGCCACCACGGAGAACAACACAACGACGTGGAAAGACGTTGGCAACCCGTTTCAGTAGATACGATCAGCTGGCAAGGTCAAGCGTGAAGAGGAGATAGTTTTTTGCATCGTATCCCTAAAAAATATCTGCTCGCGTGCTCGCGTTATGCTTTTACCACCCGATGCATTTTGTTCGCGCTGGTCTCGATATTGGCATCGCCGATTACAACGGCATTGCATCCCCGTTCACACTAACCGTAAGGTTGCGCTTGAAGTGGTCGCAAAACGCGTTTAGCACACGCTTAAACTTGCGCGAGTTTTCCACACAAGTCGGTGTGGAGATGTAATTAAGGAACTCGGCTCGAGCACGCTCGCTGACCTGCGACCCCAAAAAGTTGCTGTCGGATAGGAGCCGATGGATCAGCTCTTCACTTCTCTGCCGGCCAAAGTACACCCAGCATGACCGAACGACCTCCGCGATCTTGTCCATCAAGTTCGGCGACATGCCCCCTGCAGCGGCGTTGAAGAGTGCGAAGAGGACGTGGTATTGCACGTCCTTCTCGAAGAACAGCGTTTGGATCTGCTGGTGAAGTAGGAGTTTCCCGGCAAACTCGGGTCCCTGCAGTAAAGCTTCCGGGGTGCGCAGGATTTGACCGTAGAGCGACCCCAACTCGAGCAGAAAGTCGAGTGTTGCGGCTCCAACTTCGGGGTTCTGCGACTTGAAAGCGTGTAGCGCTAATGCCAGCACACCCTCCAACTGATTCGACTGTACTAGAATTGACGGGTGGTGCGTGCCGCACGTGGCCACCAGAGAAAACAACGCGGCCGTCAATCCAGGGTGCTCATCAACACTGCCGTCTGCCGCAATTTTGCTCATGGAGCTTTCGCTGACAATCACCATCACGCGCGTTAAGCTCACTGCTGTAGCCTCGTCATCACCAGCACACCCGATGATACTTTTGATCACGCTTAGATAGCTACCGTCATGGCTCCGCGAGAATTGTTCCAGCAATACTGGCATGATTGCGGATGCCAGTTCCAAAGCTTGAGATCGCAATGATTCAAAAACACCTACTAGCAGCGCACAAAATGGTTCAATGACCTCCTCGCAGCAGCCGTACACGCTCAAAATGGTCGCCAACACCTCCCACTGCTTCTGCAACACGCACAGCACTGGATGCGGGACCTCTTGGTCCATCTGGAGAGGAATCCGTGTGGCCAACACGAGGAGATGGTTGAACATTTCGCACAGGAACTCGATGGAGCCTTCGTCGTCAGGATTTAGTTGGCTGTAGCGCGAAGCAAGGTCCGAGAACATGATCGTTCCAAGCTCCTCCACTACAGGAAGTGCATCCTTGTACGACACCGTCGTGAGAACATGGCAGATCGAGTCGACAATAAGCTTCGCGCTATTCCCCGTCAAGCATGGCGGCGACGGTCCCCCTACTGCAGCGCGGTTCGAGCGGTACAGGTTCACCAGTGCGTCCATCCACAGCGGATTGAAGAAGTGCGAGCCACAGCGAAGCGTCAGTTTGCGGAGGGCAACAGCACCCACGTGATCTTCTAGACCATGTTGACTAAAAGGGATACCAGAACCGTCCTCGGAGAGCTCGAAGCCATTCGACACAATTTGGAAAGCGTATGTCCCCAAGTACTTTGGATGGCGGGCAAACCAATGACCGGCTACACCAAGGAAGATGGTGACTGTGCGCGAGAGCGCGCGGTGCGAGGGCTCTTTTCGCGACAAACATTCGAACAGCCTTGGAACGAGCGACGTGTCTTCTTCACGAATCGATTTTGACAGCGCGCTTAATGCGTGCACATACACTTCCGTGCGTCGCCACCACTGCGGAAAAACACAATAAATTAGTTAGTTCGCTACACAACATACTACCTACACAGAAAACATTTCAAGAGGATACGTACATCCGGCGGCAAAGGCGCTCCCGACTCGGCGGCTTCGTACTGTTGGAAGATCGCATGAATAGCATCTACAATGAACTTGTCCTCACTAGCGACCGTGACAGTGGCAAGGGCTCGGAACACATTGCGCACTTCGCTTCGGTACAGGAAGAAAAGCTCCTTCGCTGCTTCTGGAAAGGCTTCAAAACCCTCGGGATACTGCGTTCGCTCTATCAGGATGACCAGCAACCGCGAGATGAACGTTTCAAACACGTACATGCGTTGCTCGTGCTTTCCAGATATGTACGTGCGGAAATTAATCCAAAACTCCATCGTCTCGTTCGAGATGTCCAGGTTGTTCAACGACGTGAAGTAGAGAATAGTGTCCAAAAATTCGTAAACGAGAGACCCGGGACGCATGTCGAGCGTGTAGTCAACAAAATAGACGATGAACGCTTGTCCGCACTCCGATATCGCTCTCGCGCAGTCAGCAAGACAAAAGTCCATACTTTTCGCTGACGCAGCCATGCGCTCCTGGAGGTGCTTTCCTAGCATCACAAAGTTGTGCATCACCATTTCCATGAGCTGCACGTGCTCATCATGGCGACAGGCGCGAACAACTTCGCGTACAACCTGCAGGGCATACACCGAAGCAGCTGGAACCAACGACTCACGGAACGCGCGATCCAGCATCCCGCATTCGATAATAACTGCTGGCAATACCGTTCCATGCTCCACCCAGCTCGCAAAAGCTTGCAACAACAGGCCCCGCAACTGCACTTGGTCTTCACTCGCATCAATAGCTGTAGCGATCGACGGCAGCACACTCCGGACCACGTGTGCGGCACACTGTTGAACCATGTCTTCGCATTGAGCACGTTTCACCTTTGTAAACTTGACTCGCTTGTTGTCAACCTCCTCTGGGATGACCTTCAGCGTCAGCAGCACTGCAAAATTAGTTAGCGCAGCCGTCACGTTGTCACTCACCGGGTGCTGCTGGTTCTGCACGAGCCACTCCACTGCTCCGACGACTGTGCTGTCGCCCTGCGGCTCGTGGAAGCGCAGCAGGATGACAGCGATCGTCAGCGCCAAGTGGGTTTGCACGTTCAGTTCCTCGTGGGTTCCGTTCGGCCCCGTCAGCACATTCCACACATCTTGAGCCATCTGCCCGAAGTCCTTCACCAGCACCTCGTGCTGAGCACGATCTTCCGGTGTCCAGTTGGCCGGGTCGTCCATCTTGTACTTGCGAATGTACGAGGCCACCGTGAAGTAGATCGTCGACGCAGCAAACGCGCGCTTGGCTCGCAGCAACGCATTGTGCTCGGCGTTCCCCGTGTCAACAATAGGCGCCTGCAGCACGCCCAGCGCGGTCTGCGCAGCCTCGGGCGAGCGCTGGAACTGCTGCAGCAGTGAGTCAGCACGACGACGCACCCGCGGCGAGCTCAGCGGGCTGTAGAGCTGGTGCAACGCCTCGGACACGACGGCTTCTGAGACCACCGCCACCTCCATAGCTTCTGGGGTTGTAGAGGTTGTGCCGGAAGGAAGCAGTGTCGTCACGCTTGGGGTCTTTTCCGTCAGTTGGCGCTGGTTTTCGCGACTGCGAGGTCAGAGCCTTCTTAGCACAGCCAGCAGACCGATAACAATAGACAGCGAGCGAGCGAACGGTAGATCCAATCAGAGCGAGGATGACCGCAGGCTAATTGCGGCAGTGTGCGCCAGGCTGAAGGAAGCAGCGCGGCGGGTTGGGTGGGTCTCGCGGCCGGAATTCGGGCCGACCCGTCTCTTTTCTCAGCAGGCTAGAAAGATCGATTCTGCGCGCAGGCCTCTTGAGAGCGCGGTCGCGGCAGTGGCGGACTGGTGCAGCAGCTTCAACTGCAGCAGGAGGGGCTGCCTTCTTCGCCTTTTGCGGTAACTCCGTGGAGGAGGGGTCCAGTAGATAACGGAAATGAGAGGGTTTCGTCCGTGATGATTGGTGTGGTGCACATGAGCTAGGTGGCACTTGCTGATTCACTGTTTTTGTCTAATACCGTCGCTTAACACGCCGTCATTGGCCGAAAAAGGTGCGATGGCAGCTCTCCCACTATCTTATGCTGTTTCGCAGACCCTGCCTTCCGTTCAGCTATTGGTTTTCAGGGGTATGCCTTCTTGCGACGGCTTCGTGGCAGCTCAACTCCAGCGCACTCCCTCATCCGCCCACGAAACCGCGAAGAAGCCAGCGGCGAACAAACAGCGGAGCGGCAGATAATTGACCACCTCCCCCCTCCCCCCTTCCCTTCCTCTCCCCTCCCAATCCGAGCTACGATGTGGATGAAGTGCGTGGCGGCGACGGCGCTGGCCGCGCTGCTGGCGGTGCAGGAGGCCAGCGCGGCCTTCTACGTGCCGGGCGTGGCGCCCGAGTCGTGGGCCGCGGGTGAGACCGTGCGCCTCAACGTGAACAAGATCACGTCCACCAAGACGCTGGTGCCGTACGAGTACTACTACCTGCCGTTCTGCAAGCCCACGGCCACCAACGAGCAGCAGGAGAACCTGGGCGAAATCATGGCCGGCGACGCCATCATGGACTCGCTGTACAACATGCAGATGGAGAAGGACGCCATCTGCCAGGTGCTGTGCAAGCCCATGACGTACACGTCCGAGCAGTCGCAGTCCTTCATCGACATGATCAAGGACGAGTACTACGTGCAGTGGGTGGTGGACAACCTGCCCGTGCTGTACCGCGACCCGACGGACTCGCAGCAGGCCGGATCTTTCAAGCGCGGCTTCCCCGTGGGCGAGGTGGACGAGGACGGCAAGTACCTGCTGTACAACCACGTGCGCATCATCATCTCGGTCAACGCGGACCCGTACGCCGAGGAGGACGGCGACGTGCCCAAGTGGCGCGTCGTCGGCTTCGAAGTCGTGCCCACCTCCATCAAGCACAGGTACGAGAACGAGCCCATGGCCGGCCAGGAGCTCGACTCGGACACATGCGGCAAGTTCGTCAACATTGAGGAGGTGTCGCAGGGTAACTACCAGTACCTGAACCCGGAGGGCGAGACTACCGTGCTCTACACGTACGACGTGCAGTTCGTCAAGTCGGACATCGTCTGGGAGGAGCGTTGGGACCGTATTATCAGCAGCAAGAGCTCGAACGACCAGATCCACTGGTTTTCCATCATCAACTCGCTCATGATCGTGCTGTTCCTGACGGGTATGATCGCTATGATTATGCTGCGCACGCTGCATCGCGATATCGCCCGGTACAACGAGGTGCAGACAACGGAGGAGGCGCAGGAGGAGTCTGGCTGGAAGCTTGTTCACGGTGATGTGTTCCGCCCGCCTCAGCTCTCGCCTATGCTGTTCTCGGTGGTTGTGGGCACCGGTGTCCAGGTGTGCTGCATGAGCGCGTCTACGATGGTTATTGCGCTGCTGGGTCTGCTGTCTCCGGCCAACCGTGGTTCGCTGCTGACGACGCTGCTGCTGCTTTTCGTGTTCATGGGAAGCTTTGCTGGCTACCACTCCTCGCGCACGTACAAGATGTTCAACGGCAAGGACTGGAAGAAGAACACGATTCTCACGGCCGTGCTGTACCCGGGTCTGCTGTTCGCGGTTTTCTTCCTGCTGAACCTCGTGCTGTGGGGCAAGTCGTCGTCGCAGGCTGTTCCTTTCGGCACTCTTTTTGCGCTTCTGGTGCTGTGGTTCGGTATTTCGGTGCCACTCGTGTTCCTCGGCAGCTACTTTGGATTCAAGGCCGCTGCAATTGAGCAGCCTGTGCGCACGAACCAGATTGCCCGTCAGATCCCGGAGCAAGTGTGGTACCTTTCCTCGCCTTTCAGCATCCTGGTGGGCGGCATTCTGCCTTTCGGCGCCGTGTTCATTGAGCTGTTCTTCATTATGTCGGCGCTGTGGTTGCACCAGATCTACTACGTGTTCGGCTTCCTGTTCATCGTGCTGCTGATCTTGGTGGCTACTTGCGCCGAGGTGACTGTCGTGATGTGCTACTTTCAGCTGTGCGCAGAGGACTACCGTTGGTGGTGGCGTTCGTTCCTCACCTCGGGCTCCGCGGCTGTGTACCTGTTCCTGTACTCGTTCCTGTACTTCTTCACGAAGCTGAACATCACGGCGTTTGTTTCGGGCATTCTGTACTTCGGTTACATGTTCCTGATCTCGGTCACGTTTTTCTTCCTGACGGGAACCATTGGCTACTTCGCTTGCCTCTGGTTCACTCGCACGATCTACAGCTCCATTAAGATCGACTAAGTAGTCATCAAGTTAGCATTTCAAGGCTCCAGTCATCAGATGGCAGTGAGACGCGAAGAAGAAATAGGAGGAAGTGACGGCGACCCAAAGCGGCGAAGATGAAGATGTTGTCCTGGATTGCCGATAGGTGGGGTCACCATGAGGGCGAGTGGCAGCCCCATTCGAGCCGTGCATGTGCTGTTTGCTGCCTCCTGCAATGTGTAGAAGACAGAAAACCTGAGGGCGAAAAGAAAAATAAACTTCATTTCGTTTTCAATTACCAGCACTCGAGACCGATGTCTTGCTTACAGCGTGCGCCATTCCGCCAGCCATGGATGCTTGTTCACCAAACGTTGCGCACGCGCTTGCCAGACGCTGACAGTATCGAGAGAAACAGGGGCAGTCTTGCCAGCAGCCTCCAGGATCAAGTCGCTGGGGGTTGCTATCAGATCGGCAGGTGTGCCAAGCTTCTGAACCTCGAGACACTGCACCCCTTCGACATCACCAACAAGTTCCAACATCCAGTCGTTCACTTCATCGAGACGTGCCTAGGAACAATAAACACGATTAGCCAAATCGTCACTTGTCAACGCATTATTAGTTCACTCACCTCATCGATCAGCTTTTCAAGCTTAGCTTGCATTGTCGGGGCGGAGGGGTCCAGCGGGTTCACCAAAGCATGCATCGTGGACCCAATGGAGGCGTCCGCCAGCTCCTGCCGAGTGTTAATGCTAGCCTTTTGCAGCCATTGGGCAATCGGAGCGCCTGTGATCTGGGCGACTTCGTCATCGATAGCATCGCATCCACCACTTCGTCCAGTCTTTCCCAAGTTGGCGCAAGTCCAAGGATCCTTATCAAGCTCGGCATGACTGGCTTCTTCTGCCGAAAGAATGCGCGCTTTCTTGCAAGTATCACAGTAAACCGTTGTGGCTTCTTCGAGTTCCTCTTCCGACTCCGTTTCCACGCCGTCGACTGTGGTCGAAATTGCCGTAGTCTGCGCGGGATGCCTATCATCCTTGAGAAAAGCGGATACAACAGCACTCGTCTGCGAACTTCGGTCGAACCGAGCTAGTGCAGCCTGCGCTGCTGCAGTGCGCAGAGTTTTGGGGGTCGCTTCTTTGGCTGATAGAGCAGGAGTCTGGCTTACTGGTTCACGTTTTGGCTCAGCATAATTTGGCTCGACTGCTTCTTCTTCGCTCAAGTCCACGTGAATAACTTCAGGTTTCTTCTCCTTGGCGGCAGAGCGTTTTGTTGTCTTCGGCTCCGGCTTACTCTCTGCGCGCCGAGGTGATGTACGACTGCCTCCAGCACCTCCCTGTTTCCACAGCTTGTACTGTTCCTCATTTGCCTGTACAGCACACAGATTACCATTAGGCAATGTAACAGGCTAGAGTGATGAATAAAAACGAGCGAAAACGCACCTTTGCTTCCATAGCTTTTTCAGACATCACCCTATGGGAAGCCCCATCACGCCGCATCACACAATACGTTAATACGGATTTCCAAGTATTCGTGCGATAAGCAAGCTTACCTTGTTCGAGTGTCCAAAAACGACCAGTCTTCATCGGGCACAAGGTCTGCCAAACCAGCAGCCACATCTCCATCGTACAAGCGCGCGATACTCCAGAAGACCCTCGTGGATACCTGGGCCATGTTAAAAGGCTTGAGCATTTCACGCCCGGTCTCGCCACCAGACAGCAATACATATTTCAAAATGGCCTGCAGCTCGTCAGTTTTCAGTAGATCAACTGTCTCCTCCTTCCACTTGCGTGGCGTCTCCTTGAAGCGCACGCGAAGTTTAGCAGCACTACCGTCAGCGCGCCGGGTAGTCGATTGCTCTTCAATCTCGTAATTGTGCGAAAGCGCCGCATTTAGTCGAGCAGTGGCCAGTGTCAGCTCATATTGATGCTCCACTGCATTCTTTGTCGCCGCACGGAAGAACTTCGCTGCCCGGCCTTTAGATTGACCGCTCACGGCATTCACCAGGCTGATCTCGACGTCCTCCTTGGAAGTGAGGTTGATCGCGCGACTGCGGCGGTATTTACGCTGTGGCTCCTGCTCCTCGTCACCAGCTTCAATTCCATCTGCAGCCTCTGGCGGCTTACTCTCCAGCGAGCTGCCCAGTTGGCGCCCGTTGCCTGTGATTTTCCGTTTTGGCGGCGCCTTCTTCTTCGTGGTGGTGGCCGGCGGGTTAAGCGTATGCACGCCCCCTCTCGGGGCCTTCGCGGCTGGTTTCTTTGCCGCAGCTCGCTTCGGTCTCGCAGGAGCTTTCTTGGTGGTGGGTGCAGCAGCCTGCACCGGAGCTGCCGCACCCGAGTTCGTGTCGACCACCACAGTGTCATTGGCCTCGAACACGTACTTGACGAGCGCAGAGCCGTCCGCCTCCACCGCGCGGGGCGGGAACCCTCTGCGAACTGCAATTACGTTGCAAAATATTGGGGCGAATCAGAGTTATCACTGCGTTGTGCAGTTAGTGGCAGGAACGTACAGGTGGGCGAATCCGTAGCTTTCAGACCCAATTCCTCGGCCGTAAGCTCTGCAAAAGCGTTTGGCGGTCAGATACAAGCAGCGAGTAGATGGATCACTGAGACTACGAACCGGAGAAGGTCTTGAAGGTCGCGTCCGGGTCGATTTTGAGCACCACTTGCTTGCCGCCAGGCCCGCGCAGACGCACGCTCCACATGGCCATTGCACCGTTGGCTTTTGCTCGGATAGTGAGCTCCTGATCGAATATTCTGGGAACGGTCGCTCCGGCGAAATTCTCCGCAGCAACCCACCAATCACTGAGCTTCGTTGTTTGACGTTCTTGTCATTTTCCAACTTGCCTTTTCAAAGAACGATGGCAGACTCGAGCTGGCAGGAGGCGCTGGCGAGCGAGACGGACGCCGCCAAGAAGGAGTGGATGGCGCTGGAGCGCCGCTACCACCTGCAGCTGGCGAGTGAGGACGCTGCTACGCAAGACAAGCTCGTGCGGCTCTTCTTGAGTCTGTCGGATCCGGAGCTTCCTGCGCGACTGAAAGGCCAAGTGGAGCTGGTGATGACCCTGCCTGGAAAGTACCCGGCGGAGGTTGCTCGGGTGGATTTTGCTCAGTGGAGCAGCCGACTGTCGAGCGAGCAGGTGGAAGCGCTGAATGCTGCAGTGAGCGCTCGCGCGAGACAACTGTGCGGAGGTTTCTCGCTGCGGAAGCTGCTGACGTGGGTGGATAACAACTTCTGGAGGATTATTGAACCATTCGAGATCAAAGAGGAAAAGGAGCGAGCATCTCCAGCAGATACGAACACTGATGGCGATGCACTGGCGACACTTGCCGCTGACGAGGAGACCCCGACCACGGTTGAGAAGAAACCAAAAAGGCGACGCGGCCAACGACCGTGCCGCTTCTTCGCCAGAGGCACCTGCCGAGACGGCGAAAACTGCAAGTTCTCGCACGTGAAGAAGCAAGAAAAGCTGAAGAAAGGGGGTGGTGACGAAGCGTTGGATGCACCAGATGCGCATGACACCTCGGTTGTTAGGGAAGCCGACCCAGCCCAACCGCCTGAATCGTCGGACACAGCAACACCAGCTGCGGAACGGAAGAAGAAAATGAAAACCCGTGTCCGAAAATGCAAGTTTTTCGCACAGCACAAGTGCCGTGATGGAGACAAATGCAAGTTCTCACATGATGTCAAGGGTGCTAAAAAGGAATCCGATCCCCCGCGGCGTGCTGTTGTGGCGCAGTTGGGTGTTCCAACTAAAACTGCGGTAGCAGCATTGGAGATTGTATCGGATACGACGGCAGAGGTCACCGCAACTGAGGAATCCAGTGTTGAACATGTCGTTCCTAAAGGCGACGATAGCAGCGAGTGGTCCGAAGCACAACAGCGTGCACTTGATCTGGCCCTGAAGAAATACCCGGCGTCAATGGACAAGAAGGAGCGCTGGACGAGTATAGCCAGCGAAGTGGAAGGCCGCTCTCTGAATGAGTGTATTGACCGGTTTAAGATGCTATGCGAGCTCGTCAAGCGTGGTGTGGATCCCACTACTGCTGCCGCAGCAAAGATTGAACAAAAGCAAGAACAGGTGCAAGAAGAGAAGAACGCAACTGATGCAGACAAAAACGAAGGGTATGTCCAAAACTTGAAGATCACTCCCCCAGAGAAGCGCGTGGCGGTTGAGACTGAACCTGACGTCAAGGGTACTCAAATTTGCCTCGACGATCTGTTTCTGCATGAGGTTGGAACGCTTGTCGCCCATCGACTTGTTTGCCAGATTGAGTGCGACAACTGCCCCCTCAAGTTTGACACTACCCTCAGCTTGGACTCCCCAGCGATCCAGAAGTGGTGCCCTCGATGCAGCGTGCTCCACCACATTCTCATGAGGCCCGTATTCGCTCACTCGCAGAGCAATGTGCTTGCCTACGTGGATACCGAGAACTGCTCCATTGTTGATGTGCTCCCATCCGACATGCTGGCCACTTGCCTAGATTGCGGATGCGAAGCATTGCTGGAGAGAGTTGCGCCGAGGCAGCGGTCTGAACAAGCCTGCTTTTCTTGCCACATCAAGCTCGCTGTTATGGCAAAGCGCTTCGTGGCAGGCCAGCTAGAAGGATTAAGCAGTAGGCGAAGCAACTCACCCGATCGTTCCGCAGTCAAGGCGGCGAGGGGCAGCAAGAAAGGAGCCAAGGAACCGACGGAAACGTTCGTGCTGGGCCAGCCGCTTCCGCGTAATGGAGCGTGCGATCACTACAAGCATTCGTTGCGATGGTTTCGGTTCCAATGCTGCGGCAAAGCGTTCCCGTGCGACGTATGCCACGATTCGAGCGACTGCCCCGAAGCCAACCTGGGGAAGTTTGCAAGCCGGATGATATGCGGGTTATGCTCGAAAGAACAGTCGAGCTCAGTGAAAGTGTGCTCCTGTGGCAATGATGTTGCAGCGAAGAAGACAGCCTCTCGCCATTGGGAAGGCGGGACTGGTTGCCGTGACTCCTTGCAAATGTCACGCTGGGATAAACATAAGTATCGTGGCCAAACCAAAACGGAGAGCAAGAAGTTTAAGCGCGTTGGCGCCGAAGCCAAGAAGCGAAGAGAGAACGCCAACGGGAATGCCAACGCGCAACAGTAGAGCGATCATGTAAGAATACCACTAGGTCGTCTTCGACTTGGCTGGGAACACCAGTGGTATAAAACGCTGGTGATGGTACCGGTGTTAATTGCCATGATAAGGGAGAACTGTGGCCCCTGCGAGGGCCACACCCATGAATATCGCGCGTGCCGCAGTTCACTTTCTGAAGCTGGTACATGGGTCTGTTGACGTGCATTTCCTGCCTCAGTCTGCCTTGCTGAAAGTTGCCGTTGAACCTGCTCGGTCGACATCCTTCTGGCTGGTGTAGCACGAAGGTTGCGCCAGGTTACGCTTACGCGTCCAATTAATCCGTTGGGAGCTGTCCACCCCCTCATTCGTCGGGTGTTCCCAGTATAAACTATTCTGAGCGCAGTTGCTTTCGTTGTGTGCTTCCGGGTTGCCAGTTGTCTTCTTTTTGAGCATGGTTCACTACACACTGGCTGGGCGCGTGAGCAGCGAGGAGTACGCTATCTGCGACCGCCTACTTGGTACGATAGTCTCTCCTTGCACTACCCGCTTCAATCTGTTAACCCGGTTCGCTTTTGCAGACATCCTGGCCGCGGTTTTGCCCGATTGCCAGGTAACCAAACGCCCATCAAGGACCGACCGCTGGCCCAACGACGCTGCTGAGCTGATGAGGTTGCACGGGTAAGACCCGCACAAGCTATTGTCGTCGATGAGAGGATTGGATAACAAACATTGCATGTGGCTCGAAACAGCTTCAACTTGCCCACTTCGTCAAACCTCGTGATCAGCGACGTCGCCATCTGGACCGACACGGGTCGACTGCTGTGCTCAGACGTGGACACCTTCAGCACCTTTGTAGGACGAAACTACGGCGTGCAGTTGGACCTGACCGAGGCGGAGGTGCTGCTTTACATCAAGGCTAACGTGGACGAGCTGCGCAGGCAGGAACAAGACATGGCTACATAAATTTCCCCCCGAAACGTGAAATTCACAATAGAAAATCATACTTCATTTGTGGCGATCCAGTTCCGATTCGATGATGAAGGCAGCGGTGACGGCGCTGCTGCGCGTGCGCCACAGCAACCAGGCTGCCACCCAGCGCCTCGCCTTCTCCACCGAAGCTACCGACGCGGCTGCCGCTGCGTTGCGCATGGTAATTTGCGCGCTGTCTCTGTGGAAAGCGCCGTGTTGTAGGCTCTGAGCTCGAATGTTTGCGCGTCAATGGATTGATAGGGCTTCAAGAAGGCTCAAAAGGACGAAAACGACGCGCTCAAGGTGGAGGAGGAGGCAGAGCCTGTGTCGCCAACCGATGTGAGCGCGGTGGCGCCTCCAGTAGTGGAGAAGAAGCTTGTGCCGCCGGCCGTAAGCTCCTCGCAGCCCTTATGGCTCACGCAGGACCACCCCGTGACGGACTTGTCAGCCTTCGCGCCCAAGATTGTGGTCGTTGGTGTGGGCGGAGCTGGAGGAAATGCTGGTAAGAAGCTTCGTATAGACCGATAGAAATGGCTAATGCTGCAAGCTGGCCAAAGTCTCTAACCAGTTATGGACTTTCATGGACAGTGAACAACATGATCGCGCGCGGCCTGCAGGGCGTCGAGTTCCTGGTGTGCAATACGGATGCACAGCACTTGCGTACGACCTTGACGGAGAACCGCGTTCAGATGGCCCCTGAGCTGACAGGAGGTCTGGGGTGTGGCGCCAACCCCGAAGTTGGGTGCGTGTTCGGGCTACGGCTATCACAGGGTGTTGGATTATCAAAGGGTATCAGTTAGACTAAGCGTTTTGTTTTCCGTCGTGTTAATCCAGCCGTGAAGCAGCGGACGCGTCGATCGATGAGATTCTAGAACGCGTTCAAGGTGCAAACATGGTTCGTTGCGTTGACTTTTCAAGTAAAGCTGGTGGTGGACCAAGTAGCTGCTTACGCCACTATCTCTATCTGTGTGCAGATGTTTGTGACTGCAGGCATGGGCGGCGGAACTGGCACAGGTGCAGCTCCTGTCATTGCTCAGGCAGCTCTTGACGCAGGTATTCTCACGGTGGCAGTCGTCACGAAGGTGTGTAGCGGGGATGCGTTGCGATTCAATTAGCATCATGCACTAACATCCCGATTTATTATCACACATTGCAGCCGTTCCGCTTTGAAGGCAACAACCGTGCGAAGCTGGCAGCACAGGGCCTCGCTGAGCTGAAGGATAGCGTGGACACAATGCTGGTGATTCCGAACCAAAACTTGTTCAATATGTCGAACGAGCGGACGTCGTTGATGGATGCTTTCCGGTGCGCGGTTTTGGTTGAGGAGGTATCGATGCTGAGTAATTCTAACGATGCTTGTTTCTTTAATGCAGGATGGCGGACAACGTGCTCCTAGACGGCGTCAAGAATATCTCTGATTTGATGGTGATGCCTGGTCTCATTAACCTCGACTTCGCGGATGTTCAGTCGGTACGTAAATTTGTCTTTGTCCGTTGGGCGGTATCCCTGCTAACTTCGCATGGCGATCGTTGTAACCGCAGGTGATGCAAAATATGGGAAACGCCATGATGGGAAGTGGAGAGGCCGATGGAGAGAACCGGTGCGTCTGGCTGTTATCGACGATTATAGGCAGGTGAGACGATAGGCTAACTGGTCTTGTGTTTGCGGTCGCTTGTAGGGCGCAGCGTGCAGCTGAGGATGCGTTGGCGAACCCTCTTCTAGGAGATATTTCGATCAAGGTACACACTGATTTCCACCACTTAAGTTTGGTAACTCTTATTATGTTTGTGTTAACGAGTATCTTATTCATGCTTTCTTTCTTTCGCAACGCGCAGGACGCCAAGGGCATGATCGTAAATATCACTGGAGGCTCCGATCTGACGCTGTTTGAAGTCGACGAAGCTGCGGAGAGGGTGACGAGGGAACTGGACGACCCTCACGCCAACATTATCTTCGGCTCGACGTTCGATGACTCGCTGGATGGCAAGCTGCGCGTCTCCGTTGTCGCTACGGGCATCGCTGACCCGGAGAAGTTATAGATGGTGAACTTGTGTTGGAGCATGTTCGACAAGCGAGCATGGAGAATCAACCGACAACGATACCTAGTGATTCTTCGTTCCTTTTGTTTTCGTCTTGATTGGCGATTAGTAACCACAAGAAGATGAAAAGAAGAAGGTTGATGATGGCAACCCATGCTGATCGCATTGATATTATACTTGACTGCTTCATATTTAGTTTGCACAACGCCCTTCCTGTGGGGCGATGCGGCACTGTTGGCCGGCTTAGCAGCTACCCCAAGAGGCGGAAAGCAAAATTGCACTATCAACGCCACACCTAGAACGCGTATTCCTTATCGTCGACAGAGAAAAAGGCTTGTTGCGAAAGACGTTCGGGCGGCAAGGATGAAAGCGCCTCATCCAGGTCGTAAGACGCCCACATGGATGTGAGCCGGACAACAACTTCTTCGCACGTGAGACGAGTTCCCTTGGGCACCACCACCTGCTTCATCGCTTCTTCGAGCGGTACGCCCTCATCGTAGCAGCGCTGATCATCATATTTCTTGCCGTAGCCGTCGTCGTCGCTGTCCGAGTAGTCCATAATGGGGTCTTCGGATTCGTTCGGCTGTGTGGACGCATCGTCCGACCGCGTACTCATCATCGCCTTACTGCGCGAGAAGATGGACTTGCCGCCTGAAATCTGACTTTGAGTGAAAATGGGCCTGCTCGACGACTTGCTGGCGCTGAAGAGCTCCCGGCCCATCAACGAGGGCGAAATGGGCGGCGCCGGTTCCGGGACGGGCATCACCGGCTGCTCCACCACGGCGTACGACTCCAACGACAGCGACTTGTTGATCTTGGGCAGGATGGACCCGTTCATCGGCTGTGCTCCTCGGATGAGGAACGGCCGCATCAAGTCCTTAATCTCATCGCCGCAGATGCCGCACTTGGGGAGATCGTTGTAGGTGCGCCCCACGAGCAGCTTGAGGAAGTCTTGGAGCGCTGACACGCGGTGGCGCACCACCGAGTTGGTCCGCATCAGCGACTTTCCCGGGAAGCGGAACTTGCTGATGGCGCGGTTGAAGCTGGCGCAGTTCGCGCACGAGACGCCGCGCGTGCCGAGTTTGTGTTGGATGTCCTTCCGAAGCTGCAGGAACTGCGAGTAGCGGCGGTTGACTGTCCACTCCTGGTTCGTGGGCTGTACCAGCATGCAGATGCTGTAGAGCGTGTGCGTTGGCCTGTTGAGCGCCGCCGGGATGAACACCTGCACCCCGCTCTGGAAGTTCATGTTCGACTACTGCACTCGTCCGGATCCCTGCGCTACGCTACGTTAAATGGCGCACTGCTCGCCGATGGGGGGGGGGGGCCTTCGTCGCCTTGCTCTCCGCCGTTTGGACAGGCGTCGCAGCGCGGGGATATGGTACAACGTGCAGGGCAGGCTGGAGTTGGCTGCTGCAGCGCGCGGGGTTGTGTACGTCGGCTCCGGGGAGTGACGTGGGGTGGTGGGCTGGAAATACCGACTGCAGCACGTGGGGACGCTGGATAGCGGGCTCTGGCTGGATGGTGTGCCCGCCCGATATGCGACCGTGTGCGATATCCGCCGTGGCCCGTTTGCGTCGCCACGACCGAGTTACGCCAGGCTGGGCCACCGAAGGCTGCAACCACCTGGACCCGTGTGTGGTTTCGGAGCTCGGCCCTGGGGCTCACCAGCTGCGCCGCTGATACAAGTTGGCCAGGGCACTCACGGCGTTAGTTCAGCCTCGCAGATCAGACAGGCAACAACCGTTCTGCAACGCAGGACGCCCACGTTACTCTTTGAAACTGCAAGCATGCTTTGCTTCAGAAACCAGCGCTAATATCCTGCACTGTCAGGCTTGCAGGCCTGCTGCGCGAGAAGGACGGAGCTCAGACTGTGCCGACCGGCTACAAGGCGAAGGCCGCAAGCTTGCAACCGCCTTGCACTTGCCGCCGGGGGTCATGTGCTCGTCGAGCGTCGAGCGTCGAGCGTTGAGCGCTGCTCGAAGTCTACGAGCCGAGCTCGAGATCGGAAGCTTGGTGGAGCCAGGAGCGCTGGCGCGTCCCACGATACTGCAGCATAGGGAACGTCCGCCTCGCACGTGCACACGATGTGATCGGCCTCACAAAAAAGAACAAGTCGCGCCTCGAGCCCCGCTCCGTCGCGGGTGCCCTTGCTGCCGCTGTTGAATTGATCCCGTCCCCACTGGGAAGGGTAGTTGGTTGCACACGGGCGCAGCACTACCTACACTTTGGGCTACAGGTACGTGTGCATTATCGGCGACCTTCGGCGATCGACGGACGCAATGCTCGCCAGCATGGTCCGACCTGAGGGCGCGACTTTCGCGTGGGCACAGGTGTCGTCTTGTCGGAAAAAAGGGCGCGACTGTCCACATTGGAGTATTCTACACAACTCCCGCTGAAATGGATTGAGATCCGTTCTGGCAGGTATGGTTGGAGTGGTCCACACGAGCGAATGACGAGTCGCCCGCGACGTCATCATGGGTGGCTTCTGTGAAGCGCAGCAAGAAAGTATCATTTCTCAGCGCCGCGCTTACGGCATCGCGCCCGCCGCCTTGCATCACCGCCGCTCTCTCTGCGCCCTCAGGACGAAGCACCACACCACAATAAGAACTACCAAGTAATAGCCAGCCATGCTGTCGACTCTGCTGTGGATCGCGCTGGCGCTCCTCGTGCTGCTCACGCAGAGCTACAAGATCGTGGCGCGCTTCCTGCGGCTGCTGCTCCACACGTACTTCCGCAAGATCGTGGTGTACGGTCTCAACAACTTCCCGCGCGAGGGGCCCGTTATCCTGTGTCCGAACCACCCCAACATGCTCGTGGACGCCATCCTGGTCATGACCGAGGCGGCCAGCCACGGCCGCAACCCGTACGTCTGGGCCAAGGGCTCGCTCTTCAGCAACCCCATCGCCGCCTTCATCCTCAAGAAACTTGGCGCTGTGCCCGTGTACCGACCACGACGCAAAGAGGCTACTCTGGCTGACGTGGACTCGGACAAGACCCCTGAGCAGCTGGAAGCCGCCAACAAGGCCATGTTCGAGCACACCTGGCGAGTGCTCGCTGAAGGCAACGTCATGGTACTCTTTCCCGAAGGAACGTCTTACACGGCGCCCAAGATGCTCTCGCTGCGCACGGGAGTGGTGCGCGTGGCGACGGGCTTTGCCAAGCACTACGATCAAGCCATTCCGATCATTCCCCTGGGGCTCAACTACTTCAACAAGGACCACTTCCGGAGCCAGATGACCTTGGAGTTTGGACCGCCCATGGTGATCACGCCAGACACAGTTCAAAGCGAGGCTTTCCAGCAGGATGAACACAGCGAGGTGAAGCGCCTGACGCATGAGCTCGAGGAGAGGATGCATGATGTGACCTTGAACGCGTCCGACTTCAGCACCATCCACGCGGCGAGAATGATGCGGCGCTTGTACTTGAACACGCCTGGGTCCATCGACGCTAACAAGGAGGTTCGCTTGACACAGTACATTATCAACATGCTGGAGAAACAGTCCAAAGACGAGGAGCAAAAAGAAAGCATCGCCGCAATCCGCGAGAAGGTCCTGCGATACAAAGAGCAGCTCGAAAAACTGCGCCTGAAGGACCAGGAAGTGAATCTTTCGGTGCCGAAGGAGCAATCGCTGTTGCAACTTTTCCTGGGGCGAATCCTGTACCTGCTGGTGCTGCTACCGCTAGCGACACCCGGTCTTTTGCTGAATCTCCCCTACTACTTTATTGGTAAGTGGTTTGGTTCGGGTGGTCGTGTCTATATAATCTGACCTCCTGCGCCGTTGCATGATTTTGTGTTATGCAGGAACGAAGATGAACAGTCTTGCTGGTTTCGTGGAATCCAAGTCCATGTTTAAGATCTTCGCTGCAGCGTGAGTGAACTGATTGCAATAAATTCCTGGTGGCAATGCCTCCCTCTAACTCTTGTTTTCCTGCTGCAGTGTATTGGTGCCCGTACACTGGCTGGTGCTAATTCTCGCCACTTGGTTCTTTCTGGGCTCTGCGTATGCGTATACGCTTGCCGTGGGGCTGCCGTTGTTGCTGTATTCGCACATTCGTGTGCTGGAGGAGAGCCGTTCCATTGCGGAGAACGTGTATTTCCTGTTCAACATCACGGCCCACGCTGACAAGGTCGAGGTGCTTCGCAAGGAGCGGGAGTTGCTAGCGCAAGAAGTGCATGACCTGGTGACCGCTTACGTGGACGCCAAGTTCCTTTCGACCGTGCACAAGTCTCTCGCGAGCTCGCCAGCGAAATCACGGCTGCGCCATCGAGCCTCCTCCACCAGCGACACGCTGCTCACGAGATGATGACACCACGATGGTGCCGCAGCGTGCTTTTGTTGAGCAGCCTAGAAATGTTAAACATTTCTAAACGCTTTGCAGAGTGTTTTTTTTAATCGATATTCGTATTCATGAAATGTGGATGTGATTGCTAACCCTTGTTGTCCCGTTCGGATTGCAAGTCTACGCAGTTTCAAACGACTTTATTCCGTGGCGGACTGGCGCGCCCTTGCCTTCGGATTTTGGACTTGATACAATCCAATGAATCCGTTTGAGTTTCTATGTTGAGGCAAGTGACACAGGGCCGATTGTCGTGATGGCGTAGCAGCGAACCGATACGCACCCTTGCTAACCTCGGCTTCATGCAGTTGCAGTTGAAGTGGAACAAACGGACTGAAGTGAACACTTTACTTCGACGAGTTGCGCAGTTCGAGTCCGACATCGTGCCGCTTCTTCTCCTTCTCCTTCAGCTCGTCTGCAGCGTTAATAAAAGAGTGAGTCCAACCGCTGCCACCAGATAGGCTGAATCAAAGCGCCGCAAACTTACTTTTCTTGGTCTTGACAATGGCGTCTCGCCTGTCGAGGAAGAACACGTTCGCTCTCTTGGTGTACGTCGTCTAGAATTCAGGTCGCTGGAGTAAGAATGATGCACCTGTGCCATTATCATCCGTGGGAGCATTACCTTGTTCGGCTTCACCGTGTCCAATTCGCTCAGTGCGACCTTCAGTTGCTGAATCTGCGTCATCATCACTACTGTCAGCACCCAATACAGACCTACTCAAGGGTTTCCAACCCTTAAGTTGGTTAATAGCCACCCAGGTATACCTCTCCGTCGAGCTTGAGCTCGAGGCGCTGCGCCTTCCAGCGCTCGTCTCCGCCGCCGTGCTCCGTCACCTCTTCAATCTTGGCCATCACTTTATTTTTCTGCGCCACCTACAACTGTAAAGCGGAAGAAAGAATTTACGTGGCCCACACCATCATCCTAATTTCGGCTCCGAATCGACAGATCAGCGGAAACATCCAAGAGACTCAATCAGCGATCGCTGACAACGGGGCGCCACCGTAGCTGCCATGAACGAGGAGGACGAGTTCGGCATGAGCAAGACGACTCGGGATGCAGACCCGATGGAGCAGGAGAACAAGAGCGCCGTGAAGGACCACCCGGACTTCAACTTCCTGGACCCGGAAGAGATCCGCGCGGCTGTGACGTCCGAAGACAAGCGAGCAGTGCCTCTGTGGATGGCAAAGCTGCCAGTGGAGAAAGATCCGAGCCAGTGGACCATTTTGGAGGTGCAGATCCGACCCGACCGTGCCTGGGAGGTCATCAAGGAGCTGATCGCCACTGTCTGCATCGGCAAAGGCCTCTTGGTGACCGAAGAGCACGCCAACTCGGTGCTGTTCCGGAAGAAAGTGACGCAGGAATCTGTGGCCCACGGCATGGCCAATACGGCCACGTTCCTCAATGTTTTTGTACATGCCGGAGTGTCTCCGTCGAAGCTGCGTGTGGTGGACATCTGCACGCTGGTGTCGGACGAGAACAAGCTGCTCGGTGGCATGATGTCCACTGGGAGAAGCAGCTTGTGGGTTGGAGAAGATCACAATCAGCAGCACAAGTATGCTTTGGACCAACTGCTGGGGGCCCTGCAGTCAACTCTGCTTAGCCAGTGTCTGCCATTGAGTCATTTGTACATGTCCACTCCAGAAAACTCCATGGATTCAGGTGCGTTGGTGGCTTGTGGGTTGCTATAAGGTAGCTTCTTCATTGAAGGCATCTTGTTTAAACTGATGTTGTGACCTGATAGTTGAGAACGCAGAGCTGGATGAAGGATATGTTGCTGACTTGAAAAGAGCGTTTAGCAGGTGGAGTGTTGTGTCTGTCTTGTGGCAAAACTGTTTGACCTGAAACTGACGAAGTGTTTGCTGGCTTATTAGCGAAATGAAGGTGAACATGAGGGATCTATGCATCCCCTTGGAGACGTACGCGTACGACCAAGAATTTGCATGCGCTCTGTTGATCGGGCTGCTGGAACCGACTTTGAAAAGGTATGGAATCAAGCTTACAGATGCACCGGATGCTACGAGCGGCGAAGCCGCAAAAAGTGGCACAGGCGCAGCGGCTCCCAGCGCGGATGCTATCTCAATAAGTGACAGTGATACAGCGCTCCAGGAAGAAAAGGTCCCTTCTCCCCACGAACCAGAACCTATTGACAGTTCACCATCGACCGACAAAGAAGCACCGAGTCAAGCTGGCAAGATCTATGGAGAGATGATTTCTGAACTGGTGCAAAACCTTTGGCGGGTGTGTAAGGAAGACTGTGAGGTAAGGTTGAGAGCAAAAATTGAAGAAAAGCAGCAGCAGGTGACTGCTCGAGTGGAAGCTGTGCAAGCTCTGCGAGTTCGTGCTGTTCGAGCCATCATGGAAGTGTAAGTTCCCTCGGTTTCAGTTAGTCGTCGTAAGAGTTTACCTATCTAATTTAACTATTTTGACAGAGATGGTGCTCAAGTTTCAAGCTTCAACCCGTCAGCTCCCGATGACAGGTAAGACGGCAACAGAAAGGTGCTCTTTTTGATAAAACCAGGATATAACTTCTGACTTGCCTTATTCCTCCGCAGTAACAATGTGCTTCTATACGAGGCGTCTTGCATGGTGAACGGCATTCCCGTCACACTTCACGTCACCTATGGGTAAGTGCTTGCCCAGCTATATCTCCCCAGGGTCTTAGAGCTAACTGATTTTTTCGTTATGCCAAAACTGTGAATTTGCTATTGTTTCGGCAGCAATTTGATTTATCGGACAATGGTGCCCGTTTTCGCGCGCACGACGGTGGTGCCATTCGAGGATGTCGTAAACGTTGCCCAAACCACTTCGTTTGGTATCCAGGTTGTATCGATGGGGTTGGACACAACAAAGCATACGAAAGGGATAACAATCGCCATGGGACTCGAAGTTGACTTGCTGTTTCAACTTCTGCACGAGGTGAGAAAGAACTTGTTCCGACGCTTCGCTGATTCGTTGATGCTGACATCTAACGGTGCTAAATTAACGCACATGCGTGCTGTAGATCTTTTCAATGCACCAACGCGAGATCAGGGCAAGCATCACCGCCTTGCCACCTCTTCAGCAGCAGGAAACTGAGAAGAACCCGGCCGAGCTGCAGAAGATCTTATGCTCCGAGGAAGAGGAGACCAAGGAGGACGAAGGGTCCCCAGCAGTTGAGTCGGATACTTCTGCGGCTGCCAAGACCACGTCCGACTGAGGTGATGTTAAACATGAGTAACAATTCATGTGAAGCATGTCAAAGTCAGCAAGAAGCCATGTTTATCTGCATAATTATTTTAAGTTCTCAAACAAGCCCGCTAGGGTCGGAATCCCAGCTCAACGGCGGCGCTGACGGCTGGTATTCCCGAGCAAGAGGGACGGGCTGGACTGTCGGCAACTGGTCTTCGTAGCTTGAATCCCCCAGCAGAGGCTCCTCCATGTCGCTGACCATCATCGTAGCTGTCGGCACGCGCGCCATTTCGTTGTATCGCCGCCTGTGGAGGCAGCAGCGGCGATACAGGAAGCAGAAGAGGTACGAGCTGCACAGGAAGATGGCCACGAAGCACACGAGCAGCGCATCCGCCCACTGCATGCGCTGCGGCCGTGCGGCCTGCTGCAGCGAGGACGGCGCATCCATGTCGATCCACATCTTGAAGCGCACTTGTTTTTTTAATTTTTTGTTATGGTAATAGTATTTGGTCAAACGGACCAAATTTTGGTCCACATGATGACTTCAACTACTTGTACTGCTTCATAAAGTTGATGCACGATATTACCACATATCTCGTAAAACTACGCAGTCGTTGAGCAGTAGCACAACCTGTGACTCAGCTAACGGGCTGGTTCACCGCTTGGTCCATAAGCGAGTTCTCGATGAGCTCCTGGCTGGCCGTGATGCTGTTGGCAGCAGCCCCCATCATAAACTTGGTCATAGCCCCCATCACCGGCGAGTCCTTTTCTGGCTGCTCTTGTCCGTGTTCGAGTGACACCAGCGAGCACATTTGGAGTAGGCAGCGCTCGCCAACAGATTGTGACGGGGGGACAGATGATCGCTTGGCCACGGCGTAGCATTGATGGCGATGCGTAAGGCCTGCAAACGGCTCGTCCACAACCTCCAGTGGAGTTTTAATCGAGATGAACACAACCACCACGCGGTCCTCCTCCACATAGCGGCGCAGGACTTGCTTCACTCGGAACATGGCGTGCGTTGATCCAACATACATCTCCTTCGCAAAATTCTCGACAATCGTGTCGGATTCGTCCAAGACCTGAAGCAAAGATAAAACACAGCGTAAGCGAACACGAAATATTCTGGTACAATCAAGTTCTAGAACGGGAACTGTACCTTGGCAGTCTTCTCATACACCTTGCCTCTGTGTTTGTCGGCGCCCTTGAAATGATCCCACACTGCCTTTGCTGTCGTGTCCAGATCGAAAGGTAGCACTTTGTTCGAGAAGACATCCAGATAAATACCATCATCTCCCTCGCGCACTTGAGTATCCTTGTACGTAACCTCCATCGAGTTAAGGCCGTTTGTGCAGAAGACAGCATCCATCTCACGGTATGCTCCTTCAAGAATTACGAGCATGTCTTCAAAATCACCGAGGTCTGAATGGTAATTCACCATGCGTCCTGCCGCGAAATCGGTCGTGTCAGGTGTCACTGTTCTAGCGCACTCCATAAGCTGTACAGCAAGTAACCAATGCAATGAGTCCACGTCAGCGACAGCCCAACAATGGTAAGTACAAGATGGCCATGTACCTGGTTCTTCGCACGTTTGAGTAGTAGCATCTGCATGCTCTTGGCAGCCTTCAGTTGGCTCTCCAGCACAAGTTTGAGGCGTGCATTTTCGATCTCCGCCTTCTCCCGACGTTTCCGCTGCTGCTGTGCCACAGGCTTCCACACCGATTGTTCTGCAACCGACGCGGGCACGAGCGCGCCATTTTGTCCCTGACTTGCGTCATTCTGCCCATCCTGTTTGATGAGCTTCGCGGACGTTCTGTGTTGCTGCAGACCCTCCAGCTCCGCCTCCAACTGGGCCACCTTCTCCCTCAGGTACGCCACCTCGATACGTCGCTCGTTCCTGGCGCGGTTCGAGTCGCCAGTCACCCAACTCTTGCGCAGGAGCTTCTTGGCCGTCGGACGGCGCGGCGCTCGCGCGCGCTTGGGCTGTTCGCGCTCCACTCGACGCGGCGACCCATCCTCATCCGTGGTCGTGTGGTGGTTCGACGCCGGGGACGATACAAACGCCGCGCTCTGAGGCGGCGAGGCCACGGACGACGAGGAACTGGGCGAGCCCTTGGTCGCCGCCGGGAAATTGACCGCCCACTCCATCTCCTGCTTGTTCAGCACTTCCGCGGGCTGCGTGGGCACTGGGACGGCGTTGTTTGTGCCCGCGAACTCGTCCACGAAGGACAGCGCGGCCTCAAAGGCCGCCATCTCGTCGTCCGCCAGGAACGCCATGCTGCAAGCTCCGTCGACGCTTTTCAACTGTGCAGCGCAGGTGCGATTTTCACCCAATTGTCTTGAAGCGAAGAGCGCGCATTGAACTTGAATTTGGTGTACGACACACCGCAGCATTTTTCCTGAAAAGGCATCAATAATGTTGCTGCAACAGGGAGGAACTGCTCGACATTGGAGGCAGATGAGAATCAAAGCAGGCAAAGAAAAATCGCTGATTCAATCCCAGGAGCCGTATAACCTTCACAGCGGCAAATTGCAGGACGTCGCAGATCTGGTGACTGCAGTGCCGAACAATTTGCTGCACAAGGTGTAGCCAGAGTCAGGCATGAACAACGCTGCTCTTATCTTCAAACGCGCTGCAGAGGATGGCGAGTTACGTAAAAGCTTCGCTGGCCAAGTAAATGGCGGGGTATTGTACTCGCCGTCGGTGTATTCTTACAATGATTTAGTGGTGCCACCATGACCGTGCATCGGGTTGCCGACTTTGCCTGTAAGCTGGTGCTGCTATTCGCAGGCTTATTCTAAGCGTGCTTTCCGGGAGTGTTGCCCGGAGCTGGTAACGCGAACTTCGGGCAGACTTGCTGTGTCTACGCGAAATGCTCGTAAAACTTTCCTGAATCTGTACGCCAACCACTCTCACTTCATTCCCTGTTCATTGATGCTTGCATGTTGTCACCAACAAGGCAAGTGCAGGCTAACGTACCGTCGGCGCCGCCGCGGAGGCAGCAGCAGCAGCGTGCAAGAGTAGCTTGTGAGTGAGGATCTGGTTAGAAGGAGATCGAGGAAGTTGCTGTGCTTGTGTTGCCGACAAGTTGTGCCCAAGTTGCTTGCTTGCAGTTGAAGCGCTTGGTCGGCGGGATCAACCAATCAGGGTCTTGATAGCACCATGTGGTTTTGCCACGCAAGCAAAAGTTCAGACAGAGCACACAACTCAAGCGGTGGTACATCAGCCGAGTCGGGGGCGTCGAGGTGTGTCCAGGGCACCCCCGCATTGGATCCAGCAATGACAGCAGCAGTCATGTTTGCGGGCGTGGACATCGGAGGCACGGGCGTCAAGGTGGGCGTCGTAACGTCTGAAGGCGTCGTGGTGGCTCGCGAGCAGGAGAATTACCACCCAGACAGGCACGAGCCGCAGGACGTCGTGGATCTGGCCGTCTCCGTGCTGCAAAAAGTGCTCAGGACGGTGCGTGCTCGTGCGGAGTTGTGGGTGTACTGTAGCAACAAGTATATTATCAGACTTCTCACTAGTCGTGCACCTGCAGACCCACTTGGGATTGGGAGACTTGGAGGCTGTTGGCGTGTGCTGCCCCGGTGTACTGGAGGCTGGCGGCGTCATCCACGCAGCCGCCAACTTTCCGTCCTGGTTGGATGTGCCGCTTCAGCAGTTGTTCACAGACACCCTGGGCAGACCGGTTGGTAGATCCTGTTGAATGTTTTATTTTGTGGAGCGGGGAGTGTGGACTAATGTCTTGCCTTGCTCTCTAGGTCACGGTGTGCAACGATGCGGACGCTGCTGTCCTGGCAGAGCAGTGGGTTGGCACAGCCAAAGGTGGCGTCAAGGACTTCATCATGCTCAGTATGGCACGGCTGCATGCGCTTATTGATGATGGTGGTGGATAGCTGACGTTTGGGTATTGGTGCTGTGCAGCCCTCGGTACCGGTGTGGGCTTCGGGGTCGTCGCGAATGGCAAGTTGGTGCGAGGAGGCAGCAATGCCATTGAAGGGGGGCACATGGTAAGGATATGAGAGGTGCCATTATAGTCGTTTCTGGCTGCTGAGTTGTGGTTCCTGGTGGATAGATCGTGGAAAGGAATGGCAGACCGTGTGGTTGTTCTCAGAGGGGCTGCCTTGAAGCATACAGCTCCGCTGGTGCGCTGATGGCGCAAGTTCAAGAACACTTACGTGCAGGTTCGTATTTTCACGGTATGTCCGCGTTTTCGAGGGCAGAGCTCATCTCATCACCTTTTTCGTTTTAACTCGTAGGAAGGGACTCGAGTCTCGCTAATTATTCTGAAGCGGATATCAATGTCGAGTTCGTGTTTAAGCATGCTGCAGAAGGCGACGAGCTTTGCAAGCATCTCATCGAAGAAGTACGTAGCTACCATAAACGCAAGGGATACTTGGCTCGTTGGTGAGCTACTTCAGCTGGCTAATCCCGTTTGGTGTCCAATGAATCAGGCTGCTGACTACTTGGGTTTCGCCTGCGTAACCTTCTGCCGAATGCTGGATCCTGAGGTATTTTTTGTCTTGAATTTGGGCCGAGCTTACACCTTCTACGCTACTAACAGGGATTACTTCCCTTTACCACTGTAAAGATTATTGTGCTATCTGGCGGAATTGCTGAGGCCGGTGAGACCTATATTGAGCAGATTCGCCGTGCCTACGCGAAGCACACGTGGACCAAGTTCCCCAACCCAGTACGTCCAGTGCATCTCTTTGTTGTGCCATTTGCTAAGCGTGTTTTGACACGCTCCCCTCTTAAACCACGTAGGTGCGCATTGAGAAGGCTAGTGCAGGATATGATTCCGGCATCATAGGTGCTGCCGCAGTATGCAAAAACCAACGCAAGGGGCGCTGAAGTTACACCAATAGTGTCGTCTTCAAGCAGATGAGCTGCAATTACCGAGCTTCAGTCAACCCCATGATAAATGAATGGACTCTCTGTTTTTATGTCGATTCATAGCTGAATGCAACAAACAAGGCATATTTTGAAAAGTTGTCTGTGTTATCAGCTCGTACAAGTGCATCGAGCCAACGGAGCAAGATGGTACACCTTCCTATCTGTCTGGCGGATAGCCGCCTGGAAGCTAGTCGCTGTCGCTGTCACTGATCACTGGGCTGGCACTGCCGTCGTTGTGCGGGACCGGGCTATCACTGCCGTCATTTTTTCCAGCGGTGGGGCTGCTCACCTTATCCGTCGAGCTCTCGGGTGGAGGTGTACTAGCCTTTGTTTCCTCGTCGTCTGAAGGAGGTGGCGTATGCTTGTCTCCCGCCCGTCGGCGTTTAAATTCACGCACGCTTTCATCGTCATCAAGCTGGTCGTCGTATATTCCTCCGCATTCAAACAAGATCTGAGTACGGCGCTCCGACTCGCCTTCAGAGTACTCTCGGCGGTGCACAACGGCGCCATGACGACGCTTCTCTTCGCCGCTCATCTGCAAAACGAATGAATCATGAGAACAATGAACTCTTAACGTTCCCACTCGACCATGCACATACCTTCGTCTTCCTAAGCTGAATGCGGTTCAGAACATCACTGTACGTGAATTGGTTCGACTCCGGGTCCAGCATGAATACCACGTGTTGTGACTCGCGCTGCAAAGCGTACATCACAAAACAAGACATGAGTGAGACAGCAGGCTCACAAACCAAGAAACACCAACGACTCGCCAACGTACGCTATCCAGAGACTCCACAGACATAAGATATTCTCGAAGGTACGAGAATTTTTCGCGGTCGTTGCTCTCCTGTAAAAGTAATGTACGTGTAATTTGTGAGAAAATGTGTCATCACCAAGCTCAGCCCCCCCCCCCCCACACACACACACACGATCGTACCTCATCTTCAGTGGACGCATTCGGCAATAGAATGGACCCTTGGATATGCTCGTTGCCAGCTTGAATCTTCTTGTTTACTCCGCACAGCAGAGCACGGTCCTCGCGGTTTGTAATTCCCTTGTTCTTGACATCTTCGGAGGGCAGAATATCGTACGACTGCATATCACACGTACCCAATTGCTTAGTACAGCTCAAAACAGAGCAAGTAACAGTGCATGCAGACCTTACCAGAATGGCGTACTTGTTGGCCGACAGATGCTGGTCGGGGAACACATCCCACACCTTGGCGATTTTTTTCTTCTTGTTGTGTGGGTGCACGAGCAGCTTGGGGTCGTTGATGTCGCGGAAAGAAGCTTCGGCACGGTCCTCCAACGTGACTGACACCACCTCGGCCAGTGCGTTTTCCGTGCCTTCGCGAAGCGCGCTCTGGATCTCGGCCTCGCTCTTGAACTTGTGCACCGAGTCGTACAGATCGTTGCCCATGTACTCCGTACGACGCAACCAGGAGACCGTCGGGCGCACCTTGGACCGGCCCTTGGTGTTGGCGTGGTCCTCCTTCATCATCAGCACCTGTTCGTCGCCAACCTCCAACGGTTCGGGTTCCGCCGGGGCTTCACAAGACGGAAAAACAACGACCGGAATGGCCACAATAATCAGCACACACGTTCCCCACCCCACTCAATCAACTCGTACTATGACGTCTTACCTTCGTACTTGGCTGGATCGATGAGGTCGATCGTCAGTCCGAGGTTGGGCTCCTCGTGGATCTCGTACGTGTAGTCCATCTCCAGCGTGTTGGGCTTGTACTTGATGAGTCTGCTCACACATACAACAGCCACCCACTCTGTCAGCCAGCCTGTAACTCTCTCTCTCTCCTATACAACTGCACTGGGTCGCACCGTTCCGGCTCGTGCGGGTACTTGACGAACTTGGTGTCGAACGGGATGTCCGGCAGCGTGTTGCGGAACTCGAGGTTGGCCAGAAACTCCGACTGCTTGCCCAGCAGTGCGCGTCTCTTGGCCTGCGCGTGGCTCTCCAGGATCATGCGCGTGTGGTCTCGACGCGCCTTGAGCTTGTCCTCCTTGTACTTGGCCACCTTCTTGCGCTCCAGCTCGTAGCGCGCGCGCTCCTCAGGCGTGGCGTTGGCGCCGGGGGGAGCGCGCCTCTTGTGCGTCTCCTCACGTTCCGCATCGCGGCTGCGCCCGTTGCTGTGGCCCGCTGAGGCCGCCGCCGCGCCGTTAGCCTCGGTCGCCGTCTTCACCTCCGCCATCGCTCCGAGTCCTTTTGCTGCCTCCCCCTGAGCAGGTAAAGTGGTGTTGAAAACACCAACTAGTAATGTACACTACACGAAAAGTACCTAAAATAGAGGTATCTATTTTGGGATCCGAGTTCGACACTTCAAGAGCCGCATAGCAGCCCACAAGGTCGCTCAACTAACTGCTACTAGCTCAGTCGGTCGCTAGCTTAGTCTGCCGCTGACGCCCATGAGACAGCTGCTGATTCTGGTGGCGCAGCACCCGCTCAAGGTCGGGTCCGTGCTGCTGCTGCTCAGCGTCTTCTACAGCTTCGCGCGCGTGCTGGCGCTACAGTACGTGGTGGGGGCATTGCAGGACGGTATCCTGCGCTACCCCAAGAATTTCCCGCATGCCTTCTTCCTGCCGCTGTTCCACGTCTCGCTGGCTGCGGCGGCCATCGCGGCACTATATCAGGACTACCGACACGGCCGCTTCTGGAGCTCCTCGACGTCGATGCAGCTCTGGAAGCACGTGCTGCCTCTTCCGCTCACACTGCACCCCGGCAAGTGGAGCAGGCTGATCGGCATTCCGTTGTACGCGTTCGCCATCGCAGTGATCGAAGCGGTGCTTGTGTTCAAGGACCCGATGATGGAGAGTGTGGCCAGGTCTCTGGTCAGAGGCTTCGTGCAACGAGCACCCGAGCAGGAGATCTACACGCCGCGCGGCGTCGGCGAGGAAGAAGACGGGTTATTCTTCAAGGATCGAGCGTACATGGCCTGGAGATTAATTACGAGGGGAGTGGCAGCTGAGCGATCCTCGACGAGTATGCTATCATACGTGCGATTACTTATTGAGGTCTTGCTAGCCGCTGGAGTGTGCGCAAGTTTCGCCCTCGCTCGATTCTTTCGCGAACCCCAGCATGGTAAGCGTGGCTGCAGTTGTTATCAACACCTTGGAGTCTGGGTTTTGTTGTTAAGGGTGTGTGCATTTATTTGATTGCACTACTGTAGATGGTGACGAATTGCGTGAAGCTGCTCGAAATAATGATATTCTAGGAGTAAAGCTGCTTCTAGCGCGAGGGATGGATCCGGATGCATGCTCGGGGGATGGCACGACTGCGCTCCATGTTTGTGCGCAGCAGGCGATTGACAGAGCCGCTCAGGTTCTCCTGGAGCATGGAGCAAACGCTAATGTAAGCGACCGACTTGGATTCACGCCTCTGCATTGGGCAGTTCAGATGCGCCGAGAGGAAGTGTCAAATGCAAGCCGCTTAGCAACTATACGAATTCTACTGCACCATGGCGCAAACCCTCGCATGCCTGACTCAAGCGGAACAACGCCACTGGTTATTGCATCACGAAAGGAAAACGAGGCATCGTTGGGAGTACTCAAGGAGTTCTTTCCTGAAAACGAAACTATTGGCGAGGTAGAAACCACCCAAGATATAGACGAAGGCAACGAACTTGGTACTTCCGCTTAATTCAGCATAATTACCACTCATCGACTACTAAACCCTGTCACATCCATCTCTATTACCTAGAAGCAGAAAGGTAAAAAAAATGTGTTGCGTTAGCTCACCAGTAGTGCATGTATGTCATCGGAGGAAACAGGCAAGTACCATCGACAAAATCCGCTCTAACTCGGCCTTAGAGGGATAGAGGGGAAGATCCAGTCTATCAAGCAATAAACATGTACAATTAGCAACCGGCCACCATACGCCCAGGTTAGATCGCACACTACACCCCCACCTATTCAAGCATGTGCTCGCGTGTGGAAGTACCGTGTACACGGTTGATATATCTTTGCCAATTTGGATTGTAAACAGCTGGATCTCGCCATCCATTCCGGTCAAACCCTGCATCATGAGCACAACGCAAGCAGTGTTAGACTCCAAGCAAATGGCAGCTCCTAGCGAATAAACAACTACCTTAAAACCCTCAACGGGAACGCCGCTGGAGCCGGTAACATACTGCAAGAGGCGCCCACGTTGCTCTTGCGTGAAAGCCTCTATAATTTCCCAAAACCAGCCAACCAATTCAAACTCGTGGGTACTCTGCTCAAAGAACCGGACGTCCGTGTGCTGTCTCCAGTCATTGACGTCAATCTGGGGTAATCCGGAAAGCAGCAGATCGAGCTCTTTGAAGTCCAATACGTGCAACACAGTATCGCTAATCACGCTTCGTAGCCCTTCCATAATACTCGAGATTTCACCACGAACGCTGTCGAACAAATAATACTGCGCAACTTTAGCAACGTAAAGGTGCTTGTTTCCATCGTGAAGGTTAACATCGGCACCGCTTGGAATGAGCTCGATACCTTCCACTGTAAAATTCAAACCCAAGGAGTTTGTGTTATCGTTTTCCAAAATCCAAATCATGCTCGAGTAAACCGTTTCATCAAGCAGATACAGGTCGGATAACTTGAGGGGTACCCCGAGAATGTGTTTCAGCAAGGGGATAGAAAGCCGCACGTTCAAAAGGAGGCCTTCAAGTAATGCTTTCCCCAACAGCTTTCCAAAGAAAACATACATCTGTGGACCACCATAGGAACACGATTCCGTTAGATGCGATGCCGAGTGTCAAGGTACCAATGTCAAACATTACCTGCAGCTGCTTGGAGCTTTTCCCTGGAGTCGTTCGTGTGATCCAGTATCCTTGATGTGCAGAAGAGCTTGTCAGACTAAATAGCCCAGGAGCATCGGCAAAAAGCTGACTGCAAACAAGATGCAGCCATTCTCGCAAAATTCCACCGCCATCAACGCCCGCTTCGTCCATGAAGTCAACTCGAAGTCGACGATGCAGGGTTCCACTTGGAGCAGACATAAAGAGAGTCATCGACTGCTTCAGCACCCTGTCCCGATGAATACCTGGTCAGCATCAACATGGCAATTTTAGTCTACGTCACCCTGAAAAACACAGTAATGTGTCTTACGTATGGTGTGGTAACCATCCACAATCGATGAAGACAGCTTGAGTGAATACTGGTAGAACCACTGTGCTTTTTCAGAGAAAGCCAAGCCTGACACGCGCTACACATTCACAAGAGCACATCAAATATTAGTCCATGCAAGATACAGAAGCTGGCCAAGCTAGCAGAAAATGCCAAGCTACTCACTACGATAGCTTTGGAGTATTGTCGTGAAGAAGTTGAGAACTCCTCGGCCAGACGCCAGCGCACAGTTCGACTTCCACAGTGCGAGTCATCTCGGACGAACGCGGTGCCAGGCGTGAGCCATGAGAGTTGCTGCTGGCCGCTACTATCTGAAAAGATTACGGAAGACACGGACATCCTCGACGATCCAGGAACTGGAGGAGGGTGTAGTTTTTGCCATTCCTGGAAATCACGGTCTCTGATAATTGTGCCGCGTAATGCTTCTCTTTCCTGGAGAGCTTCCAGGGGGATATTTACCTGCAAGTCGAACGACAACACACTTAGTCGTTGAATTACGGGTAAAATGCCATCGTATCATACGTATAGCTGGAGAGATACTTACCCAGCGGACATGGGCTCCCCCGATGCACCGCTTCCACTGATGCCGTTCACGTGCAACCAACTGCCGGTCAGTCAAATCTCCACCAGGAAAGGCGTTTAGCCCTCGAATCCAGGCCGCGCGGGGAGAAGACATCAAAAGGTAATTGGAGTTCGAGCGTGTGCTAGCCTCCGCGTGGGGAGCAACGATTACCGACGCATTCGCGTCTTCTTGTCGGCTTCTAGCAATTTTGGCGTCTGCGCATACAATCCAAGCAAATACAGACCAGAGACGCATTAGCGAGAGGGCCACACTGTTCGTGCTGAACTCCATCCAACCAACCTTCTGCCGAAGTTCCACACAGCACGCAGGTTGTCTGCGAAAACTCGTTTGTGTGGAAGCAGATCTCACACCTCCACCCTGCATTTCTGCAACATCCACAGCACCGGAACAAATGTAAGTCTTCCGTCCAACTCTCCAGTGAAACATCTTGACATCTGATACCACATCAGACCCGCAGCAAGACGTACGATCGCTCAATGAAAGCTCGGTGGCGTGATCGGCGATTCGAGCTCGTGCAGCACTCCACGCAGGCTTTCCACGTCAGGCAAACGGTAACTAGCAACAGTCCGACGCCGATGCCGACGCCAATTATCACAGTCTTGGAGCTGCTCCTGCCCTCCGAGCTGTCCTCGTCGTCGTTGTCGTGGCTTCCGTCTGCGCAGCAAACAGCACCGCGAACTTCAGTACCTGCCTACACCTGCCCGAGAGATCGTTCTGTACACCGCGTACAATGGTAGTCGTAGTCGCCGCTCACGTTGGAGTACGTGCCGTTCAGAATGGGCATGAGACCCCGCAAGCCAAAGTCCTGCGCTTCTCCCTGCCGCTGCAGCTCCGTATCTGAGTCCGCCGCGGCCGCAACACTGAATGCGCCGCACAGCAGCCCTGCGACTACCGCAAGCGGCAGGAAGGTCCGACCTCGCGTCCTCGCTGCGACTGGCGTTTCGCGTAGTCGGCAGCGCATCTCGGCTGCCTGCGCTCCGCGGGTCGAGCGGAGTTGTCCGCTAGTGGCCACTGGCGCATGGGCCCAGCGCATGGACAGCTCCAGGTGTTCGCTATTAATACCCTCGCGTAATGTCAGTCGGTCGAGGTCGAGGTCCGCGATTTCGGCCAATCGCAGAAACGTCATCAGAGGTCCTGACATACAAAAACCAAGGCAAGAAGCGATTTGCGAACTTATCAAACCATGGGAATCGCGTTGGACACTCTCTCCGTCTTGCAACAGCACACGCGACGGTCTGCAGCTCACAACTGCCGCAATCCCGACATTTACAACATGGGCAGAATCATATGTATATTACGCTGCGCTCTTGGGCACGATGGTGCCCAGCGAGGCACTGTGGGTCGCTGCTATCAGAGCGCAGCGCACCTCTTGCGTTATAATCTGTGGAGCCCGTCGCCCTTGGTCGTCGGGATGTTGCCGCCTCCCTTGCGGCGGCCCTGCAACGACCGATGGCGCGCCGGTCTCGAATACACACTCACTTTCACACACACAGATTGGGAGCCCCAGCTTCGCCGTGAATTCGATCTCCACGCGCGACTGGCATCCGCACTCCTTCCTCTCCCTGAGGCCTCTCCTTCCGTCGGAGAGACCATGATGCGTTGGGGAGGGAGAGCAGCCTAGTAAGCCTGGCAGAACTTGCGCAAGCAACCCGTGGTGGAGAGCACCCGGTCGGAGCGCACAGCGTCGATGAACGTCTGCAGGCGTGCTCGGCGCGCGTTCAGCACGTGGTCCGTTAGCTCGGGCTGCACGAACAGCACCGCGCCGCTCGACAGGTGCGGCACCTTGACGCTGCGCCACTCCTTCTTGGTCTTGACCTCCCTCTTCAGCTCGCGCTCGAGCTGCTTGAACTCGTCGAACGAAGTGGTCACGTCCCACATGATCACGGGGTTCAAGTGCTTCTCCTGAGTAGCCGACTGGGCACCGCAGTCCACGCGCACGACGTAGATATCGCGCGGCTTGCGCTGGCCGGGTACGGCCTGCATAAACGCCTTGCCCACACGGATGTTGGCCTCGCCCAGGTTCATATCCACGCGGCGGCGCATATCGCCGGGCACGACGTTGACCAGCAAGCGGTTCCTGTTCAGGTGCACCAGCACACGACGCCGAGCAGCCGGGGCCTGGAGCTCCTTTCTCTTGGAGGCGGCCGCATCGTCTGTCTTGCCGACATGGGTGGACCTTGACGAGATAGTCGTGCCATCAACGCAGAGCAGCGGGAGTGTCGGAGTCGCCGCCGCCTTCTTTTGCGGCTGCGGCGCGTACGGGTAGCTTCGGACGGGGGCTGTGTCGGGCACGACGGCGTTCATGGATAACATGGCGAGCCCCATGAACGTGTAGAAGCTGATGAGCGCGAACGCGGCGGTCTCTGCCAGCAGGGCCAGCACGAACGAGAGGATGTTCCACGCCAGCACGCAGGCGACGTAGGTGGCGAGCAACAGCGAGGCGGCCGAGCTCAGGGTCACGTCAAGGTGCAGCAGCGAGTCGTAGGCGCTCGTGAGCACGGCCACGCGGACGCCCGGCAGGTTGAGTACGATGGTGGGCTTGGCGTTGTCGGAGCTCACGGCCCGCGCGCGCGGCTTCATGGCGTCCGTGTCGGGCTGCATGGCGGCCTCGAAAGTCTTCGCAATGGTGCGGAGGAGTCGTACGTTCAGCCCCCGCAGCGGAGCCTGAACGTCGGAGCGTGGGAAAGCGTGGCAGTCACAGCAGGCGGCTTGGAATTCTGCTGGCGCTTGCGATTCGTCTCGGGCGGCGTGTAGCAGCACGGCCCGCGCCTCGCAATGATGCTTCCGCTCTGTTGATGGCTCTCCTGCGCGCTGGCCTGTCTTTTGCGGATTGGTGGGGTGCATTGCACAGGTCATGCTGATGATGTTGATGAGGAGCAGTGAACTGGCTTCAAGTTCAACACGCGCCGCTTCGGGTCCCAAGCGGAGACCGACGCTTTTTGTCTTGTCTTGCTGCCGGACACGAGGCCACCGGCGCTAAAGAGGAAGAAGGAGGAAATGGTCTCTCTATTCGAGCGGGCAGCAGTCGGCAGCTCCAGATGCTCGTCGCCATCGCAGCTCAATCGGGGCGGAACTGATTAGGCCAATCGCACGCGGAACTCGCAGGCTAGCGTAACGCAGCGTGGCTGGTGGATTCTCCATCCCCCACACATGTTGCCTCAAAGCCTGCTGCTGTTGCTCAAAAGCAAACTCTTGAGCCAGCCTCCCTCAAAGCTAGAGGAAGATTGGAGATGCCATTCACATGAAACATTTGCATTTTTGGCTGCTACAGTACTTGCTTGGCCTCCTTATTTGAGTCGCTGCGCCGCAGCCTCCAGGAGCTGGTCGGTGAAGTTCATGTCGGCCGTGCGGACCGTGAGGTCCACGAAGCCGCCACTGCGGACCTTCACGTGGATCAATCCTACGTGCTCCGAGTTCACCAGACGGCACGCTGCAATCGCCTCGTTGGCTGGAGTAAACAAAAAGCGGGACAGAAGGCATGACGTTAGAGCTGTGTCACGCAGAGCAGGCACCAATGGCATCAATAGCATGGTACGTACTGGCTGGGATGGCCTCAACGGTGTGGACATTGAACTGGTGCATGCGACCCATGAAGTCCTCGAGCGTGCGGATACCGCTCGGGTTGACTTTGGTCTTCTTCTCGCACGGGCAAGTGCCCCAGCGTCCACCAAAGTCCTGCGTGGTGATCTGCCACGGCTCCAGCTGCCGTCCGTTGTACTGGAAAACGCTCGTGTTGCTGCTGCTACCGCCCAGCATATCCAAACCGGTGGCGCTCCTGCCAAGCTCGACCGCAGCTGCGCATGCAAACACAACAACAAAACAAAACACAGCGAAGCAACGATCAGTGCACAAGCCATTGAGTTCATCATGACAGCTTTTGCACGAGCTTACCGTTCATGCTGGAGCCGAGTCCCGACATGTCGAACGGGTCCAAAGATGCAGAGGGTGCTGGTGAGCTCGCCTCGAGGGCAGGCGGCGATGCAAGCGGCGAGCCCATGCCAAACGGATCCGCATTCATCATCGGCTGCTGCTGTGGAGGTGCCTGCTGCTGCTGGAACATTCCTGTATTCTGTGGCGCTGCAGGGGCATCGAACGAGATATCGAGGAGGTCCATTTCAACCTTCGGCTGCTGTGGCTGCTGCGGTGGCAGCGCTTGCTCCACAGGAGCTTGGGCCTGCTGCGGTGGCTGTTGCGGCTGCGGCTGCTCGTTACGACCCGATGTACGTCTCGACGAAGAGCGGCCGGAACGACGGCTCGAGTTGAGGGTCGAGCGAGTGCTGGATCCTACACGACGAGCACCAGGCATCGGTGCCGGAGCACCAGGGATGCCACCAAAGATCGCGGAAGCAAGCATCTGTCTCTCGTCAACGCCACCGGTGGCCTCGTCCTCACTTGAGGGCTCGCCATTGTCGTAGTTATTGTTGTTGGGAGCACCGTACTCTTGCTGAGGTGGCTGCTGAGGAGGAGGCTGGGAACCATATCCTCCCTGGGCACCATAAGCAGGCTGAGCACCGTAGCCGCCACTCTGACCACCGTACGCACCTTGGCCACCCATGTTGCCCTGGTTGTAAGGGTCCGACGGATACCCACCAGGACCACCAGGACCACCAGCTCCAGGGGCCCCAGGCGGGGCATTGTCGGGCGTGTTGAGACCTGTGGGGCCCCACACGTTCTTGACAACTCCACGCTTGCCAGCACCAAAACCACCGGTAGGGTCCGGACCACCGGAGCTTCCCATTCCGAGCATGCCACCAGGCCCAGCAGGTGCACCGCCCCACTTGTTGACTCCGAAGGCGCCCTGCTGATCGGCAGGGGGAAGTTTGGTCGGGTAAGGGATTTCAGGCTTCTTGTACGCCTCGAAGTTCAGGCGGTTCGAGTCACCACCGTTACGGCGGTGGCCATAGCGCTCCTCTTCATCGTCCGAGTCCTCAGGCGGGTCGTAGAGCGGTGCGCCCTGCGCAGCCGCCTTCTCCACGAAACTCGTAAGGAACGAGAGGTTGGGGTCCACCTCAATGTCTTCGCAGCTCGCGTCTTCCGGGAACACCTCGTTCATGAGAGCAAAGTTCTTGGTAAGCGCCAGGTACTCAAAGCAGCGCTGCTGCAGATCCGTGCTACGGCTGGTCTTGTACTTGTCCATCATAGCATCGGCCACATCAATAGTGTGACCCATCTGAGCCGTGATCTTCGTCACAGCCGAGAGCACGTAACCACGCGTGGTGTCTTCCTGGTCGAAGGGGCGGTCGACAAGCTCCACGAGACGCTCACAGATCTCCTCGAGTTCCATGGCATCCGAGAGGTAGCCGTACTCGCCAAGAACCCAGGCCATAGTGCAAACCAGAATGTCAGGAAGCACGGGGCGCTCCAGAAGCTCCAGGTACGTGTCCACGGCATCACGGCGCAGTTCCATGTCCTGGTCTTCGTCTTCACCGCTTCCTTCTGCGATCAGACGCAGCAAGTTGTGTGCCACCTCAGGACGCACGAGGTCTCCGCCCAGCTCGAACACGTTAGTCATCGTCTGAATGTACCAAGCGTTGCTCGGTGCGTAACGCTCAGCGCACTGCGTGATACGCGAGACAAGCTCAGTACGGAGGAAAACGTCCGAGGCTTCACGGAGGAACTGGGTGAGCTTGTCGGAAATGAACTCGACGTTCACAGGGTTGGTCATGCGATACAGCAGGTCCAGCGTCTTGCGCTTGAGGGTCTCATCCGGGTCTTCAAGGCAGTCAATCACCGCCATTTGGTGCGCCGCAGCGTAGCGCGGGTGGTCCTTCACGATAGCGGCAAGTCCCGTAACACCCAGGTACTTCAGGTTGTGGTTGTCGCTCGATATGAAGCGCGAAATGCTAGCAGCCGCCGCGTCGAGCAGCGTGCTGTTCGGGTAAATGGTCGTCACAGTCTGCACGCACTCGTAAATGATAGCGTAGCCCACGTTGATCCCAGTGTCAGCACGGCGCATGACATCGTGCAGCACCTCGTACATGCCCTCACTAGTCTGCTGGTCCGCCTGACCGAGCAGAGCCAGGATCTTCAGCAAACGGATCTGGATCCACGGCGCCGGAATGCGGTGGTAGTCGAACTCGCGCGGCAGCCGGTGCTCCGTGATCTGCTTGAGAATGCTCACGAAGCTAGGCACCAGGTCTTTGTAGTCCGTGGGGGTGGCTTCCGCCAAGTCGTGCAGGATGCAGAGCGTGGCTCCCATGACGCTAGGGTCGCGGTCGCACAGCGTGCGGCGCAGAGCATCTCCCGCCTCGCTGACCGAGTCCGGGTTGAGCTGGTGGAAGCGGTGGATAGCCATCACCGCCTTCTTGCGCACGAGCTCGGCGTCGTGGCGCAGCAGGTCGAGGATCATGGGCTGCACGGCCGGCACCATCTCCACCGTCACGAGCTTGCAGACCGCCATGAGCGCCGCGCAGACCTCGAGGTGGTTGGAGCTCTGCAGGTCTCGCTGCAGCTGGTTGATGATCATGAAGCGGAACTCGTGCGTCGGGGACAGGCACAGACTGCACGTGAGGTAGCCCACGCGCTTCTGCATGAGGTTGGTGCTGGCCGTCATCTCCACGGCCTTGATGTAGCCGAAGGACGCGTCGTGGCCCAGCATCTCCACGTACATGAGGCGGATGAGGAACTCGCGCTTGCGCTTGTTGACGAGGCTGCTGGACGTGCTGGACGTGGCCGTCACCTCGCTCAGCTTGCGCTTGAGCTGCGCCACCTCATGGATGATGATGCGGTCCTCCTCCTGCTTCGACTTGCTCTCGCCGATCGACTTGACCAGCTCGAAGAACTCCTTGGACAGGTGTCCGCCCGACATGCTGCTGCCTCGTCGTGCGCGGGGAGGGGGTGACGTGGGCGATCTCGGATTGAGGGCGACACTGCAGTGTGGTTGTACGATAGCTATCGGACCAGTACTTGAGGTAATACCGGTACATTTTGTGGATACCGTCATACTTCACTGTGATTTAGTATGCAGTGGTAGTGGTCCGTTAGTAAACTATGGTAAGGCATATTTGCGGGCTTTTGGTGTGGCATACTGTTTGTTGCTCGCGAGCATGGTGGAGGGTGTGGAGCTCTCGGACGCCGTGCTGCGCTCCTACAGCGTCGCGCGCAACTTCGCCCCGCAGGTACGAAAGCGTTTATTGACTAGCTGCGTGTTATGGTTCCGCTGCTCTGAGGTTTACTTATCGTCTGCCTACGCAGGAAGACGAGGATCCGAACGTCCACATCACGTCGCTGGACTTCCACCGCAATGGCGAGCGATGCGTCACGAGTCGCAGCGACGGAGTCATGTCCATGATCAACTGTCTGAGTGGCACGTACGTTGCAGGCAGCATGGTTGATGTAAATGTGCATTGTGAATGAATTGACACGGGCCGATGGCGATGAACAGGGTCGCCAAGACAATTTTGACCAAGAGATATGGCGTCGGCCTCGTGCGGTTCACGCACCACCCGGACTGCGTGATCTTCTCGTCCGCGAACAGCGCAAACGATAGTACGTTCTACAGCTATATCGAGCGCCTCGTGGTGACCAGGCATCTGACGGCTACTTGAACTTGTTTCCTATGTTCACAGATCGCATTCGATACCACTCGTTCTTTGACAACAAGTTTCTGCGTTACTACACTGGTCACACGGACAGGTAGGCTATACTTGCACGTTGAAGTTGCTCTTCAGGGGCTAACGACTCCAATGTTTGTTGGTTAATAGAGTTACGTCGCTGATGATGCACCCCACCGCGGACCAATTCCTATCCGCAGGAATGGACGGCACAATTCGACTCTGGGATATCCGCAACTCCGACACTACGGTATGGACATAGTGCGTTTTTAATTTTAACTCTAGATTTATCGATGGTAACTAATGATTGATTTCCTTAGGCTATCATTCGAACTGATCACTTGCCAGTTTCGCACGTGTGCGCCGCGTATGACCAAGAGGGTGTGGTGTTTGGTGTTTACACGGACGACCACTTGATCCGCATGTATGATGCGAGGAACTACCAGGAAGGACCCTTTGCCAAGTTCTCGCTATATGATGCGTCGATCATGGCAGCAGTCGAGCCCTTCCTCGCGCACATGCAGGCACCCAACTTGAATGCGAAGAAGCTGCACGCACTTGACCTAAAGTTTAGTCCCGACGGCAACCAGTTGCTTGTCACGACAAACCGCGGGGTGTTCATTCATTTGGATGCGTTCGAGGGCAAGCTGCTGCACACGTTCAAAGAACACTGGTTGAGCCAAAGCCAGCGTAGTAATCCCCAGTTAGGGTGCTGCTACTCTGCTGATGGTGCGTATGTGGTCACCGGAGCGGAAGACGGGCGGGTATTTTTCTACAAGAGCTCAACTGGTCAATTCGTCCACACACTTCCTCAAGGTCACAACGGCCCAGTTATGGACTTGCAATGGAATCCAAAGCGCCATCTTCTAGCTAGTGCTGGGGGCAATTCGACGGTGTTGTGGTCAGCGGCAGGTATCTGAGAACAATTCAAAAGCTCTCAATATAATGTGAGCAGTGCAATGGAGTCGACTTCTTCCCCTATAAGCCTTCGCAGTAGGTAAAGTACTCGGAAAATAATTAATACTTCTGAAGTACCTGTTATTCCAGCACTATCGAGCCGTTGATACCGTACAGCCCCTATTCAACCCTGTTCAGCTGTTGTTTTTCAACAGATACTACAGTACGTAGTATTCCAGATTGAATACTGCTGTGGGCTCAAGCTGCGAATCGCGCGCGCATGCTCGCGCTTGGATAATTCTAAACCGCTTCACCAATCAAACGGTCGTCGGCTACTCCCATAGCTAGTAACTTGCAAATGGACTGCTTATTGCCGCTGAAGATACGTAGCGTACAGAAATAAAATCATAGCGCTGTAAGTTCATGTAGCAGACGGTAGTGAGCGATTGCGTGAGCACGTAGCCGCATAAAACCCCGCACGGTACTCGCAAATTAGGACCGCGCGGAATTTGCAGATACGGAAACCATTGCCGAGCATTCCAGCGAATGGGCCTGTTACCGCAACTCGGAGTAAGGATTCGTATTGCTGGGGTCTGGGGAGTGCAATCCACAATCCACACTCATCTCAGAAGAAATCCATGAAGAAAGTAGCAGGTCCAACAGAAAGCAACAGCAGAACAGGGGTCATGACAGGTGAACAAGGGCTGTATGTGGGCAACAGCCGAACAGAGCTAAAGTAACAGCTCATAAATATCATCAAAAGTACTCGAATGCGGTGGTTATGACAACTGACACGTCCTACAGAAATCGTTGAAGAGATGGATGCGTCAACTGCTGCCAAGTTCGAAGCTTCACTCTTTCCTACAGAAATTGACATCATACTGTAGCTACGTGCAAGTGGACATGAAGATCATGAACGGTACTGAAATTTGGAGGAACACCCCGACACAGAGCACTACGTGTAGCGCGCAGGGAGGAACATATTCTTGGCGGGAAACGACACTGAAAGGGAAAGTGAGTTACTGTGATGACGAACGATAACGTTGCTGCTGAATCGCTTTAAAAGCGTACCTACCTACTACCGTGGCGGCACTCCCTGTTGAAGGCAACCTACATTACAAGGGCGATAGGTACATACTGCGAAGTCTCCAATACATGCATGCACTGGTCCAGTACAGTACTACACTGGACCAACGTGTAGGAGCACGTTGAAGGTACTTTACTACTTCTCTGGTCCACGATAATATGCGCGAATCACTTTTTCTACCATAGCTGCGCCAATTCTACTGGTAGCCAGACAAGCAAGGTAGCAACAAAAAGCTGAGATCGAGCTGAAGCACATGACATTTTTTATTAGCAGCTTCTGCGAGGCTTTGGCCGTAATACTATCGACAGAAGCAGCTCATCTGGCGATGAAATTAGGTTTTTTTTCGTAAAACATAAACCACAATAGCGATATTAGATCGAAGAATTGTCTCGGATTGTGCTTGATACAAGCTTTCTGATGAGCTCTGATTTAGAGGCAAAAGCGTTGATTTGTGAGAGCTAGAGCCTCGAATATAAACGAGGTTTTTCCTGCTTGCACGGTTGAGATTCGCATTCAGCAATTTATTTTTGCCCAATCAGGACATAGCTCATATTTATGCTACGTTTAGGATGGCGTTTTAAGAAAAAGTTATGCGGAGAGTTATCTATAATACATGTGAATCATTCTGAAGTCTCACCCCCTATAATACAAAATTTGTTGTGTATTTTTTTCCTACGTGAGTCAGGGCGAAGGCTAGGCTTGTATTATTGGCTTTTGTAACACTGTGTTGCCGCGAGGTATGCCCGTAGCGGCTACTGGGCAACGCAGTGCTTGCCGTTCGTCATAGGGACGTCCTGGATGAGCCCAGCTACCTCCTCTACTAAGAGTTTAATCTGACAGAGGGCTCGCGGCTTTCGCGGAACCACTAGCGCGGAGGGGTCGGTGCGCTGGCTCCAGATCTCAGAGACCTCCGTCTCGAGATCTTTTAAATGCCCCCCCCCCCCCCCCCCCCCCCCCCCCGCCGCGGAGTGATCTCCCTCTCTCCGTTGGCCCCTGGCGTGTGCATTGTTCGGGAATTGTTGGCTGGAATTAGCAATGTCACAGAAGGATTTGGCCATAGAAGGATTTGGCCATCATTCGATGGTGACGGAAATTCATAATTTTAGCCAATAAAAACATGTTGTGTAAAATACATAAAACCTTACCCGCATATTATCGTGGACCAGAGAAGTACAGTGTACTTGGAGCACGTTGAAGCACTCGCGTCTCGTACATTCAGACCACTGTTTGCACCTGTTCAGTTCAACCAGACGAAGATTGTAAACTAAGATGGTGCTGCAGATTCGGATTAAAATGACCGATTTCTTTGTCTCTCGCTGCAACAAACCTGACGTTCCTCACTTTCGTTTACCTCGGCGTACACACGCAGCAGTCAGCCTTCACAAATCCATGCTCACGTTTCGCTCGCTCGCTAGCGATGGTTGGAAGAATTTCGAAATCAATTAAAACGATTCGAAACGGCAATATCAACTGCGCATTAACTCAAAATAGATCAAAACTAACGTTACTTGGCTCAAAATAGATTGCGCAGGAAGCCCTACCGGCATTCATGGTGCTGGCATGCAGCTCATGCAGCTCAGTCCGCCCTCACGGTTCCGGCATTTTCACGCTCAAGAGCATCGGGGCATTCCGGGTACGAGTGCAGCCTTGCCCAGTCCGTGGGCTCGCTCGAGACCGCGTTGTGGTTGACGTAGATGAACGCGAGCATGTCGACCTTATCGGTCGTCAATCTGTTGCGTTTCTTCTCCACGTGATAGGCGCTACTCCTTCGTTGTCTCTCTTGTCAGCAGGGGACCATCGTCGCTTCAAGGTAGCAAAATCGTTCAGCGCGCCGTTGAACACTGCTCTCGTGACGCCCAACTCCTCCAACAAGCCGCTCCGTTCAGCGATGTCGCAGCCTTGTCTATAGGTATCCTTTTCGTCGGTACCGACAAAGTTGTCCGGATCGGTGTGGGGGTCTAAGAGGAATGCCAAGCCGGTAGCGTCGGTATGAACGTGCTCCCATCGATCTTGAATGAGTGCCTGGATTGCCGCTTGAAGATCTGACTGCTCGTCTTCAGTACCATAGGCATGGTGATTCAGAAGCCACTGAAATCGAGAGTACACGCGAGATGTCGGACAATTGTCGGACTCAAGCTCATGGAGCGCTTCAATCACGGGGTCCAGAAATGCCACAAGCCACAACTTGCTCCAATTTTCTCCAGAATGATGCTTCACGAATATATTGCTTGACTTGGCTGAGTTTCCCCTTCGCCTTCTTGCTCGAAGCGGAGTTGTTAACCAATTCTGCAAACTGCGACTCGGTAAACAACTTCTTGAGCACGTTCCTGTTGTCCAAAACCCGCACCAAGCACGCGTGAAGAGAGTACCACCGCGTGGCAACAGGTACACTCAGTACGCGTCGATGGTCATTGGTTGTCTCTCTCAACATGATCGTAAACTGGCTGAGTAAAGCGTGATGGTCTCGAACGTAGGACGTAATTGCAAGCGCCTTGGTCTGAACGCTCTTGAAGAAATCGTGCTTACACATGTCTTGAATCAATAGATTCAGCATGTGAGCAGCACAGCCACCTCCGAATATAGGCCGAGACCGCTCCAGCAGCTTCCACGCAGCGTCCATATTACTGGCGTTGTCGGTCAGCACACCTGCCACAGTGGCATTGGTTTCACGCTCAACTTCATCAATGACCCGGCCGAGATGGCCTGCCAAATACTCCGCCGTCTCCGATGCCGTGCCAGTTGCCAGCGAGGACCAGAAGACCGACCGCATGCCCGGAGCTACAACCATGAAGTTTATTATGGTTGAGTGGTTGACGTTCGTCCATGAATCCGTCACGATCATAACTACCTTCTGCAGCCGAATGAGCCTAAGAGCCCTCTCACGAATTTCATCGCGTGCACGCTGTAGCAGCACGGTGCTCAATCGGTGTCTGGACGGGAATCGAATTCCTGGTGCCAAGAGCTGAAATGGTTTTCGAAAGGCTTCGGATTCGACCAGCACAAACGACAGGGCACATAGGAAAAACATGCTCGCCAATGCCATTTCAAATTGCTTCTGCTGCTGTTGCGCTGTCGGTACAGGGGCGGGCTGCGGCGTGTTTCCACCATCAAAGTTTCCAGCACCAACACCAGCCGGTAGCATCGGCACCGCTGCTTGGCCGTGAAGATCGGCGAACATTTCGTAAACGCGCTTCTTGATTGCAGCGGGAGCGTTGGGGCAGTCCTTCAGGTGGCGCTGCATGTTCTTCCCAGGCTGAGCGCTACGGATGAGGGCGGCGCAGAAATTGCACTCGGCTTGCGGCTTCGAGCTCTCGTCAGTGACTTTATCGAAGTAGCGCCATATCGGGTGGGTGGGACGGCCAGGTCTGCGAGTAGCTCCAACGCGTGGGTTTCGCACGCGAACGATCGGAGAGTTTGCAGCTCGTTGAGCAGCGATGCGGGGAGACCGGCGCACAGAGTGTGAATTCGTCGGGCGGTCGTCGGGGGAGCGGTCGTCGGAGGAGTCGGCCATGTCCTCGTCTTCCGTGGCGTCGGCCGCATTTGACGCTCGTCGAGCTCCAAGCCGAGGCGATCGGCGTACTTGGCGTGGGGTCGTAAGTTGGCGGCCCGGGGAGTCGTAGTTCATGCCGTGGTCATCCCCAGCGTCGGACATCACGGCCTCCTCCTCTCCGCTTAACGGGGTGCGCGTTGAAGAAGGAGAGTCGAAATGAGAGAACTTCTGGCGGAACCCTGGCGGAATCCAGCAGATTCGAATATTGAAGTTGCGGTTGCGACACCAAATCCCAGCTCGAGTTTTGATCCATTTTGATCCATTTTGAGATGCTCAATAAATTTAGAATGATCAGAAAATTTTGAGAATTTTGAGGCCCTACTAATCCAAACCATCCCTATCGCTCGCTGCGTCGGCGGCGGTGTGCGTGTTCCTGGCGTCTCAGCCCACGCATGCAGCGGACTACACAGTCAAAGCAGACGCTGCCACAGCGCTACTCGACAAATGGGAAGGGTGGGGTAGATCGCTCTGCTGGTGGGCCAACGCTTTCGGAGACCGCGAGGACGTCGCGAGACTGTGATGCTGAAGGGTGCCACATTGGGTATCCCCGCGTTGGGTTTCAACATCGCGCGCTACAACATCGGCGGTTCCAGCAAGAATGTTATTGATGACGCTGGAACTGAAATCGCGATGAAGACATCGCCAAACATGCCGGCGTTCAAGTTCATCGAGTCGTTTTGGCTGGACTGGTCCAGCAATGTTTCGACAAGCAAAAGCTGGAACTGAGAGGCTGACGCGAAGCAACGCAAGATGCTCGACTTGGCCATTGAGCGTGGCGTCGATGTCGCGGAGGCGTTCTCTAACGCTCCGCCATGGTGGATGACGAACAACCACGCCACCGCAGGGGGAGACGACGGAAGGAAGGACAACTTGCAGACCCGGAATCATGACGCGTTCGCTCTGTATTTGGCTACAGTGGTGAAGCAGGCCAAAGACAACTGGGGGGTCAACTTTACGTACCTTGAGCCGTTCAATGAGCCCATGAGCACGTGGTGGACGTACCCCGGCAAGCAGGAGGGGTGTCACTTTGAAGTGAAGACGCAAAACGATGTTCTGCTCCAGTTACGCAGTTACCTTGACAAGCTTGGACTGAAAGATGTTGTCATCGCGACGTCGGATGAAAACTCGCCCTCGATAGCGCTCTCCACGCTCACAACGATGTCTACAAGCGCCGACGTGATGGCCACCTTCGGTAAGGTGAACACACACGGCTAGGATGGATTGAGCCCATACCGTGGAAAGGACCGTGAACCCCTGAAGAGCCTTCTGACGAAATCGAGAAAGACGCTGTGGGATTCGGAGTATGGCGAAAAGGACGCGACAGGACTGAGTATGGCTGAGTCCATTGCGTTGGATATTAACCAAATGGGGGTGTCGGCATTTGTGTACTGGCAGGTACTTGACGGTGGAGGTTGGGGCCTCATTCAATCTAGTCCTGCTGATAACACCATCAGTACGCCCAACACCAAGTACTACGTTCTCGCGCAATACTCACGCCACATTCGCCCCGGCATGACCATCTTGTCGACCGATGACGTGAAAACTGTCATGGCTTATGATGCAGCATCGAAACTACTTGTGGTTGTCACGGTGAACACGGCCAATGCGCCCTCTAAGGTCACTTTCGACTTAGCAAGCTTCAAAACAGCGGCAGGCCCGATCACGGCCTGCAGCACGGAGACGAGCGGTACGGGCGCACTTTACAAGCCGTCGAAGGTTGAGATTTCTGGGTCGTCATTTAGTGCATCGATTCCGGCTGCGTTGGTGATGACGTTTGAAATTCAGGGAGTTGCTGTGTAACTTGCTTTGCCGAATGCGGTTGGTACATGTAATGTTACATACCAACTTGGTATTCACCATTTGTCCAACCATTCTGAGTGAGTGTGCCTACATACATACATCGATTTTACCAGGGTTCGAACTGTGAACACGAAGTTGAGAGCTGTATGAATTGCAGGGAGGAACTTCTTAACGCAACACTTCCTTCAGTCTTCCCATGAGAAAAGAAGGAAGATCAATTCGAATTTATACCTTTCTTACACATGCGTGCACATCAAAGACGTGATCATCCGGCTACACCGCATCGATCCCTATCCATATACTAGGTAAGCCGTAGAATACTCGTTCAGCACTTGGTGAGCTGCTTTGGGTATGATGGCAACGCTTACTAACTGACAGATATCCCCTCCGGACATAATATGAAACACTTCTGGGGGGTCTTTCAAAAATGACCTTGGAACCAAATCGAAATGTTTTCGCGGCCGCTAGGGCACAACAGGGCTAGAGGAGATGGCGTTGATTTTATCCATGGCAACCGCGAGGCCGCATACCAAAAACTGAATGCATTAACGCTACGGACAGGAGACCCATAGTGATCATGATACTGTTAGAAAAGGCAATCAGGACATAATGTGAAACACACGGAAAAATGATATATTTGGTTTACCGGACGTCTGTAGGCTATCAGACGATGTACTAGTAGTTAGAAGCAGCCTACCAAAGTATATAAAAGCATTGGAGGCCACATGCATATACTTAAGGGTCACTTATCCACCCGAGGTCGTTGCCGGCTCGTTGCTTACCCCTACGACTTCGCACTCTCTCTAGCGATCATACAAAGGTGCTAGCCTTTGTTAGGGCCGTAACATCCATCCAGAGTAGATAAAGTCCGTAGCAATGTTCGCCTGGCACCTTTAATCATCACTTGCCCACACAAAGTTGAGCCAATGGTCTCGCCTAAGTACGAATTTACATTAACTGCTCCGTTTTAAACACAAGAGGTAGAAATCGAAAGCTTAGAATGTGGAGAATACACCTGGCCAGCTCATTCTGCATAAAACCGCACTGAATTGACATTATGTGGGTACTTGTGTTTTCACCATTTGATTTGCTAATACAAATCCCAACTAATAAGTGTTTCAGAATAGTGGACTGCTTCACGTTTTGTCCGGAGGGGATACCAGGTACATACAGTAAGCTCGCCCACTTCCGGTACTGGTATAAATTAATATCCCGAATAACACGATGTAATCTATTTATAAAGGTTTATTTTTACTAAACCCTGGCGGGAGTTTTGGCGCGAACTACTGCACACCAGTCATTGCCACAGAGCAACAGCAGCAAGCCCGAAGTAGGTCTTCATACCAGAATTTTCACTGAGCTAAACAAGTACAAGAACGCCATGGGGGCCAGGATGAAAATACATCAGAAGCGAGGCCTCATACAGATGGCAGCCGACTGCCCCACGATGTCACAAGCAGCGCTCGCAGCGTGGACAAAAGCACACTACAAACTCAAGCGCGCACCAGCCCAGTCGACCGTGTCCGACATACTCAAGAAGGCTGCGTTGATCATGAGCAAGGACTACGGCGATGGTAACCGCCGCAAGCCCCTGAAGGTGACCTCGGCGGCGCTGGAGGCGCGACTGTGGGCGTGGATTCAAGCGGTGGAGGCCCAGAACGTCTGTCTGTCCCGCGAGCTGATAAGGATGAAAGCGATCGACGTTCAGCGTGAGCTGTGCGACGCGTGGGACCTGGGGATTTCCGACGGCTGGCTCACTGCATTTGAACATAGACATCGCCTTCGCTACCGCAATGGACCCGGCGAGTCTGGATCCGCTGATCCCGCTGCTGTAGCTCAAGGTCGTCAACGACTCCAAGAAATCACGGATCTCTACCCTGCAAAGGACATCTACAATATGGACGAGACGGGGCTTTGCTACGCAATGGCCCCAGCTCGGTCTATTTGTACGAAGCGGGCGCGAGGAGTCAAGAAGAAGAAGACCCGTATTACGCTTGCTCTCACGGTGAACGCTGACGGCACGGACGCACTACCGCCGTTGTTCCTGGGTCGCACCAAGCAGCCTCATTGCTTTGAGAAGCGCTCTGCAGAAAGACTCGGCTTCTCATACCGGGCTAATGCGAAGGCCTGGATGACAGGACCGATATTCCGAGAATGGCTACACAATCTGGATCGGGACATGCGAGCGGCAGGGCGTCATATCTTGCTGCTGCTAGATAACGCGTCTTCTCATATGACCGGCGATCTGGTGTGTACAAACATTCGCGTGGAGCTCCTACCCCCGAATACTACTACCTACTTGCAACCTATGGACGCCGGCATCATTGCTCTGTTCAAGCGGGCGTACAGGAGAAGGCGGATTCTCTGGGTGTACGAAAAGATCAAGGACGTGAAGAAGCTGAAGAAGGAGCCCTACGCGGTCGATCAGTTGCAAGCAATGCGGTGGAGCAAGGAGATCTGGCAAGAGCTGCAGGATAAGTCGGCCATCGAAAACTGCTTCCGCCATACTGGAATTGTTTTTAACGGTGTAGATGAAAGGTGCGGCGATTCCAACGACACTACTTATGACGAAGACGTCAGTGTAGAAGATATTATAATTCGTGCTTCGCAGTTGAGCTTGTAAAATATATTTTACGTGTACAGTACTTCATTGTGGTCCCTTTATAATAAAATGGCAAATCTTAGGAGATGGTCGGACCTCGTTGCCGAAGGTGAGAGCTTTTACTGTACATGGTTTCAACATGGAGCGACACACCATACCCAAAAACCTCCGACCCTCCGACTTTCTCCGACTCGTACACAAAACATGCGAATAGGAGGGAGGTCACCTTTAACTATCACCCAGCTACGCGCTACGCGCGAACCTAAAACCCCTAAAGTCTCGCTGCGCTCGCTGGGCCAGAACCCTAAGCCCGCTGCGGCTCGCACGCGTCGCCTCCGCTTGCTAGGTAGAGCACTGCTGGGTCCTGGGTTTGCAGCCGCGTGCTACGCACACGGACTGTCAAACCGCAGGCGGGGGCTCGCTACGCTCGCTCCGTGCCATCCATCCCAAGGCTCCGACCAATGAGCAAACGGGACGACAATCTATCTTGGACTGTGTATGCATAACACTTTGGGAAGGGGTAGGGTAATACCGTTTTGCTCCGACCGCGCTTGACTGGGGATTTGTATATCTATCATCTTAAGTGCGGTCGGAGATTTGATGATATTCTACCATACCGAGTCGATCGCACTTTGGTGCCAAATCGCTGCCTACAATCTCATCGTTCGGGCAGAAGCCTTACATTTTTGAGCCTGGCTCACGTTTCGCTGCGGCATTCCTTTTCGGTTCCCACTTTCGATTATACAGCGTGGGCCTGACAGTCAAGACCATGCTTTCTGTTCGAGCGCTCGGAGCTTCAGCTCTGACGTACGCCCTCCTGGTTACGCAGTCTCCCCGTGTTCTCGCCGCGGACTACACAGTTAAAACGGATGCCTCGACGACATTGATCAGCTCGTGGGAAGGGTGGGGTACGTCGCTCTGCTGGTGGGCCAACGCCTTCGGAGACCGTGAGGACATCGCCGACCTACTCTTCACGCAAAATGATACCGTGACGCTGAAGGAGGCGTCGTCTGGACTTCCGGCACTCGGGTTCAACATCGCACGCTACAACATCGGCGGTTCCAGTAAGAACGTAATTGATGACGCTGGTACTGAAATCGCGATGAAGGAGTCGCCTAACATGCCGGCATTCAAGGCCATCGAATCGTTCTGGTTGGACTGGGCCAGCAACGACACGACCAGCAAAAGCTGGGACTGGGATGCCGATGCGAAGCAGCGCAAGATGCTGGAGTTGGCAACGCAGCGTGACGTCGACCTCACCGAGGCGTTCTCGAACTCGCCGCCATGGTGGATGAACAATAATCACGCTACTGCTGGTGGGGCTAGCGGAACGAAGGACAATCTGCAAACCTGGAATCATGGCCAATTTGCGCTTTACCTGGCTGCTGTCGTGAAGCAGGCGAAGGAGAGCTGGGGTGTCACCTTCGACTACGTCGAGCCGTTCAACGAGCCGATGAGCTCGTGGTGGCAGTTCCCCGGTGGTCAAGAAGGCTGCCACTTTGATGTGGCCACGCAGAAGGATGTCTTGGTGAAGCTTCGCACGAAACTGGACCAGCTCGGACTGAAAGATGTGGCCATCGCGGCATCGGACGAAAACTCGGACACCCAGACGCTATCCACGCTGAACTCTATGTCAACCGATGCCAAAGTTATGGCCACCATTGAAAAGGTGAACACGCATGGCTACGGTAACCGCGAGTCGGATCGAGCACCCTTGAAGGCATTAGTGAAGAAAGTGAACAAGAAGTTCTGGGACTCCGAGTATGGCGAAAAGGACGCTACAGGGCTCAGCTTGGCTGAGGCTGTCGCTATCAACATCAACGAGATGGGTGTGTCTGCCTTCGTGTACTGGCAGCCGTTTGACGGCGGAGGCTGGGGTCTCATCAACTCGGCTCCGGGCAATATGACGATTGGCACGGCCAACCCCAAGTACTACGCACTGGCGCAGTATTCCCGCCACATTCGACCTGGTATGGCTATCCTCTCTACGGATGACAAGAATACGGTCATGGCTTACGATGCGAAGACCAAGCTTCTCGTACTGGCGACAGTAAACTCGGGTACCGCTGCCTCGAAGGTCACGTATAATCTGGAGAGCTTTTCTAAGGTGGCGGGCCCGATTAATGCCTGGACGACCGAGACTAGCGGTACGGGCGCACTTTACAAGACGTCGAAGGTCGAGTTGTCGGGTACAACTTTCAGTGCGTCGATTCCTGCCGCGTCGGTGATGACGTTCGAGATTCAGGGTGTTGCCATGTAGACGTAACGCAGGGTTGGTAAGCTCACAAAACACTCACATGTTGTCAATAAATTGGTGTGCTTCCAGAAGCCACACAACGATACCTATAACGTTACCTTCAAATTTGAGATGCGATCTGCAAGTTGAAGGCCTCAATAGCTTTCGGATCGCAACCCTGTTCTCAGGTTTTCACATCCGAGCTACGATCCTCCGGATTTTGAGGGCAACCAGCCGACTCGTATCGAACAAAGATCAAGGATGATATGAGGAACCTGATGAGGTGGAATGGAGCCTCCGTTTGTTAATGTAGGTGCTGGCATCTACATGAACCGGTACGCATCAAAGCAACCAGTATCCAGTCAACTGTTCCGGAAAACAGTCAGCATGTACGGTACTAGCATCGTCAAAATGAGTCTTCCGATCTCCATGTTACGTGACAATCTCAAATCTCCACCATCAAATCTTTACCTGCTCGTGTGGAATGTACTCAGCCTGCCTGGCTCAGTAGCAGTGCCGAGATCGATGCAGTTTGCATCAGTGTGACTCCGGGAAAACGCCCGCAGCGCCTGCACCTCCCGAAACCGGGCACTTGCCGCTGCAATCGTGTCCGTCCTTTTCAGTTCCCACTTTTACTTTTGCGGTGCGCAACAGTCAAATTTCTTCAAACTATGCTCTCTGTTCGATCGATTGCGGCGTCAGCTCTGGTCTACTCGCTTCTACTGACATACACCACGGGCCAATGCAGACTGACGCTGCTACGACGCTGGTGAGTTCCTGGGACGGATGGGGCATATCGCTCTGAACGTCTTCGGTGATAGGGAAGACATCGCCGACTTACTCTTTACTACGAGGAGACCGTGACGCTGAACGGCTCCACGACCGGCCTGCCAGCTCTGGGGTTCAATATCGCACGCCACAATATCGGTGGCTCTGCGAACAACGTTGTCGACGATAGCGGAACCGAGGTGCCGATGAAGACGTCGGACAAAATGCCAGGGTTCAAGTTCATGGAGGCGTTTTGGCTGGATTGGATGAGCAAGGACCCAACCAGCACGAGCTGGAACCGGGACACGCAAAAGGATGTTTTGGTGAAGCTGCGTTCGCAGCTGGACACTCTTGGACTGAAAGATGTGACCATTTCATCATCGGACGAAAACTCGCCCTCATTGGCACTTTCGGCGCTCGCCTCCATGTCGTCGGATACGGACGTGATGGCAGCGATCGGAAAGGTGAACACGCACGGCAATGACGGTCAAAGCCTGTATCGCGGAACTGACCGAGAGCCCTTGAAAAAAACTGGTGACCCAGTCAAACAAAAAACTCTGGGATTCGGAGTATGGATCGCTCTTGACATCAACCAGATGGGTGTATCGGCTTTCGTTTACTGGCAGACACTCGACAGTGGCGCTTGGGGCCTCGTTGAATCCAACCCAGGCGATAACTGGATCGGCACGCCCAACTCCAAGTACTACGTGCTAGCGCAGTACTCGCGCCACATTCGGCCAGGCATGACCATCTTGTCAACGGATAACACCAACACCGTCATGGCGTTTGACTCGACTTCAAAAGTGTTGGTACTCGCGACGGTGAACACGATGATTCGGCGTCGAAGGTCACCTGTGACCTTTCGAGCTTCAAGGCGGTGGCGGGCCCGATCACTGCTTGGACGACAGAGACAAGTGGCACTGGCGTGCTGTACGAGTCTTCGAAGGTCGACTTGTCGGGCACGTCGTTCAGCGCGTCCATCCCGGCAGCGTCGGTGATGACGTTCGAGGCCCAGGGTGTTGCCGTTTGACCCCTTTAAGGGTTGGCTTTTGTTGTTCACCCGCACAGAGCACTATGTACAAGCCGCCGTTCGTAAAAAAAAAAATCCATACTCTATGATAGAGTATGAATTGTTTTTTTATAGAGTCTCTATCATTCACCAAAACGCTCACTTTGGACACTCAAAGCCGAAAGTACGGTTTGCTTCAACTACACTGTAGAAATAGTATTTCTGAAATACCAGCCAGTTCAGCAACCAGCTTTGCAACCGTCATCTCATTGGTTAAAAATGGTGTACCAGGTAATGTGTCACTTTGCTGCAGCCCTTTGAGGTTGCTTTATGAGCAACGCGCTGTGAAATGAGCTGAATAACTCTTGTGCATGTAGTACTGACTGCGAGAACCTCTTTGTAATACACTAGCGTCGCTCTCGTAGGTGCAGTACCGACCGCGAGAACTGGTCACGGCCTTGTACTCCTTGAACGCCTTAACTTTCTTCGACAGAGCGGCAACAGCTCACGCGTGTAGGCAGTACTGCTGCGGGGTCCTTCCATACCGATTTTATGAGTCTGTAGCCGCGGGACGGCTTCCATTTCACGCAGATTGCTACTGTGCGGTAGGTCTGGCGGGCTGGCTTTTATTTGTGTGAAGATGTCTGAAATGATGACACAGTTTACCTGCGTTCTCTCATCTCAGTGAGAGCTGGATAGAGTGTGCCTCTGATCCTACCTTGTAGCCGTAGATGAGGAAGTGGTAGAGGTAGCCTGCATGAAATCGTACGGGTTGTGCAGCAGCACCAGGAGGGTGCGGAGCTAGCTCTACCGGTAGCCCCGCCGCCATAACAGGCCTTCGGCTCCGACGTGACCTCCTACTACGTGCAGGTACGACAGTATGAGCTGGTTCGACCAGCCATGGAAAGCTCCAGGCCGCCGTTGGCGGTGCCACGGCTTGCCACGGTGATAAACGCTTTGCAACCCTGCATAAACGAATTCACTTGTGTTTTGTATACTGTCTCCCATACGGCGTCGTTTTGCTACCGTGACTTGCAGTTTGTATAGGAGTTGAGTTGCACAACAGACTAATACTTGCTAGTAGCAAGTTGCTACCGTGTGCGCAACCGAAGTTGCAAGCGATACCGTACCATTTGGCTACAGTACAAGCAACAATCCTGGTCGATACCATAGGTGGCGATTTCTAGAAATACAACCTGGGTTGCAAATGGCCGGTAATGTACTAGTATCTGAGGCCAAATACGGCCAATCAAATTCGTCCTCGCAACCAACGCGATGCAGACTCGAGAAACGCCGGGACCCTTCTCACTCGTCTGTGGAGACCATGGCGAGCCCCTCGGAGGTCCCAGCGCGGCCTGGCCAGTTGACGACTGAGTTTCTGCAGCAGATTCTCCGTCCTTTGTATCCGTCGCACCAGGTGGTTGACTTCGACTGGAAGCCCATGAACATCGGCGTGATCGCCGAAGTGGTGATCATCTCAGTGGACTTCGAGCCTGTCGATGGCCCCAGCGATGCCACCAAGCTGCAGCGGCGATACGTGGGGAAGTTCTTGCGCCCAGAGTTCCCGTTCGAGTCGATGTTCGCGGTGGAGTCCAAGTTCTACAACGAGTTCACGACTAAGGCAGGTGATGCAGCCACGAGGAACTCGGCGGCAGTGGTGGGGTTCCCGTTTGCTATCCCGACCGCAATTTTCACGTCCAACGTGCTGATTGTATTGGAGTGCATCGAGGCAGTAAAGACTTTTACTTGCGTTGATGGAAGCCCGCCCCACCACATTCCGATGCTGGTAACGAAGCTCGCGCAAATGCACGCACGGTTTTGGAGTCACGACTGCGATGATCTTTCATCCCCAGCAGGAATCGGCAGCCAGCTTTCCGGCGAAGAGAAGCGCCTGCAGTTTCCGGGCCGTTGGGAGACGTTTTTGGACGACGTGTCCTTGGAGCTCTACGAGAAGGATCAGCTGACCGAGTTGTGTCAACGTCTGAGCGAAAAACCTGACCAGCTCAAAGCAGTGCACGACCTGGTGGACAGCGGCCCGACCACGCTGATCCACGGCGACTTTCACATTGCCAACATGCTTTTACCGACGGACCCTGCGGACGATGTGACATGGCTTCTGGACTGGGCAACGTGCGGTAAGGGAAACCCGCTGCGAGATCTCGCCTTCTTTTTCATCGTGAGTGTCCAAGCCAGCCACCGTCGCGTACAAGAGGCACAGTGCCTGGAGGTATATCACAAGGCGTTAACGGCAGAAGAGGAGGCTGTGCGCTTGTCGTTGGACAAGCTGCACCGACAATATAAGGCGTGCGTGCTCAACCAGTTCGTGATCTTGGTTGTGTACGACAGCCTCAGCAAAAGCCTCGCAGCAAACGCGAAGACCGAGAAGCTCCGCGTGGAGTTGGACGCACATTTCCGAGAGGTTAATTGTCGCGCGTGCTTGAGCGTCCTCGACAACATCGGGGAGAAGGACATCGAGCTCCTGTCAGATGGTCGCTCGTGATCAAAACCTACATACTAGCTATAACTTCAATCGGAAGCCACATGTGTGTTTGTCTTGGACTTACATCCTTTGCATATCGATTAACTGCTCTTGCCTCCACACGTGCATGTGTATCTTGCTTGCTCCGCTGTCGCAGCAGATGATGCCTTCTTGCAGATTACGATGGCACGGATTGAGTAGGCAGTTGATCCTGCTTCATCGTAGCGAAGTTCGACACCCTAGCGGCCTGAAAACGTGCACTTATGCTCGACTCCCGCCTTTGGGTCAAATGTGGCGGCCCTGAGTCAGCTGGAGGTAAGATGGATGGCTTTGGCTACACTCAAGACCTTGTGTGAGCAAGGCGGCCTTGAACAAGGCCACCATGACGGGATCAATTGACCGCTGCACCACCTGCAGCTACTGCGACCGACTGGTCAGACATAAAACGCACTGATCCAGTCGGTCACAGGAGCGTCACCGTCGGCTCTGCGGCATACGAAGAACCGCGGTGAAGGGAGCACATCTCGAGTGACCTCGCAGCGTTGGCGAACATGGCGCGCTCCATCCCGAAGCCCAACCCGGTCCTGGACACCCTGCTGGTGAGCCTGCTCGTGTGCGAGCTGGGGGTCATCACGCACACGCTGTGGGACGACCAGCAGATGCTCGCCATCCTCGTGGCGATGGTCTTCGTGGTGGCGCTGGCCGTCAAAGTCACCAAGACCTCGTTCGCCATCGGTGGCGGATGGTTCTCTCGCACGTTCCTGCAGCACCTCGGAGACCCGTTGAAGAAGGCGGTGACCATGAAGAAGTGGTGCGACCAGTCGTGGCAGCTGGCCATTCACGTGTCCATGACTATCTTCGAGCTGTACGTGCTGCGCGATGAGACGTGGTGGCAAGATACGACGACCTGTACGTGGCCCACTTGTCCCTTGGAGAGCTTTGGTGATCGAGTCTAACTTGTTCACTGCTACTGACTTACTGCAGTGTGGAACCAGGGAACGGACACAGGCGTGTTCCCCACGCAGAAGTTTAGCACCAAGTTGCTCTACATCACTCAACTGGTACCGTGGATGACGCGAGCTCTTTTTGTTGACGACTGGCTGCTGACACATGGGCGGTGTGCACTTTGGTCGTTCGTTTCACTAGGCAATTTGGATCTACACGGCGTTCTCATGCAAGTTCCTGGAGGAGATCCGCAAGGACTACTTGGTTATGATGACTCACCACGTCGTCACGATCGCCCTCGTCACGTGGTCGTACGCCGTCGGCTTCTTGCCCGTTGGCGTCGTCGTGCTGCTCCTCCACGACATGACGGACATTCCGCTTGACATGCTGAAGATGGCCAACTACCTCAAGATGGAAGGCGTCCCCGGCTTGTTTACGAGCGAGATCCTCTTCGTCATCACGATCGTGCTCTGGTTCTACTACCGCATTTACCAGTATCCGACCAAGCTGCTTTACACGACGATGGTGGAGAACCGCGAGGCCAGCATGACAATGGCCGACGCGCACGACTTCACGCAGCTTTTCCCGCATCCCGGCCCTCCGTCCTGGCTGCTTTTCAACGTGTTGCTCACCACACTGTACTGCCTGCACATTTGGTGGGGCCTCCTGCTGGTGCGGGTGCTTATCGGCGTGGTAACCAAGGGCGCCCACGATACGGCCAAGGAGGAGTACGAAGGCACGTCGTCCGACTCGGACAACGAAAAGAAGGACGAGTAGAAAGAAAGAGGGTATTGGTGCAGTGCGCGCACGAGAAAGAAGGCCTAGAGTTACGGGAGGACAACATCTAAGCGAGAAATGAAGTGTGCTGCTACATGCTTGCACTGGACAAACTTCAACCAATCAGTACCTTTTCAAATTATAGAACATCTAGATTAGAAGATTACAAATTTTGGCGGCAAATTCGGTTTGATTCGCTATGCCACCATCAGCCAATCGGCTTCGGCTTCACCTCGACAACGTTGCTGGGAGTGCAGTGCGTGGCGCGTGGGGTAATAGGCAAGTGAGCGGTCCGGCAACATGATGGAGGCGCTGGGCGACGATCCGGCCGTGGCGGTTGAGTCGCTGGTCACGGAGGACTCCATCGTGAAGGCGCTGCGAGAGATCCTCCCGTCGATGGACGCCGACACGGCGACGCTGAAGGCGGTGATGCAGAAGCTGGCCGTCCGCTTTGGCATGACTTTCGCAGACCTTAAAGCCCAGTGGAGACCTCGCATCAAGGCGCTACTGCCGGACTTGCTGGAGCTGTGCGCGGGAGGGGATGCCTCTGAAGCTGAGGACGGGAAGGATGAGCCTGCGGCACAAGAAGAAGACGAAGAGGAGGAGGAGGTTGATCTACGTCCCAGCCGGAAACGCACGGAACGCGCGACGAAGAAGCGCAATGCAGTTGTGGAGGAAAGTGAGGAAGAGGACGAAGACAAGGATGGTGCTAATGAAAGCGAGGCCAGTGAAGACGAAGCTAAGCCCGAAGAGGATGACGAAGATGATGACGAAGAGGAAGTCGCTCCAGTGAAAAAGAGAAGGACGGTATGGGCCCCTTTTGCTACTGCGATGAGATTTACGTTGCTGTGTAGAGAAGTTTGTGCTGATCGTAGGTTTTGTCATGCAATGCGTTGCAGTCTGATAACGGTCGCGCGAAGAAGCGGAAAAACAAGGAAGCGGCGCCACCGGCAAAAAAACCAAAGACTACCAAGCAACAGGATCCACCTGGACTGGCCTCGCTGAAAGAACTGGGCCGTGCGGCAGGCGTTCTCAAGTACGTGTTCAAGATTGATAGTAAATGTGCGGTAGCCTTTATGCTAACTACTGCTGGATTTGTCATCGTTGACTGATGTGCAGCCCGCAGTTGTACAGGGTTCTGAAAAGCGCTGCTTCGTCCGATGAGGCCGAGGAAATTCTACGCGAACGGCTGCATGATGCTGGGATTTCGTTCCAAGGGTCGTACCCTTCGAGTCGCGATATCAGCGCTGCTAAGAGGAAATACAACAAGGAGAAAGACCTGGAAGGCATCGACACGAGCTTGATCATCACGGGTGGTCGCTCGCGACGCGGAACATCCCAGCCCCGCATCTCGTACAAGGAAGAACGCATCAGCGGCGAGGAAGACAACGCCGATGATGACGACGATGACGAAGACGAAGATGCGGAAGATGAGGACGACAATGAGGATGACGCCGAGGAGTCTGCAGCCAGCGACTCGGGCGAGTCCGAGGCATCGTTTTAAGGCAGCAGATTTTGCGCTGCGCTGCTGTTTTCTGGTCGCGCAGAGAAGATGCATGTGAAGTACGAACGTAGTTGGCGCAACTAATAGAGAGGCCTTGCTTGACAAGCAAGTTACATGTTGAAGTCTTGTCGAAAGCAGGATACAAATCAAAACCTTCTAACCGGTTCAGGGTAGGGTACATGTGATAGGCCCGGTTCAACGTCTGTTTTGACTTAGAATATATGGTCTGTGCTCCTAGTTTGGGGAAAACGTGTTTTTCCGGCCTTCACACTGGTTTGGGAAATACAAATCTGTGTGGCGCACACAGCGTTCAGGTGATTGGTGGTGGGCGCGCGAGGCCGTTTGGTCTTGTGTGGGGCGACAGCATTTGCCGCGCACCAGTTTCCAGAACCCGAACGTGAAGCAATGCCGTCCTACAGCCAGGAACCTGAAGACGCTCAGCGCGCCGCCAAGGCCCGCGGCTCGCACCTGCGCGTGCACTTTAAGCACTGCCGCGAGGTCAGCCACGCCATCAAGGGCATGCCCCTGAACAAGGCCAAGAGCTTCCTCCAGGCCGTGCTCGAGTACAAGCAGGCTGTGCCCTTCACCAAGTTCACGGGCGGCTGCGGCCGTCACGCCCAGGGCAAGCTCCGCGGCGCCGCTGGCGACAAGTGCAAGTGGCCCCAGAAGGCTACCAAGATCATCCTCGACCTGGTGAAGAACGCCGAGGCCAACGCCGAGGTCAAGGGCCTGGACACGGACCTGCTGTACATCTCGCACGCTCAGGCCAACGCCGCCATTAAGCAGCGCCGTCGCACCTACCGTGCCCACGGCCGCATCGGCCCCTACATGTCCAACCCGGCCCACATCGAGCTGATCCTGACGGAGAAGCGCGCTAACGTTGCCAAGGCCGCGGAGGAGGCCAAGCCCGTCAAGGTGTCCCGCAAGCGTCAGGCTCAGCTGCGCCTCAAGTCGGGCGGCGGTGTCCCGGCCAACTAAGTTGCTTTCTTCCTGAAACACGAATGGTCAGTCTGGATCGAGCGACTGTAGACGCGAGGGGGTGGCAAAAAGTTGCTAAAACTTTTTAATACAGCCTTGCCGAGAAATGGGTTCTACTGATGCAGTGTCTGTTGCCAAGAGAGCAAGCGCGTTTCCAGTTCGTCTTCCGTGCGGTGTGGATGGTGGCCTCGCGGGGTATCATTGTGGATTGCCTTGATGCGTGCAGGTACAGGTTCAGCAGCGGCGGGTGATGTCAGGGCGGCGGGGACTAGCGAAGGAGGTGCGACGCCTGCGCGGCGTAAAGGGGACTAAAGCGATCAGCCGTGGAACAAGCGGGGAAATACCGGAACTGGACAGACTAGGATGGTGGACCAGTTTGCTGGGCCTCGATGGATACAAGATCACCGACGACAGCGTTGCTGTGTGTAGCAGCGAAGACGGAGGATAGCAAGTCGACCCAAGCCTGTAGTCGATGCCTGGACGGGAAGTGAACTACCCACACTTGCAGCGTGCTCGGGTCCTGCACAGTCATCCACCACTTCTTTGCTCCGCGGGCGCTAGTCTCCTCGACTGGTGTGACGAGGCTGATGCTGTGGAGACGCATCACGTGCTTGAAGTTGCCGTAGTGCAGAAGGTGCTGGACTTGATCGAGGTGCAGGTGCTGCAATCGCTTCTGCATCTTCGGCACGAAGAAGCCCACAGGTTCTGCGATGTAGAGCCACTCGCTGCCCGCTGCGGGATCATGTTCGCTGACGACGCTGTCCTCTTCGCCTGTGTCGGTGTCGTGATCCGACTTCAACCTTGACGGACAAAGCGAGGAAAAGCGTCGTCGCCATATCGCCCCAACACCAAACATAGCACGCGGTTGCTAGCTCGAGTCGTCGACGTCGTTGTTACACTGAATGCATCTTTCCAAATACATCGCAACACCATGCCAATCGCTGGTCCCCAAAAAGCTTTCGCCGCCTTCGAAATGCCTTCAACTGCGCTACGGGTAGGTCACTCGAAATAGCCCTTGGGAATGAAAAGCTTTCATCAAAGATGAACACAATTGAGCCGACGAGACTCAATTTGTGCGCCAAGGCGCACCTATTTTTACATTTTACACACAATTTGGGCTCTTCAATTCGACCTAATTTTTGGCGGGAGCCGCCGCGAACCACTCGCAAACGGAGCGCGCAAGATGAAGCAGAAGACGCAGAGCTCGCTGCTGAGCTTCTTCAGCCCGCCGTCGTCCGAGGGCGCGTCGGCCAAGAAGAAGAAGGCGCCTGCTGCCGCCGGCAGCAGCAACGGCAGCTCTAAGAAGAAGGCGACCAAGGCGCCGGCCAAGCGCGAGTCGCTGGGCAACACGCGCAAGAAGATCGACTTCTCGCCCAAGCTGAAGCAGAAGCCGGCGACCAAGGAGGCAGTGGAGAGGGCCAGCGATGACGTGGAGATTGAAGACACTGAGAAGCCGGCTACGAAGAAGAGCTCCAAGCGCAAAGCCTACGAGGATTTCCTCGGTACCGACTCGGAGGAGGACGAAGAGGAGCCCGTGAAGGCTCAGGAGAAGAAGCAGCAGGACGCGGAGAAGGCGAAGGAAAAGAGCAAGGAGCCTGAAAAAAAGCGCACACAAGTCCGCCCTGGCAAGATCATCATCCAGGACGACGACGACTCGGACGAGGAGCCGGTGGCGCCAGCGTCTCGACGTCGGACGACCAAGACAGCAACTCGCAACGCTGTGAGCAGTGAGGAAGAGTGGGAGCAGGACAGCCCTGAAGAGGGCGGCGATGGCGAAGAGTCGGAGTTCAGTGCTGCGGAGGAGGAGCCTTCGGATGACGACGACGTTGACGATCTCGTGGACGAGGAGTCGGAGGAGGAAGCCCCGCCGCCCAAGAAGCGTCGCAAGAGTGCTCCGGCGCCAAGCAAGGCAAAGAAAGTGTCTACCAAGTCATTCCTGTCACCCCCACCCGCGGGCAAGAAGAAGGCCAACAGCGCTACTCCGTCGAGCGGCAAGAAGTCTGCGCCTCTGGCTGATGGCCCCGACTTGCCCAATTCAGTAGCGGGTGCTGGCAATCACATTCACGACTCCCTGCCCTGGCTGCATGAGAAGCGCCGCGATATCAATGATAACACAGCAGACTCGCCGGATTATGACCCTCGCACACTGAAGGTGCCGCCGGAGTTCTTGAAAAAGGAGACGCCGGCGATGGTGCAGTGGTGGGAGGTCAAAGCGCAGAACATGGATACGGTGCTGTTCTTCAAGGTCGGCAAATTCTACGAATTGTTCCACATGGATGCTGACGTTGGTTTCAAGGAGTTGGGGCTCATCTACATGAAGGGAGATAAAGCTCACTCTGGCTTTCCAGAAATCGCGTACTCTAAAATGTCATCTCAACTGGTTGCGAAGGGCTACCGCGTTGCTCGCGTTGAGCAAACGGAAACTCCCGAGATGCTGAAGGTGCGCAATAGCTCGCTCGCTAAAAAGGCGAAGGTTGTTCGCCGTGAGGTATGCTCTCTCCTGTCGATTGGTACCAACACTGTCAGCTTCCTGGACGCTCCAATCTCATCTCAGGACCAAGTGTCGAAGCATCTTCTCGCGCTAAAGGAGGCTTTCGACCCCACACAAAAGACTGTTCGCTTCGGCGTTTGCATGGTGGATTGCTCTACCGGCGCGTTCCAGCTGTCCGAATTTGATGATACTGAGCAGAGGGACCGTTTGAAAACGCTATTTGCTCAGTTTCACATCGTGGAAATTGTGACAGAGCGATTCAACATTTCTGATGACACGAAGATGACCCTCAAGCATTCAGCACCTGCTGCGATTCGCTCGTCACTGCGCGTGGGAAAGGAGTTTTGGGGTGCTTCGAAGACCATAGATGAAATTGAGCGTGCGGGGTACTTTAAGGAACATGGATGGCCGGAAGACGTACTGCACTTTTTGGAAGTGGATAAAGGCGTGAAGCCCGAGGGTCAACTTGCGATCAGTGCTCTGGGTGGTTGCATCTGGCACCTGCGACGTAGCATTATTGACCAAGAGCTGCTCTCCCTGTGCAACTTCAAGAGATACAAGCCTTCGGATGAGGAGGCACGAGAAGCACGTGCAAACAAGGAAGCGCTGTCCGCTGCTAAGGCCGAGTTAAACCAGCAGTATGTGGTACTGGACTCGCAGACTATCCAAAATCTGGAGGTGCTTTGTAACAGTTTCAACGGATCCCGCTCAGGATCTCTCATCGATATAATGGACAAGACCGTGACGAGCTTTGGTGGGCGAATGTTTCAGGAATGGGTGCTAAAACCTTTGTGCAAGATTGGCGACATTCAAGAGCGCCTTGATGCCGTTGAAGAGTTGGGCAACAGCGGCGACTTGATGATGGAAATTCGGGAGTTCCTCCGCAAATTGCCAGATTTGGAGCGTTTATTGTCGCGAATTCATGCGCTCGGATCTGCGCATCGATCCCAAGAACACCCGGACAGCCGTGCCATTATGTACGAGTCCCAGACTTACAACATCCGAAAGATCAAGGAGTTTCTCTCTGTCCTCAACGGCTTTGATGAAGCTATGAACCTCACCCTCGAACTGGGGCCTCGCCTGTCACAGTCCACCTCTCCAATTCTTCAGTCATTGTTGAAAAGGTACCAAATTGAGGACGGCGTCCAACCGGACATTAAGCACGGACATTTCCCCGATCTTACAGAGAAGTTGGAGTTCTTCAAGCGCAGCTTTGACCAAGCAGCAGCAAAGAAGAGTGGTGTGATCGTGCCCCAAGATGGTGTGGACCCCGAATTTGATGCAGCTTGCGCTGACATCGCTCAGATCGAAGCTGAGCTAGCAGAGTATTTAAAGGAACAGCGCAGTGCGCTTCGATGCCGAGACATTAACTACTGGGGCAAAAAGAAGGAGGACCGCTATCAGTTGGAAGTTCCCGAGAGCGCTTTGTCGAAGCAGCCGAAAGAGTATGAGCTGAAGTCTCGCAAGAAGGGGTACAAGCGCTTCCACACTCCCACGATTCGTGGCCTGTTGAAACGGTTGGCTGCAGCGGAGGATCAAAAGGAGGAGGCGCTAAAGGACCAGACACGTCGCATCTTTCACAAGTTTGACGAGGACTACAAGTACTGGATGAAGGCGGTGCAGTGCTTGGCTGTGTTGGACTGCTTGGTATCCCTTGGACTGCTCAGCAGCCAAAGTGAAGGCTATACAAAACCGGAGGTGGTGGCGGCGAGCGCAGCAAACGGAGGAACGCCTTTCATTGATATTGAAGAAGGTGTGCACCCCTGTGTTGCTGCAACTTACGGCAGTGGCGACTTCATTCCGAACGATGCGCACCTCGGTATTGAAGGTAAGGGCCAAATGGTTCTCCTCAGTGGACCAAACATGGGTGGTAAGTCGACGCTGTTGCGCCAAACGTGCGTACTCACGCTCATGGCCCAGATCGGAAGCTTCGTTCCTGCTGCCAAGTGTCGTCTCAGCCCCGTGGACCGCATTTTCACGCGGATTGGTGCGTCTGACCGCATCCTTGCTGGCCAGAGTACTCTTTACGTGGAGCTGGCCGAGACGGCGACGATCCTGAACCACGCTACCAGCCACTCGCTCGTGATCCTGGACGAGTTGGGACGTGGTACGTCGACGTTCGACGGCACTGCTATCGCGTACTCGGTTGTTGAGCATTTGCTGAGCGACATCCAGTGTCGAACCATGTTCGCTACTCACTACCACTCGCTGGTTGAAGAGTACGTGGGCAACGACAAGGTCTCATTGGGCCACATGGGATGCATCGTCGACCCGGAGAATGATCGCAAGGTCACGTTCCTGTACAAGTTGGAGGACGGCATGTGCCCCAAGAGCTACGGCATCAACGTCGCCATGCTGGCCAAACTCCCGGACGAAGTGGTCGAGTGCGCTGCGAAGAAGTCGGAGCAATTCGAGCGGTCCTTGCAGGCGAACTCACACACAGAGCTTGAGACTCTCCGGCTAGCGCAGAAGGTGAAGGAAGCACTCGAAGAAGGAGAAGCCGGTGTTGACAAGCTCAAGCAGCTCTGGCAAGAAGCACGCGCCGCCATCCGCGCTTCAAGTGTCGGCTCGCCAATCATGTAGCCCTCAAGCCAGAATCGACGCGCTTTTTCGTATCGGACCGAAACCCTGCGCTTGGCTCGACTTCTCAGTAAAGTTGGTAGAAATCATGACTTCCTCGTAGCCATCTGACGTCAGATGGCTACATACATCTATACCGAAATTAACGAAAAATCCGAAAATAAGCCGAGTTATCACTGCAGTCATTCCAACGCAGCAATGCGTCAAGACAAGTCGCTGGTGGAGCTGGCTGTAGCGGCGGTGGCGCTCTTCACACCCGTCCAGGAGATCCTCGACTATGTCGAGTACCTGCCCACAACCATTCGCCATCGGCTCTTCAAGGAGCTGTCCAACTTCCGGCTGCGGGAGATGGAAGTGGCCTGGGAGGCGGCTGCCAAGCTGGAAGCCCCAGAGCCTCGCGACGGATTCGACCCGCAAGCCGGCGACAAGTTCCTGTTCGACCGAGAGACGCAGCGCGTGTGGGAGCTCCGCATGAAGGCAGCAAGACTGGGCTACGAGCCGATCCCCATCGAAAACACGGCAGCAGCTCAGGGCCGCAGACGCAATCACCGGAACGTCTTCTGGGAGCACCAGTTCCGTACGCTGCTCAAGCTGCGGACACCGCTGGACCTCGCGGGGCCAGTCGACGTGTTGGTGGAGTGCCAGAAACTTTTCGTGGATGTTGTGGAGGTACTGAAAGTGCACGGTCGTGAGGTTTGTGAGGACAACGTAAAGCTGATCTTAGCGCTCGGACGACTGCGACGACTGGAGGTGCATCACCCAGAACAGCAAGGCACTCACTGGGAGTCTATGGAATCCTTGATGCAGGGTCATTCGCATCTCACAGAGCTGGGGTTCTTACACGGCAAGTTGAGCGACAACCAGCTCGCTCAAATCCGTGGCGCGCTGGCGAAGCCCCCCACCATGTTGGAAAAAGGTTTAAACTGCAGCAGGATCACGACATTGGAGCTGGTCTCTGTGAGAATTCGGCCTGAAGGGTTCCGCCAATTGGTATCACTGGTGGCGGAGATGAAGCAACTAGCCCAGCTGAGGGTGAGCAATACCATCACAGATTTCGAAACGAAGCTACTAATCGACGCAGCACTTTGCGCTCCAAAGCTGCAAAGGCTGTTCCTGGAACACAACGAGCTGGAAGTTGATGCATTCTTGGGTCTCTCGAAAATGCGAAAGCCGTTAGCATTGCGCCACCTCCGTCTCAGCGACAACGATGTGTCGCCCATAACGCTGGGGGCTATCTGCAGCGCCAGCATGGATGGGGTGCTGAATCTGGAGCGGCTTGAACTGACGAACAATGTGCAAATTGGTGATGCGGGTATACACGCGCTTACACCAATGCTAGCGTCCCCCAGTGCTGAGCCGACTGCAGTACTAACTCATTTGGATGTTCGCGGCTGCAATTTTGGCCTCGAAGGTGCCACGTCTCTACTGCTTGCGTTGGGCCAAAACAAAACGCTGAAGCACTTGAACCTCGCGCAGAACTTTTTCGATGTTGGCTTTGGTGACGTACTGGCAGACTTCTTGTTCACGAACCAGTCCGTCACAAATTTACAAGCGAACGGCGTCGGATTGGGTCTGGCAGGTGTGTCTGCTCGACTGCTGACGGCATTAGAGAGCAACACCACACTCACATCTCTTTCATTGGGGGCAAACCGGTTGAGAAACGACGGTGCATCTGCACTGCTTCGCTCGCTGATTAAGCGAGCACAGAAGAAACCATTCTCGCTGGTTGACTTGAGTGGAAATTTGCTCACATTGAGTGGACTAGCGATGTTAGCCGACATATTAGAGAACCCCACCAATGACACCAGTTCCCACTCGAACAACTCCAGAAGCGACGGTGAAGGGGGGACTCTATCCGACCGCAAGCGACGACGCACTAGTAGCTCGGACAATCGCGACAACTCGCTGAGTCCTTGCAACGCCAATAGCAAGCCAATCGAAGAGCTTTGCCTGCTCAATAACGACTTCCTCGGCGCTGATGAGTACGTGGGCGACAGCTCCAAGCTTATCGAGGCTATTCGTAGTCGCGTGGGTCACCTCAAGAGCAACGAATGGGCTATTCAGCACCAAGTGTACGACGATGAAGTGTAGGGCAAAATAGAATTCATGTACCATAACTCAAAAATACCTCGCTGTCTGGAGAAACCCGTTCATACCACAGCGGCAGCCAAAACTAAAGAATTTCTCACTCGAGGGAGCTATGGAGACCTTTTACTCAAAACACTCGCGATGTCCACGCACACAACACTCAGCGCCAAACGCACGACAGCACGCCTCGACTTTCGCACCTATCTGTCCGAGGCAAAAGAGCGCATACTCAAGTGCATGCCGAATTCGTGATCGACGTACTGGCGCTGACGCCATTCACGCTCTTCCTTCCGTTCCATGAGCTCCCGCTGCTTCTCTTGTAGTTCCGCAATATGCGATTCCAGTGAGTCGAGGATGCTTTGTAGTGGATGCGTAGCTCCCTCATGCTCGTCGTTCGACGTGGCGCTTTCATCATCAGCCTTGTGGCTTTGATAGTCGTCGTCATCATCTCCTTCATCATAGCCTTCGTCTTCCGCGTCGTCTTCCTCTTCTTCTTCCTCCTCCTCCTCCTCCTCGTCGTCGTCCTCATGCTTTGTCATTGTTGACTTCTCATCCAGTCGGCGCTTCTTGGCCAGATCAAAATTCTTTCCGTATTGATCGTCTTTACCTCGCTTCAATGGCTTCTTTGAACTTTCAGAACCAAAATGCCTTGAAAGCGAGTACGATGAATCTTCCTGTGTATGGCGGGCATCCTTTGTATCAGACTTAGCACTCGAACCCGACCCTGCGCATCGAACATAATCACTTGTCAGATTCTACATGCACTAAGCTCAACGCATGTCGTACGCAACACGCACAGGCGTTATCGGACGAACCAACAGATTGGTTATCGAGGCCGTCGTCATCAAGATCGGCATCAGCACCCGCCCCATCGTCCCACGTGTCCTCTTCGGTGGTAGCAAAGGAAGAAAAACAATATAAGTGAACCAACACCATCACAATTTAGTACATGAACTATACCTGGGCTGGACTGCTTTCCTGCCGTGATCGAGCTGTGTTCATCTGCGCCGTCCTCATTTCCTGTCTGAGGAGTTTGTGCTGCAGACCCAGGAGGAGTAGACCGTTCATGTTCACATTCGTCGACGATTGCATCCTCATTACCCGTCCGCGGTGTCTGGGCTGGAGACCCAAGAGGTGGAGATTGTTGGTGCTCACACTCGCTGGTGGCAGCATCTTCAAGGCGCGTTTCGGGTATCTGAGCTAGGGTCTCGCGAAGAAAGGGAGACCCTTCATCTTCAAACTCCTCGGTGACAGCATCCTCGAGATCCGTCTGCGGTATTTGGGCTGGGGACCCGAAAGCTGGGGATCCACCAGGCTCACAGTCCTGTTCATCTTCATCTATCATAGTTTCTGCTGCTCCATCAAGGTGATGCGGGTCAGGTATGTTCTCCTTGATTAGATCGCTTGGTGCTTCAACAGTGGCCGGAGCAGCGTTCACCACGGATTTTGGCAGACGCCCGTGCCCTTTTGCCTCTTGCTCCGAGGTTGCCATGCAGGAGTTGACATCGGGTGCCCTCAGAACAATATTCTCGAATCCGTTCAATGTGCCGAAACCTGCGGCAGTGATACACGGACCAGATTAGACCGGAGAGCTGACTGTATATATGTTCGAGAATACTCAGTAGCGTACGCTGCTCAAATTGAGTAAGAATGTGCTGGGCATCTGCGAAAAGATCTTGGAAAGTGACACCTGAAAACGAGAAGGTATCGGTTAGCTTTGATGCAAATGCAGGACGACGCAGTCATTCTCGTACCCGGGGTGAGGCTTGCGATCTTGTCGAAGAACGCAACAAGTTTGTTTGACCGGTATAGATCAATTGAGTGCTGCATGCATCGCAGCACGCTGTGGACAACCTTCTCTGTCCATTTGCATTGCTCCGCGATATCTCTTACGAAAGCTGCATAGTCATTCGCAGGCAATGTAGTCGCTGACGCCCCCTCACAACGTGCTGGTAGCGGCGCATTATACCCCGCGTTGATACCGGGGCCACTGTGGTGAGAAGCGTTTCTTGTACGCTGCACGCCTGCAACATGCACGCTTGCTGCCGCTGGAGCAGTGCCTCGTGCCGATGGATTTGTCACGACGACACTTGAGCTTGACGCCCCACGAGCTGTCATAGTTGCTGACCGAAGCTTAGGACGTGGTGACCAAATGTTTCTTCGCCGCTTTTTACTGCGCTCAGATGTGATCCTAGCGCCTGTATAAACATTAATCCACGACTGCCTGTCAGCCTGATAGTGTCAGGGTACAATAAAACAATCGATCTAAACTTTACGTACACCGCGACTTGATCGCTATGTAGCCAAGCGCGTAGGGGTCGTTCTGATCGCTCCAGTCTGGCCCAAACGAAGAAACGTGGCGAGTTGGCTATCATAGTCATCACAACTGCAGCACTCTCAGCCAAATCTACCTGCGTTAAAGATCTTGTACGCTTCCGAAGTCGGATCAAACACCGTGTTTGGTAAATCTACAAACATGATGTTCGAGTCAAATCATGTCAAAAGTACAAGAAAGCAACCGAGCACGTACTTGCAGCGCGAACTGATGCCGATTTTTTCCGGAATTTGTCCCTCATGTCGGTTAGCTTATTCATGCAGGATCCATCGGTTCGGTCTGATGTTAGAGCAAAACGCGTTAGCATGTGAGTTTTAAACAAGAACACCACTATAAGTGCATCCATAGTGCCTTACGCAACGCTTCCGCAACGTGTTTCACAAGGTCCGAGCTTCCAGTTGTCTGGATCTCATGGGTGATTCGAACCAGAAAGTCAACGAGCTTCTCCATGTCTTCCGATGACCATAACTTGGGAGCCTTGCTGGGCACGTCAACATTTTCTGTTCGCCGCGGAGGCACATCGGCGAATATCTCTTTCAGCAGCTCGTAGCGTCGGTTTTCGATTCCTTTTCGCTCTTGACAGAATAAAACAACACATCGGCGATAAGCTACATATATCGACGCACATGAAGAATATCCAGAGTGCCTTCGAAGACTTACGGCGTGAACCCCGACGCTTCTCCTTAATGTATATGTCGCGCAGCGCATAAAACTTGCTCTTTGTTTCTGCAACCGATTTGCCTGTTTCAAGATCGCAAGCACAGTAGCCACTGTCGATAAGTATCCCCTGAGGACCAGGCTACACAAGAATGACTGGTGACTCCCCACCCCAAAATTGAATCCGCTTGAAATACACATCTTGGCTTTGGGGGAACAGCTCTCGGTACTGCTTGGCCTTCTGTAGGAAGCGGCTGAGCTCGTCCGGCAGCCACAGTCCGCCGGCTCTGTTCTCTGCCAGTTGATTGATCGACTCGTAGATGTGCTCGTAGACGTACACCTCCTGTCCGCTTGCCACAATCACTGTATCTCCACAATATTCATGGTCAAATGAGCCTCATCAACGCCCTACCGCACAAAAACTCTTATCTCCCAAGCCCAACGCACCGTCCGTGCGGAAGTTCTTGGTGCTGAGCATCAGCCCGAACTGGCGCATCAGCGTCCGCGCAATCTCCTGAATCTCCTCGGCCGTTTTGTCTACGACCAGCCGCGCCCACAATGCATCAAGAGCACAGCAGTATTAGCTCCAACAGCCCGCAATATCCACGAGATCACACCACGGTCTCCGATAAATCGACCGTCCGTCGCACCTGGCAGCTCGGCGCGCACCATCTCGGCGAAGTGGCTGTCCGAGGAGTAGATGTAGAGGAGCAGGTGCTCTCGGAAGAGCGTCAGCAGCGCCAAGACCTGTGCGTCAGTCCACCCTGGTAGCCGCATGGGCATCGTCGATCTTGACCCCGTTGGCGATGCCAGTTGATGCGCGGACCTGAAGCACGAGAGGAGGGGTAGGGCGGTTGTATTTTTTTTGCCAATCACAAAAACTGGGTGTACTCAAAATAATAAAAAAATGTGCACGGACCAAAATCGCGTCGCAGCACCAAAAGGGGGCCACTTTTAGTGCGGGGAATTGGACCAGAGCCGCCGCCGCCATGTCGGACGCCGAGGAGGAGCCGAGCAACCAGCGCGCGCTGCTGATCCCCGTCAAGAACTCGGAGCAGGCGGTGGAGGTGTTCGTGGACGAGCTGCCCGAGGACGTCAACGACATCATCGACATCCTGCGCGCCGAGGTGGCGCCGCTCGACGTCTGGCTGCAGTTCGCCGTACGTGGCGTGGCGCCTACCGAAGGCATGCTACAGTCGTAATAGGGAGCGGTTAGCTCACGTTCACTCTCTCGCATTTTGCCCCGCAGGTGGAGTACTACAACCAGGGCCATGTCGCGCAGTTCCAGGAGATTCTGGCGGTGGCCTCGGAGCCGGGTATCGAGGAGATCTACAAGGACAACGCGTCCCGCATGTGCCGCATCAAGTTCTTCATCGCGCTCGCCAGCCACGCAGTCAACGCCATGTGGAACGAGGAGGACGAGAAGAAGCGCGAGGCCATCTCACAGCGCGCCGTGGGATTCTTCCAGCGCGCCGATCGCCTGGATCACCAGCACCCCATGACGCTCGTGGGCAAGGCGCTCATGTTCATGGCCAAGAACGAGGACGACCGCGCCGACAGATTCGTCAAGAGCGTGCTCATCTCCAACAAGACGAACCTGCCCGCCATCCTGGGCAAGGCACTGCTGCTGTACCGCAAGAAACAGTACAAGGACGCCAAGAAGCTCTATCTAGAGGCCATCAAGCTGCACCCGCGTAGCCCGCAGGCTGCTAACATGCGCATGTGCTTCGCGTACTGCTGCTACCATTTGGGAGCCGTGGAGAAGGCGCGTGCGGTCATGCGCTACACGGCGTCCCTCGATGAAACCAATGTGGATGCTGTGATTGCCAGTGCGTTGTGGCAGCTTGCGAGTCAGAGCCGCGAGGAACGCGCGGTCAGCATTCGCGACGAAAGCTCACGCTTTATGATGATGATTCACCACGCCCACGCGATTGACAAGACGAACCCCACGGTTCTGAACCACTTAGCGAACCACTACTTCTCGCAGTGGATCCCGCTGCCTTGCACAGTGAGTGTGGTGCGTGGATCGGCTGTCGTGTCCACGTCCAAGGACATTTCCAGTGAAGTATCACCGGGACAGATCATCTGTATCGGTGACAAGTATGTTGCCTACATCAGTCGTGACGAAGACGCTGTGTCATCGTCCGGGCTGAAGCTTGATGGTCCGTATCGTGATGAGTCTGCAAGCGCTACGAACATTGCACGAAAGGATTACGATAAGATGTTCACTCTTGCTGGCAACGCCTTCCACAGCACTAAGATCCCGGAAATCCGGTCTGAGAGCTGTTACCTGATGGGACGTGGTTGCCACGCTCAGGGCAAGTACAAGGACGCTTACAGCTACTACTTCAACGCCGGACGCCTCTGGCCCAAGTTCGTACTCCCATGGTTTGGTCTGGCACAAATGTACTACGAACGCAAGGAATTTACGAAGGCCGCGTCTTACTTGGAAAAGGCAAACAAGGCATACCCGGAAAACGTGGAGATCCTGTCGCTACTTGGCGATATCTACGGTAAGCTGGGCAAAAAAGACGAGGCCGTTGTGTTGCTCCGCCGTGTCGTAGAACTGGAGCCAGGCAACGTGGAGGCTCTGATCGGTACAGCTGAGCTACTTCACGGATCGCCAGAGCGCAAAGACCAGATTATTGCGATCTCTTCGTATATTGCTGCGGAGAAGGTGATGAACAACGCCTCTGAACGCGTGCCGATGGAAGTATACGTCAACCTTGGTGTGCTTCAGCAACGCGTGGGCAAGACGGCTGATGCTATCAATTGCTTCAAGAAGGCACTGAAGCAACTGGGGGACGATAGCAGTGCTGACGAAGAAAGCAAATCGGAGGAGGCTGACGCTTTGGCGGAGGAGAACTCCATTCCCAAACCATCGGAGGCGAATGTTACGATTCTGTACAATATGGGCCGGGTGTACGAGGAAATGGGCAACCGCGACCGCGCCAAGAAGCTGTATGATGCGATCCTCGAGGTATTTCCTCGGTATACCGACTGCTTGCTGCGCCTTGGTTGCATGCTGCGTGATCGTGGCCAAGATGCCGACGCGATCAAGATGTTTGACAAAGTGCTGGAGGTCGACCCGACGTGTGCTGAAGCCTGCTTGCTGCAGGGTAATATTCATTTGAAGAAGCGCGAATGGGTGTTTGCTCAAAAGAAGTACGAAAAGGTGATGGGGATGCCTGGTCTGAAGAACGACCCGTACGCTTTCTTGTCGATGGGTAACATTTTCATGAGCAACCTTGGCGAGAAGAACCGCTACACCAAGAACATGTCGCTGAGTGAAGTTTACTACAAGAAGACGCTGGCAGCCCACCCGCACAACATCTACGCCGCAAACGGACTGGGAATTATGATTGCTGAGAAGGGCAACTTTGAGCTGGCCAAGCAGATTTTCTCACAAGTTCGAGAGGCCAGTCCGGACATGCCAGACGCCTGGATTAACCTTGCGCATATCTTCGTAGCCGAAGAGCGCTACCAGGAGGCCATTCAGCTCTACACCGTGTGCCTGACCAAGTGCTACCAGGGACAGGATCTCGAGGTTTTGTTGTACCTTGCTAAGGCCTACTACGAGTCGAAGGACTTCCCGAGCTGTATTTCCACGCTGTCTCGTGGACTGCACATGTACCCGAACGACCTGCGCTTGTGGTACAACTCGGGTCTCGCTCAGGAAGACTATGCCGTGACAACGTTGGGGCAGGAAACTGTTGCTACGCGATCAGGCAGTGGCAGTGCAGTGCCGCAACAGCGAACGATGGCCGACGTGCAGCGTGCTATCCTTGATCTAAAGCGAGCACAACGCATCTTCTGCTTCCTACTGCAGCAAGCCGATGCAGCTAGTAGCTCAAGTTCCGGCGAGAAGAAGAAGCACCACAACAACTTGCCTTTCGATAAGGAGAAGGTATCGGATCACGAGAAATTCTGCGGCGACACCCTCACTAAAGCTAGCTACCACTTGGAGTTCGAACGGCAGAAGGAGGAGAAGCGCCGGCTTGAGATTGAGGCCCAGCGCAAACTGCTGCGCGAGTACGAGGAGCGCGTGGCACGCGAACAGGAGGAGGCTCGTGTGAAGGAAGAAGACACACGCAGACGCCACGAAGATATTCGACTCAAGCAAGACGAACGTCTCAAGAAGCTGCATGAAGGGTGGAGTGTGCGTGAGCGCGAAGAGGAGGAGAAGGAGAAAAAGGTTGTCAAGAAGAAAGGAGGCAAGAAGCGCAAAAAAGCGGACGACGAGGACGGCGGCTTCATCGATGATGGCGAAGACGAGATGGATGAAGATGGCGATAACAGCATGTCGATAGAGGACATGAAGAACCGCAATCCGAAGATGAAGAAGCTGCTTGAGAAGCGCAACAAGCGTGCACGCGTGGAATCTGGCTCAGAAGACGAAAAGGACGACCCCACTGGTCTGTTTGGCTCCGATTCCAGCGACGACGAGCAGGAGTCCAAACCAAGTGGCGCAGACAAGGATGACGACGACAAGGCCACCGATGCTCCGCCTGCTGAAGAGGTCGCGGAACGTGAGGCCGAGAAGAACGAGCTCTTTGGTTCTTCGTCTGATGAGGAGTAAGCGGTATCTTGATTCAGGAACGAAGACAACCTCCAGAATGGTAGGAGTTGTATGCTTACTTCCCTTTGCTGCATACAACCTTTTGGTTGAACTTGCTAAAGTGGCTGGAAAGGAGGCCAGGTTCCAAAGCCTTCGCCTATCGACAAGTGTTTTTCTCGCACAAGTTGCCCATTCAAACATGAATTTTCACTTGAGCTTTGTATGAATGTTCGGGTTCAAAATGGCGCGCACTGGAGATCGAGTTGGCGCCAAAAACCCACCCGGTCCTGATCTGATTGGCCGGAAGCGGGCGCGCTTGATGACCCGAACCCGATTTCAAACCGGCTGGCCGCTCACTGAGGAAAAAAGCGCGGGAGTGCGCACCGAGTTGGGCGTTGTTGGCGCGCTCGCTCTGCCTCGCTTCCTTTGCCCATACAGAGCGTAGACCCCATTGCTGGTCATTCCGGATTTGGCGCTCGACCCAGCAAGCGACTCAACTCGACTCCTCTCTACTTCATCAACGCGCCCACCCGTCTCGCAGCAATGGTCGCAGCCTCGTCGGAACGCGCCGCGGCGGACAAGTCGCCGGAGCAGCCGGAGCAGGAGCTGAGCCCGCAGTTCGTGGAGGGCTTCGTCAAGGGCGTGAACGTGAAGGACGAGAAGCAGGAGGAGGAGCAGCCGAAGCTGGAGATGTCCGAGTTCAAGCGCAAGGAGGTGAGCGGCGAGCTGCCGACGGAGCCGTTCCTGGTGGAGAACCCGAACCGGTTCGTGCTGTTCCCGATCCAGGAGCACGACGTGTGGCAGATGTACAAGAAGGCGGAGGCGTCGTTCTGGACGGCCGAGGAGCTGGACCTGGTGCACGACCTCAAGGACTGGGCGAACCTGACGGACAACGAGCGGTTCTTCATCAAGCACGTGCTGGCCTTCTTCGCTGCCAGCGACGGCATCGTGAACGAGAACCTGGCCATGAACTTCAGCAATGAGGTGCAGGTGCCGGAGGCGCGCTGCTTCTACGGTTTCCAGATCGCCATCGAGAACATCCACTCGGAGGTGTACTCGCTGCTCATCGACACGTACATCAAGGACGCGGTGGAGAAGGACCACCTGCTGCGAGCCATCGAGACGATCCCGTGTGTCAAGAAGAAAGCGCACTGGGCGCTCAAGTGGTGCGACCCGCGGGTGTCGTCGTACCCGGAGCGTCTGCTGGCGTTCGCTGCTGTGGAGGGCATCTTCTTCTCGGGCTCGTTCTGCTCCATCTTCTGGCTCAAGAAGCGCGGCCTGATGCCTGGTCTGAGCTTCTCGAACGAGCTGATCAGCCGCGATGAGGGCATGCACACGGACTTCGCTTGCCTCATGTACTCCAAGCTGGTGAACAAGCTGCCGGAGAGCCGCGTGCACGAGATCGTGCGCGATGCCGTGACCATCGAGCACGAGTTCGTGCGCGACTCGCTGCCTGTGGAGCTGATCGGCATGAACTCGTCGCTGATGTGCCAGTACATTGAGTTCGTGGCCGACCGCCTGCTGTACTCGCTGGGCGTGTCGAAGATCTACAACGCGAAGAACCCGTTCGACTGGATGGACATGATCTCGCTGCAGGGCAAGACCAACTTCTTCGAGAAGCGTGTGGGCGAGTACTCCAAGGCCGGTGTGGGTGTCGCGGCGGAGGAGCAGGTGTTCACCCTGGACGCCGATTTCTAAGTACGTGCGTCTGTAGAGTGAATGGGTGGGTGGGTGGGTCGTCGTTCCGCGTCGGCCGTCGCGCGCCATGCAATCCTTCAATTCGCGTGGCTCCTGAAGTCTTAAAGGTCGCAGCGGCAGTGTTCATAGCCAGCTTCGTTGCATATTTAAAAATTACACGCACGTTTGACAACGCTCATCGCTATCGCTTTCTACATGTAGTACCTTAGTAAAGGTATCCACTTGTTTCAATTGTTTGCTGGTAGGCTAGACAGTTCAGATTGACTTACATCAAATGTATATGGACAGGTATATGGCAGTGAACGGACTCGTTTAAGTAATGGTCGGTACGGCTCACTAATTCCAACATGCTCGTTTCAAAATGCTGCGTGGTACAATATCGGCCGCCTGCTTAGCACTCTTAAAGCTCGGAAAAATATTCCAAACAACACTGGTGTCGACATTCGTGAACTCATGCATGTACATGTACTGTGGGTGGAATCCCGTCATCTTGTGAATTCGTGTATGGCCAACTCAGAGACTTCAAGTTGGAAAAAAGTAAGATGGAGATATAAGTCTACCGCAGATTTGTACAAACTCTTTAACCATTTAAGAGTTAGTTCTAAGCAGGCCGATCCATTCAACCGATATTGTACCACGCAGCATTTTGAATGGAGCAAACGAGTCCGTTCACTGCCATATACCTGTCCATATACATTTGATGTAAGTCAATCTGAACTGTCTAGCCTACCAGCAAACAATTGAAACAAGTGGATACCTTTACTAAGGTACTACATGTAGAAAGCGATAGCGATGAGCGTTGTCAAACGTGCGTGTAATTTTTAAATATGCAACGAAGCTGGCTATGAACACTGCCGCTGCGACCTTTAAGACTTCAGGAGCCACGCGAATTGAAGGATTGCATGGCGCGCGACGGCCGACGCGGAACGACGACCCACCCACCCACCCATTCACTCTACAGACGCACGTACTTAGAAATCGGCGTCCAGGGTGAACACCTGCTCCTCCGCCGCGACACCCACACCGGCCTTGGAGTACTCGCCCACACGCTTCTCGAAGAAGTTGGTCTTGCCCTGCAGCGAGATCATGTCCATCCAGTCGAACGGGTTCTTCGCGTTGTAGATCTTCGACACGCCCAGCGAGTACAGCAGGCGGTCGGCCACGAACTCAATGTACTGGCACATCAGCGACGAGTTCATGCCGATCAGCTCCACAGGCAGCGAGTCGCGCACGAACTCGTGCTCGATGGTCACGGCATCGCGCACGATCTCGTGCACGCGGCTCTCCGGCAGCTTGTTCACCAGCTTGGAGTACATGAGGCAAGCGAAGTCCGTGTGCATGCCCTCATCGCGGCTGATCAGCTCGTTCGAGAAGCTCAGACCAGGCATCAGGCCGCGCTTCTTGAGCCAGAAGATGGAGCAGAACGAGCCCGAGAAGAAGATGCCCTCCACAGCAGCGAACGCCAGCAGACGCTCCGGGTACGACGACACCCGCGGGTCGCACCACTTGAGCGCCCAGTGCGCTTTCTTCTTGACACACGGGATCGTCTCGATGGCTCGCAGCAGGTGGTCCTTCTCCACCGCGTCCTTGATGTACGTGTCGATGAGCAGCGAGTACACCTCCGAGTGGATGTTCTCGATGGCGATCTGGAAACCGTAGAAGCAGCGCGCCTCCGGCACCTGCACCTCATTGCTGAAGTTCATGGCCAGGTTCTCGTTCACGATGCCGTCGCTGGCAGCGAAGAAGGCCAGCACGTGCTTGATGAAGAACCGCTCGTTGTCCGTCAGGTTCGCCCAGTCCTTGAGGTCGTGCACCAGGTCCAGCTCCTCGGCCGTCCAGAACGACGCCTCCGCCTTCTTGTACATCTGCCACACGTCGTGCTCCTGGATCGGGAACAGCACGAACCGGTTCGGGTTCTCCACCAGGAACGGCTCCGTCGGCAGCTCGCCGCTCACCTCCTTGCGCTTGAACTCGGACATCTCCAGCTTCGGCTGCTCCTCCTCCTGCTTCTCGTCCTTCACGTTCACGCCCTTGACGAAGCCCTCCACGAACTGCGGGCTCAGCTCCTGCTCCGGCTGCTCCGGCGACTTGTCCGCCGCGGCGCGTTCCGACGAGGCTGCGACCATTGCTGCGAGACGGGTGGGCGCGTTGATGAAGTAGAGAGGAGTCGAGTTGAGTCGCTTGCTGGGTCGAGCGCCAAATCCGGAATGACCAGCAATGGGGTCTACGCTCTGTATGGGCAAAGGAAGCGAGGCAGAGCGAGCGCGCCAACAACGCCCAACTCGGTGCGCACTCCCGCGCTTTTTTCCTCAGTGAGCGGCCAGCCGGTTTGAAATCGGGTTCGGGTCCTTTCAACACTCATCATCGTCGACACGAGTACTGTATGCTCATGTCCTGGTGTCCGCTCCTGATCCCGTCCGACACATGCACGTAGCTGGCATGGACCGGGATAGTCGCATTTCAGAAGGACAAGGTGACGAGGAAAGATTCGCCTAAGCTCGTATGTGTTTGGCTGCTTCGGCTGAGTAACGATGAGTCATAGGTGAATGGATCCGTAAGCTTACACGTTTTAACGCAACACACAGTGCTGTAGCTATTGCATCAGCAAAAAACGGATGAGTTGGTCCCGAAAACACCGAGGAAGATCCCTTCAATTCATATAGTTCATTTTTTTTTCTTATCGGAATCTGTGCGGCTTGGTGAAGACGCGGTGGATATCATCGAAATAAAAAAGTTTGCAGTGAGCTTACTGCTAAGAGCTACTCGGATTGCGTATGTTATGACACGAGGAAATGGCTTTACGGTTTGCTTTGGTGTGCTATATCTATTTTACGCTAATGAAGCTTGCACATGCACGAAGACGGACACTTCCTATCGTGGCCGCCCCTGCACGGACTCTTTAGCTTTACAACGGCTTCGGTGAGAGCTCGCTTGACTCTGCAGTTCTGGTTTACTTGGAGGCAGTGGGAGCCATGGACACCGAGTTCATAAAATCCATGTTCAGGCCTTCATCGTCCTCATCGTCGAGGCCGTCAATGTCGATTATACTGCTTTCGCGGGGCTGCACGGACGAGCGTTCGCTGTACGCTCCAATGGAGCTACGGGTGAACTTGAAGTGCTTCTTCTCCGTCGTACGCGTTGGGCTGCCGGAAGAATCATCGCTGGCGGGTGGCTCGCTAGCAGGTTGCTCTTCGAGCTTCCGTGCTTCTGAAGCATTCGAAGACGCTGTTGAAGACGCCACGAAAGAAGTAAAAGCTTCCTCCTCCTTCTCATCTTCACCCTCCACATCGTTGTACTCCACTCCATGCGCCGCTGCGGCTGGTGCCGGCATAATAAATTCGTCAACCGAAGGAGGAGACGGCAGGTCGCTGCTAGAACTGGTCGATGATGCTCCGTCGCTGTAGCGCAGCTCGGCCTTTTCCGAAACTTGTTTCGGCGTAAGCGACCTCTTTGGCTGAGGACGAGGAGGGCTGCGGCGCTGCTGCCTGTTGTCCACCTGCTTCGTCGGACTCACGACCGGAGGTGTGTACTTCACGGTGCTGCCCACGAAGCGGCCTTCCTGATCAACAGGCATCGTGTTCGACACCGGGTGGTAGTTGATGAAGTCCTTAACGTCCATCGTGTCGCGGATCTGCTCGTTCGTTGGCGAAGTACCAGCAGCGCCACCGGCGGCGCCGCTCCCTGCTACCATATCCGTCGTGAGCCAGTCGCGGACGCCCGTGAAAGGGAAGCCGCTGCAAGTGGGGCACTTGGGCGTGGTAGTGAAGGTGTGCGAGGCGAGCATGGCGATGAAGCTGCGCAGCGCCTTTTTGCGGTAGTTGATGACGACGGGCGTGACGCTCGTGAAGACGTGCTTGCGCGGGAACTCGAAGAGCTTGAGCACCTTCTCGTAGTTGCGGCACCCAGGGCACTTCTTGTCCGTGTTGGCGAAGAACTCGATCAGATCGTTGCGGAGCTTGAGGAACTCGGAGAAGCGGCGCGCGACCTCCCACACTTGGCCCGAGCGGACGTTGACTACGCGCACATGGTAGCGCACTTTGCCGCCCTCGGTCGAGTTCACGGTCGGGATCTGCACGCGCACGAGGCACTTCTCGTCCACGCGGCCCTGGTCGCCGTTGCGCGAGTAGGCGTAGCGCGACGAGGGGTTCATCGGCGGCTTCTTTCGGGAGGCGTGCCTTGGTCAGTGCACACCAGCAGGCTGGAAGGCGAATGGCGCATGACAGCGAGATCGCGCCGTGAGCACGACCAGACGTCCGCTTCGCGTTCGTATGGAGCTCCTCGAGTAAGACGTCAGCGGTTGCAGCTTTTGATTGGCGTTGGTCCCACCTTCCCCCTGACCCCTGGTTCAGAGAGCCAGAAGTGACTTGGTGTTTGTATGCCGCCAGCTGGGTGGAGCCGGTTCAGGCCGAGCTTGTGTGGCTCGGCGTGTGACGCCACCGTTACGCAAAAATTGCACAGACGCTGAGGCTTTCGCCGCCCGCACAGAGCGCTTGGCTCGAAGGCAGCTGGCCGCCGCATTAGCGGCAGTCAAGCAACGCTCGCGCCGTTGTACATGCACACATGTCCTACAGGAGAGCGCGCCTGCGCGACGCGCGCGATTTCCGAGTCGTACGAGCTCGTGGCGATTGAGACCGATCGCGACTGCATGAGCCGCAAGCGCAGATGGACCGAGGTGGTTTCGAAGACACCCACGACAGCGCTGCCTTAATTGATTCCGCGCAACCGCCGCGGATTGGAATGCTCCAGCGATGGATTTCCCGCCTTTAGTGTCACGCAGCGTTGTGTCCACGGCTGCTGGACTCCATCTTCGTGACACCAGGTCCAGGCTAGGCTGCTATCCTCTGTGTTCCGGCGCTTCTGTACCAAGTCACCCCACAGTATCCAGCTTGCTTCAACCTCCTGATTGAAGCATTTGAAGCTGGCAGCCCCAACACATGGAGCGCGGACCGCGCTGCGCGGTGACGCGCGCCTAAGATCCAACGAAGCAGTAATGCCCCTGGGATGCTATTCATGACGAAATCGTGGTGAGACCCGGTTGAAGGACCCGCTAAGATCACCGATCCGACGGGATAAGTTCTGTTGGCTCAGTCTGAATCTTCAGAGCCGAATCCGGGTAAGATGGTGCTGGCGTGCGGATGACAGCAAGCACTGGTAGCTCCGCCTGGCAGTGTTCAGTGTGGCACTTCTACGGCCCCAAAATTGCAGCGCTCTCTCTGAGGTCTGACCGCTAGAGCAGATTCACTAACAACTAGAAAGCTGCAGACAATCGTCGCCGCTAAGCCGACATTTTTTTTGAACTTGTCGAGCAGCGACCCGACAGTATCATTACGCAGGGAGAGACACAACCGATATATTTAACTGACAGCTCAATCTCCGGGTTGGATAGGCATGAATCGATGTGTGTCCCCGTAGCACTCGCGCAATAAGGCGCCATTGAATTCAACCTAGCAGCTCCTCGAGTGAGTTGACCTTCACGAGATGTACGACACACGCAGTAGAATTTACGGCTAGTATATGCTTACCGTAATTGATATTGTGGAAATCGATTAGATTGCCCGAGCGGATTAGCTGATAAAGCAGCGTTCATGAGAGATTTGACTGGTACTAAATCGGGGATCCTTATGATTTCATATGGCATTGGTAAGGGTATAAATCGGTGTAAGGTTAATAAAATGGGGGTTGCCTCATTACCCGCCAGAAATACGACGAGCGACCACTTACCGCCACGAGCTGAGTGATTCGCGTACATGTACCGGTACCTACTAACGAGAAATAGCATCGCGTGTATTAAATACGCTTCTGTGAGCTTCGATGTGTACTGCTATCTATTTATCAAGTTCTGAAGTCATGTATTTGCGCTGTCATTTCTCGTCAGCATTAGCGTTTGTCGGTTTTACGTTAAATCGGCCACCGAATGCCGTGTGGGTGTCGGACATTCGGGCTGATTAGCATGCAAATCAGCCGTCCCGGGCTTTGTAAGCTGTGGAGCAGCTAAATCAGCTTGCCACATGGCGTTGTAGGCACAACTGACCGCTCTGTCAAATCAGAGTACAAATCTTAGTGTGTCGATCTAATTAGGAGGTCAGATTTAGCAAATCAGACCCGATTAAGCTATATCATCTGCTTAATCAACCGATTTATATCCCAATTAGACAATCTAATCGGTTTCCACAAATACCCGTCTTCCGTACCCGGGAGCTACACGATCCCAAAAGCAGACCTCTGTTGCGTAGAAGACTGTGGCAGCACCCAGCTAGTTACTACATTTCAGCCATCGCGACTCCCAGCCAGATCTCCACACACCACATTTTTTATCTGAGCATTTCTAGTCCATCTAGTGAAAAGTAAACTATGCCTGCGGTTCGCTGCTATCCTGGGTGGTGGTGTCCGCAGAGTCCATTGCTTCGTCCGCTTCCGCCCACACTGCCAAGAGACACTCCTCGTCAGATTCCCCACTACAATAGTTCATCATGCCTCATTTAGCAACGCACCTGGCTTGTTTGAGCCGAGTTTCGGTCGGTCCGGCTTCGCGATGGAGACGCGCAGCGTCTTCCCGAAAAGCTCCGACTCTAGTGATCGAACACAGCACACACAACACCTGCACCTTTAGCCGAAACACCGGTATATACCTGCTGCATTCATACGCACCATCCATATTGTCAATTGCTGCTCTGGCGTCGGCCTCATCCTCGAACTCCACGAAGCCGAAGCCTTTGCTCCTTTCTGCTCCATCACCAGCAACGACGAATGCAGTACAGTGAATAGTTAGTGTCCGCCAACCAATTGACCGCCGAGTACTTCGTCGACCGACGTACGCGTGGAGTAGTCCATGGGGATCTGCACGCCCTTGATGGGCCCGAATGGCACGAAGGCCGTGTACAGACCCTGTTCCGTCACCTGCTTGTCCAGCCCGCCCACGTACAGCGCGCGCTTGTCCGCCTTGCCCGCCATGGTCAGTGCCTTGTGAGCTTGGAGGTGTGCGAACTTAACTGTCCTACTAAGTTCGTTCTGATCTTTTGAACCGAAACGGCCCACACAGATTTATAGAAGGGGGCGGAGCTAAAGCGGCAGTGATCACCACCTCGTTCGGAGCAGGATATCGCCATGAGCACGGCCACGGACGAGCTGTTTAACCAAGGTATGTGAGAGAAGAGAGTGCTGGCGTCATGTACATGCGACTACGGACGCGTAACTCGCTGTCGTCGCGGAGAAAAATGAGGTCAATAGAGGAAGCTGATTATGCATAATACTGTGCTGTTGATATTGCTAGGTTGGGGCGACGTGCTGAGCAACATCTCGCCGTATGCGTGGGGCAGCATGGGCGTGGCCTTCGGCTTGACACTGTCCATTGTCGGCGCCGCCTGGTGCGTCTCGAGCTTCGTCTGGCTGCTGGAATAATAGTAGAAGCGCTGACAGTTTGTTGCCTTGGATTACTCGCTACAGGGGCATCTTTATCACGGGCTCGAGTCTGTTAGGCGCCGCAGTGAAGGCCCCGCGCGTGCGATCAAAAAACCTCGTGAGCATCATTTTCTGCGAAGCCACTGCAATCTACGGCGTCATCATTGCTATCATTCTGCAGAGCAAGGTGCGACCTGCAGTCAAGCGAGAGAGTTTTGCTGCAACAAACGTAGATTGACTACGACAGTTTCGCAAGTACTGATCGCCTGTGTGTAAATGCTGAACAGATGAACCAGCCGGGTCTGCGCAATGAGGGAGACGAACCGATCAACGAGCAAGCGCTGTACTTTGCAGGATACGCTGTCTTCGGCTCGGGTGTTGCAGTGGGCTTGACGAATCTAGCGAGCGGGTACGAGTCGCCTGTTGCTTGTGTGTGAATGCGCTAATAATCAAACTCACGTGTGGCTGTTGTGCTTTATCAGCGTGTCCGTCGGCATTGCTGGTAGCAGCTGCGTGCTCGCCGATGCGCAGAACGCGGCGCTGTATGTGACGATCTTGATTGTGGAGATTTTCGCAAGCGCACTGGGCATCTTCGGTGTCATCGTCGGCATCATTCTGTCCAACAATGCAGAATTCCCTAAGTAAGCGCAAATTGAAGCCGACCAGACGTCAGCGTTAACGCGCAAGACCAACCACGCAAGATTTGCCTCGGGCTAGTCCCAGTAGGTGGAGGTGCATGTTGTGGTGGCTCACCAGCTCGAATTCACTTCACCATTTAAGCAGATCAATGCATTTCTTTCCTCTATCGAAATGGAACGCAGCGATGCTTGCAAAATCTTCGAGCGGATGCCGATCATTTCCACATTGCGCGGTCACTTTCGACGTCGACAGGTGTGTACCATTCAGGCAGTTGGTGGTCCGGGTTGTATCTGGTTCAGTCACGCCCAGGTTTAGCAGCAGAACTGCTTTAATTTAGGGGGGCAAGCACTTACCGGTAGTTGAGGAACAGCTCTTCCTCGTCTGCAATGTCCGCCGTTGCGATGAAGGCCAGACTCTGTTTCAATTTTTCACCAGCAAAGACTGTAAGTACCAGACCGATCAACTTCAGCCCTTTATGGAAGCGTACATGCACGATAGCTCGTTTGCCAAACATGGAGAGGCGTGAAGGCTCCTTCACAAAGCTATTCGGAATGAGCTCATCGAATTCCTTCGTGGTGAATGGCTCTGCACACGAGTTAGGAGATAGTAAGTACACGGGTAGTAGTTTGGGTAGTAAAAACTGACGTAATGACAAACCTTCCGGGGGAAATTCGAAGGCGAATCCAAGGACGTTAGGAGGGGTTCCGTTGGGAGGATGGTTGATCTTGTGTGCCACAGCGAGCGGGTTGCGAGGCTTCGAGGCTGGTCTCACAAAACAAGTCAGCTCAGTGCATAGTAAAGGATGCATCTCAAACTCTTACACTCATTCTTGGCGTCAATGATCACACTGTCGAATCGGGCTCGAGCGTACGGGTTATTCGAAAGCTCGCTAAGGTAGTGTTTCTATCAGTAATAACGAGACTGAGGTTAGCATACATTAAACCATTGCATTGACAAAATAATACCGAAGATTACATACCTTCTTGTAGTGCTCTGGCAGGTAGACGATGCCAGGGTACAGAGCCTGATCGGGTTGTCATGTTCACCAGGTAAGAAGCAAATCACAAACCACAACCGCCATTTTTCTATCGTACCACCAGCGACCCAATCGGAGCGGAACCACGAAGCTTCACACCGTCACCTGCGTCAGGAACGCTGGATTTCTCCACATTCAAAGTGAACCCGAAGAGCTTCTGGAAATTGTCGGAAATACCGAGCTGTGTGTAGAGAACCCATTAGTGAATGTTGCAAGCTGGCAAAGCAACTTCGATGCCTACTATCGCACCTTCTCCTCCACTTCAGTTGTGCGCTCAAAGCCAGACAGCGACATCTTTGGCACGTTCTTCTCCGAGTCCTTGGGCATGCGCAGCACAGCTTCAAAACAGCTCTGGACCTGTAGACAGCACAACCAGCAGAAACCTCAGCACCAGGCTACCGTATCTTGGGATCAAATAACACCTGTAAAGCAATATACCTGCTTGGCGACCTCGCCTTGCACATACTGCTTCTGCTGCTCGAACTTCTTCGTGCCAACAATCTCCACAGCTTGGTCAAACAGCTCCTCATGCTCCCTGCAGCACCAGCCCAATATTAATACCCGCAAAAGCGATAGCATTGCGCTTTGACTCCCGCCACAAATTAGGATCCTTACTTGTTGGCGTTCTGCGGGTCCAGCTTCAGGCTCCGAAAGCAGCTCAGCACCGCGACAACGCCCACATCCGCCTCCTCCTGCTCCACATCCACAGCACAATTAGCACCAGTTCAACGCGGCAAGTATATCTAGAGTATATCCCCTCTGTACGACGTAGCAAAATGCAACGCACTTGGAAGCGCCGCGCAGGCGTGGTGCCTGCGATCCGGAGCTGCAGTCGGCGCCACACGCTCGTCATATTTTGATACACAATGCGACAATTTGCACGGGGGGCGGACTAAATTGTCGCTTTTAGCTAGACATATTTCTCGCCTTTTAAGGCCGATTAAACTGTCGTTTTTTTCTTTTTTTCTTTTAAAAGTTCACGCATTTGCGGCCAAGAACCGAACCGAGCGTGAAAAGGGAGCGTGATGGCCAGCACCAGGAGCGAGGCACCCAAGGCCGCGGCCGAGCCGCCGCACCCGTGGGGCCCGCACATGCGCATCGGCAAGGTCTTCCTCAAGGGCAACGACCGCACTAAGTGCGTCATCCAACCGTGCCTTCTGTCGCCTTCGAGCCTGCCAGGCGATCTAACTATTGAAACTCGTGGTGTCTGTACAGGCCTGAAGTGTTCGAGAATGAGCTCCAGGTACGGATCATGCAGCAGCTGAAGGTAGCAGACCATTGCACTGTATCAGCGATCTAATACAAGGTGGCTATTGAATCTGTAGGAGGCGTACGGTGCTGAGCGCATCGGTCACTTGGTGCGGAAGCTGGAGGAGGCAACGGAGGAGTTCAAGGCTCTTGACATCTTCGAGTCGATCAACATTGAGCTTGACAAGGGTTCGCACTGTGTGTAAAGCTATTAGTTAGTGGTATGGATTCTGACGAACCGACTTGTGTCGAATGCAGCGAGCTCTGGCAAACATGATGAGACCGACGTGACCATCACGGTCAAGGAGAAGGGCTGGCGGTCTCTCCACGTGGGCGCCACCACTGATGGCAACGACGAAGCAGGAGTACGATGCAGAATCGATTCGAGTATCAGCGCCATTGGAAAGATTATTGACGGTGTCGCTGTGCTTGCATTCTGTTGCAGGAGTCCTCACTTACGCTGTCGAACGCACTGGGAGAAGCGGAGAAGATCACGTTGAGTGCCACTTACGCGCGTTCGGGCAGTAACACCCAGCGCGCGACGTTCAAGAAGCCCCGATTCTTGGGCATGCCGCTGTATTTGAGCGCTGTCGGCACCAACGAGCTCCACGTACGTCGTCTCGTTTACTCTATTTTATGGTGTTGGCTACCTTTGGTTAACAATCCATTCCTACTCGGGTGTCCTCTCTTTCCAGAACCAAGAATGGTTGAGCTCGTACAACGAGAAGATTCGTGCCGGAAGCATTTCCATCAGTGACTACGAAGGCGTACACGACTTGTCGTTGAACGTTGGCTGGCGTGACTTGCTCCCTCGCCGTGACCCCAAGATCCCCACGGCCTACCGCGCGTCCCCCAGTATCTTGGCGGAAGCGATGCCGTCCACAAAGACCAGTGTGAAATATATTTTCACGGATGACAACCGAAACAACGCAGTGTATCCGACCGCCGGTGGACTCTTCAAGTACACGTAAGTGATGCGCCAGCCTACCTAAAACCGCAGATTATTCGTCATGATCTGACGTTTTGTATGTATGATGAATAGGACGGAAATTGCTGGTCTTGTCGGCGATGTGAAATTCGTCAAGGCGGAGGTGGAAGGCCAAAAGCACGTAGCGCTGGGGCCTGTCGTCTTCGGATTTCCGATCCTGAACTTCAGCCTATCATACCACGTCGGAACCGTGAAGTCTTATGGCAGTGAGCAGCACCGGCCTGCGCGCATTAGCGACCGCTTCTTCCTGGGTGGGCCCATGAACGTTCGTGGCTTCAACCACAAGGGCATTGGTCCGCGCGCTTCTCCTTTGGACGGAGGAGTCGCGCAAGGTGATGCGCTCGGTGGCGACGTGAGCTACAACGGAACGGCGGCCTTGGGCTTCCCCGTTCCCTTGCCGCTCTTTGCTGTAAGTCTGCAGATAGTCTGCATCACGCTGGAAGTGCTGGTCTAACAACTCCACTCTTTGATTGTGTGTGTTCGTTGCTACAGGCGCTGGGTCTGCGCGGACAGCTCTTTGCCAACGCTGGCAACTTAACCACGTGGGACCGCCTGCTCGACGAGAAGAAGTGGATGAAGAACCTTGCCGACGACACGCGTGTTTCCGTCGGTCTGGGACTTGTATGGGGAACCCGCATCGGCCGCCTCGAAGCCAACTATTCGTGGATTCTCAAGGCGCACGACCACGTGAGGATTTGTGCCCGATTGCTGTTTTCTTGGAGTTGTTGACTAATACGCTCTACTGCTCTATAGGATAACATCAAGCGCGCTCAACTGGGTCTCGGCATGACGTTCTCGTAGGTAGACCGTCTTAGAGTGCACACTCGACGTAAGGGAGAAGAAGAGGAAGCCAGACGCTGGCCGCAAAGTTGTCCAAATACATTCGCTGTCAGCATATCCACCGTCACACGTCACACATTTCTGTACGCTACATCCCCTTTCATTTTCGTTACAACCCCGAATTAGGGGGGGGGGTGATGCCCCGATCAGAACCCAAGAGATCTGCCGCATAGAGCGAAGGCTTCTTCGTTCGACCTCAGTTCTCTCAGTTCTCGACTCTCTTCACCCCCCCACCCTGAGCATCGCCGACGCCATGTACTCGGGCAACGCAGCGCGCATCTACAACCCGCAGCCGGACCCGCTGGAGCGGGGCCCGCCCAAGCGCGTGCTGCGCGAGGAGCAGCACATCGGCGAGATGGTGGCGGCCTCCAAGAAGCGCGTGACTTGGCGCTTCACGCTGGGTGAGTCGGACCGCACGCACGAGGTGGTGCTGATCCACTCGGTTATGAGCTACAAGAAGGTGCGGCGCTAGGCCTCGTGGTGGATTCAATGGACTCGGTGTTCGATAGCTTGTGTCTATTTGAAGTGGACGACGGCTGATGATTGGGCACTTGTGAATGAGCAGGTGGTGCAGTACGACGGCCGACAGATGCATTTCTCGGCAACGGTAAGGGAAGATTTATCTTAGTTGAAGAGGCTGACAAGATATGAAAGTGGTTTAACAAAAGATGTGTGGTGCTTGTTGTGGGGTTGTCGGATGTGGCAGGCAACGTTGGGAGACTGGAGCTTCTCGATGATTTTGGATGGCCTCAATGTGGTCATGGAAGTGCGTATCAATGACTTGGAGTCAGCCGATGTCCCGAAATACGGTAAGGTATTATAGGCTTGTTCGGATGAAACGCAGGATGAATGGGGCTGATCACGATGTTGTTGTAATGTGGTAGACTTCGTCATTGACCGAGTCCCGTTCCGTCGCTGGGACGTGTACCGTCGTAAGAAGCACGCGATCACTACGGCGACCTACGCGCAACCGAATGCTCCTCCTGGAAGTACGTGTTGAATAACTATGCATTAGTTTGCTTGATCTAATAGTTGCTGACGTCGTGGCTGACGCGGAATAGATGCGTACGGAACACACCGCTGGGGGCCTGGCGGAGCCTCGCCTTCGTCGCAAAGCGAACCCCATCCGTCACGCGGCTCGTTTACGGGTAGCTCGGGGGGTTCTTTTACGGGCAGCTCTCGTGGTTCCTTTACGGGCAACTCTCCGACGTCGGATCGCACACAGAGCTTCAGCAACCAAGGTGCTCGTCCACGAGCCTCCTCTGGGCAGCAGAATGGCCGCACTCGAAGCTTTTCCGGACAGCAAAACGGACAACAAGGGTTCAGCAGTGCGCAACAATATGCTGGCCAACGCTCTTCATTGCAGGAACAGAGCGCTCCGATTGCTCCTAATGCCGCAGCAACGAACGCCCACCAACCGCCTCCGGCCCCTCCAGCGCAAAAGCCCAAGAAGCAGCCTGAAATTAACCTGATCGACGATTTTGGTCCTAGCGTGAGCGTGTCGGCACAGTCGTTGATCTTCGATCCTCTGGCCAGTGTAAGTGGTTGCCCCCATGGTGGCAAGTTGAATTGATTTGCATGACACTGATTTGTATCTTGTGCTATGTGTTTGCAGGCTAAGATATCATCGACGGGAGATTCCACAACCGTGGCGCCTCCTCCTCAGCAGCAGCATCAACCGCAACAAGCTCCTGCTGTTGCTGCCATCCCCCAGCCAACGGCGTATGTGGATCCGTTCGCCGCTGTTGCTGCGCCTGTAATGGCCAAGCCAGCCGGAAGCATCAACTTGGATCCATTTGCGGCTCACAATGGTACCTACCAGCAGCAGTCACAGTCACAGCAGCAGCCGCAGCCGCAGCCGCAGTTCAACCGTCCGATGGGAAACATGATGAATCAAACTCCCGTCTATCAGCAGCCAATGGGGATGGCAATGGGTGCACCGATGGGAGGAATGCCCATGCAGCAACAGCAAGGTATGCGAGGCTCCTTCACGGGCCAACAACAGCCCGGTGCACCGAACGGCATGGGCGGCGTGAATTACAACATTTCGCAGCTCATGAACCCGGCGAGCCTCCAAAGCAGCCAGCAGAGTCAGCAAGGCAAGTCCATTAACATCGATGCTTTCGCTAGCTTAAGCCGCTAGCAGACCGCAGCAGCAGAAAACGGCAAGGGATTGCCAGCACCATGTTTTGCCTCAGCTCAAATGTCAAATGAGTCGAACATTCACTCCCTGCAAGTTTATTTTTTGAGTTAGCGGCGGCGTTGTCGTCTACCAAGCAGTTCGTGCGTCTCGCGGTCGAGTTGGCTTGTCATCTGGAGCCTCATCAGTGCACGTATGTACCCGATCTCGGCGTCCTTCTTGGCCTCGAGCTTCTCCTTTAGAGCTTCAATTCGTTGGGCATTCTCCAGCTCAAGGAGCTCTAGCTGCCTTGCGTACGTGTCTGAGAGGACCTGCACGTGGTCCTGCAACCGTTTGTCTGCTTGTACGGTCCATTGTTTCTCCCGCAGCTTGACCTCGGCGGCGTGGAACGACTGCAACTCGTTCGTACGCTTTTCGAGAGCTGCAGGAGCACTCCTCGCTAGCTTTCGCGCGGCCGCAATCACCTGGTCGCATACTGATCGTTGCCGCTCTAGTTCCTGCTTGCAAGCGTCGAGCTCGGCTTGCACTTGCTCAGCCTGGCATGCAACATCGTGTTGGTGAAGGAAAATGCCGCGGAGCTCGAACTCTACTTTGGCCAGGAGCCGCTGCAAGTTGGCGCCCAGCACTGCAAACCCTTCCAGCTCCTCGAACTCCTGGAAGTATACCCGCACGCGACCTTGCGCGCGCAGGAAGAGCTGCTCCTCTACAATTGTCAATCGTGCACTGCGGCACGTCGAATGCTGACATCACGCCTGCACAGCGAATGCTTCGCTGAATAATGGTGACGCGCTTCCTGCTACCGCCGGGCTTGGACCGATACGATACACCTCTCACAAACAAGCCGTTACGTGGCAACGAGCACGGCCAAAAGCAAGTGAACGAACGAACGCGTACTTTGGTTTGGTGACAGAAATCGGCTCGTATTTGCCTCTATTGGAATAATTTACAGGCGCAGCTCGTGCCGCGGTCGCTGGGGGTCGGAGCGCAGCCGAGCTGCGCGCCTTCTAATTTACTGTACGCCACAACCAGTGTCGTTGGTGCTCCAACTCATGGCCGACGTGTACTTGCGCGTGGCCTTCTCGAGCGCGATGAGGTGCGGGTCGCGGACGTGTAGTGCGCGCATGCAGTCGCAGAGCTTGAACAGGTACTCGAAGTTGGGGCCGCTGAAGCCGCTGCGCGTGGCGATCTCCTTGGCCATCTCGTCCACTGGGGAAGGGCCCAGGAAGTCCGAGTTGGAGGGCGTGGCGATGTAGACCAGCGCCTTGCGCACCACGCCGTCCTCGCAGTGGACGTCCACCATTTGGCGGTCGTAGCCGGCCTGCTCGCGGTTGTCCAGCTTGGTGAGCGTGTCCTCGACCTCCTCATCGGGCACCTTGTACAGGCGGCCCCACGTGATGTGGTCGCCCGCCAGGTGCGCGTACTCGTCGTCGAACTTCTTCATCTCCTCGCGGCTGATGAGCGTCACGACGCGGCCCTTGGCCTCGGGCGAGCCGCGGTGGTCCGGGCTGCCCTGCCAGAAGCGGCGGTGCCAGCCCTCGACGTAGCCGAACACCGTGTCCTCGGCGGGGAACTCAGTCTTCCAGACGATCGAGCCGTAGCCAAACACCCACATGGTTCTTGAAGGAGAGGTGAGGTGTTGAGTTTACTGCTGCTGCGCGGGGCTCGATGTGCCGCGGAGGAGGCGAATTCCAGAATGAACTGCCGCAAGCAGGCTGTTGCAGGCCGCTGGTTGCCCTATCCTCAAAAATGTCCAGTTGTTTGGCCAAAATCGGCCAAAAGAAAATTCCCATTGCGAAAGGCGATGGGATTGGAGTGGAAAATCCCGGCATTGAGCGGGGCCCCGAGTAAAAACGCACCAGCCCCGCGGCCGGCAAACGTGCATGCAGAGAGGGCGGCGCGAGACCCCGACCATCGAGGCCTCTTCGACCGAATCGATTGCTGCCCGGCATCTCATCGGTGAAAGACTCCGCCGCGCAAATAGCAACAGAGTCTGCACCCCGAATTAGGGCGAAGCTGGCCTAATCATAGTTTCCAGCGAGATACGCCAGCAAACCAGTCCCGAACCAGGTCGCGGCTGAACCCAGCGGGGCCAATTGCGCAGCTTCGGCTGCCGCACGCAGGCCATTCATACCGCCGCCGCGCGCGCTCCTCCGTATCAATTGCGCCGCGAAACAGCCGCGCGGATCTGCTCCGGGAGCTGCTGCTGCCACGTGCACCGAGAACGCCGCCAGCGCCGCGCTCGCGGAGTGACGTGCAGCGAGCGACATTGCGCAGGCCGGTTGATGCACGACAAACGGTTTTTATGCCAAAAACTGCACTTTCGTCCGGTTTGTGCGCGGTGACTTTTCGGTGACCAATGAGATCAAAGATCGCGGATGACAAGATGCACCTCTTGTTACCGTGGTGGTAATACGGTCTCCGATTGGGGTACGGTAGCAGCAGTAGTACAACCTCTATCTACTAATTCACCCGTCTAATTGACATACTTGATATGTCGCAATTTGGAAATATAGCGTCTATTACTAACGCAGTGGGTGGTGATATACCGAGGTACTGTACTAGTCCTCTCAAATTCTATTGAAAACGGGAGCGTATCGGTGATAGGCCAAAAACTATCCGCTCACCCCCATCCCCCTCCACCACCAGAACACCATGACGATCCATGAAAGCTCAACGGCGGCACCAACGGAGACCATGCGACGGCGCTGATAGGCTCGGTGGAGGCGCAGAAGACCCATGCCCCCGCTTCATTGGCGCCGCCGTGCCGCCGTCACAGTCCGGCGCGAAGGAGGGACCTCAAGCCGGCCGGCGCCCGCGGCTCTTGTTCGGCGATCGATGATCGCGAATCGCCGATCGAGTAAGCCCCATGGTGCTCAAGTCGGAGAGGAAGCTCGGGCGCGGAGCCTGCAGCACCAGGCGCACGCCGAAAGAGTTAACGAGTGTCGGCAGACGTCCGCACGTGTCGGTAGGCGTCCACCAGCGTTATGTATTATCACGGATGAGATGTCTTCCGACCGCCCGGCTTGATCACATATCGTGAAAACACGCAGACCAGCCTTGCCGCCGTTGCAGGAAAGACATGGGGAGACTCAGCAAGCGCTGAAGTCGGGAATTTCGTGGGTTGTGGCGCAATCCAATGTCTACTCGTACCATCCTTCGGACGGACCTTGCATGGCATCATATTCACTGCGGGTACGATGAACCGCAAAAGACAAAAAATCAACGCGACCACGGATGATCACATGTGGCGCGCCATCAAAGGTTTCAGCGTACTAACGCCTTTGTATGAAAGCAAGGAAAACCAACGACGCAGTTCTGTAGGCAACCGAAGCAGCCATCCTCAGCAGCAAGTGTAGCTCGAATAACTGAGGAAAATGCCACGGTTCGACTCCGCCCGGAGCAGTAAGGCCGATGAGGAAAATTTGACATGACAATTTGACCCGGGGGGCAAATGTGGATGCCTTTGTCAGCTCGTACGACAGGAAAATGGAGCGACAGCGTTCCGGACTATCTTGGAAAGCATTGACGCAGAGTCGATTTCGAAGCGTGCATTCGCGGGGGCATTGGTTTTATGGATGAGGACAACAATTTCGATCTAGCGTTGAAGGACATGGGATTGCTACCGAACATGTGGGGAATCCCCACTGGTGTATTGGGTCGTGACGTACTTTGGCTCACCAGGGCACATGATACTTGAGGTTTTTGGACTGTGAAAATACCGGCAAGCCAGCTAGCAATGCGTACTGAGGCATTCGTTGTGCAGCGGCGTAGCTGCACCATGGCAGACGTCTTCCAAACAAATGAACGCACTATTCTAATCGGTGTTTTCACACTGAACGGAAATGTACCCTCTATTTCAAGTCCTCGGCAGTGATGACTGGATTATTGACCTGCCACCAGTGGAGGAGCGAGACGGCAGTCAACGACAACATCCCTGCTTTGACTGGTTTGGTCATGATAACGAGAACGCTCAACAACCCACGTGGTGGACTACGGTTCGACAGCAGTTGGATCGCCTTCAGCTAGCCGTCTACGAAGCCCCTGAAGGATGGCAACGGTACCCCACTATGACGAAAGGAAGCAAAGTATGGTCAGAGGCAGTGTCCTACACTATGGGGCAGGCAAAGGTGTTGCATGAGTCGATTTTCTTGGGTACCTGGGTTACCCTCCGAGAGTACTGGGAGTACAGCTGCACCATTGATGCTAATGAACGATCTCAACGATATTGCCAAACGCTTTTGAGGCATGTGAACCTGGGAATCAAGACGAGACGTCAGCAATGGGCTCAACGAACTCAAAGCCAACTGTCCCGCCGCCTTCAAGAACGAAGAGACCAGATTTGTGAGCGTGGCGAACGCTGGCATGAGCAACGAAATCACCAACTTGGTACCGACGGCACGACCTAGCTTGTTTGGTGTCAAGATCTTTAATTTACTGCATATATGCATATGACTTGGGCAGCACTGGCGACGCAGTCTCTGCGACTGTGTGATCCGTGCTGTCATGTATGGGCGACTACCGTGGGCGCGTGTTGTTCCAGCATGGATCCGTCGGCGAGGCTGCAGCAGAGCGCAGTATCGGGTGCAGTTAGCCGACTAAACCGCAACAAATAAATAAATGGCTCATTAAGCGCCAGATTCCTCGCATCGTCGGGCAGCACCCAGCCGACCCAGACTTGACATGCAGCCGCAACAGAACTCTGCGTTCTCAACCAGTAGCAACAGTCGAAACCGGCAGCAGAAGTGGCTCAACTGGCAGCAGTTTTTCCGCTATCAAGAGTGGGTGAAATATGGTGTAGTGGTGGAGTCAGCCGCAGCGACAGCATTCCTCGACTGTGTTCTTCCCAGCGCAGCCGCTAAATGTTCTGCTTTCCTGCTTGGAAAAGCGCTTCAGCACCAGCAGCACAACCGCCGCAAATTAAGTTTCCTTCGAACAATCAATTTTTCATTCCGAACGTGCTGCTAGCCAGCCGTTTGTTGGATTTGTCGACGTAGAGAACAACGATGGCATGATGCTGAAGCTGCTCGACTAACAGAACAAGTGTATGGAAAACGGACTCGGCGGTACGAAGACCGCAAAACTTATAATAGGGGTTTACACAGAGCCTCGGTTAATTCTCTAATTAACACATTTTTTACCCACATACACATCAAGTTGTTTCACCAGTTCGCTTCTGTAACTACTGTACATTTGGCGAATGGGTTGCCGACAAAAGCTTGACTCGAAGGTGTATGTTGCTGCTTGTGAGAGTATGGATGTGCCAGGGATGCTGCCCACGACTATTGTTTATCTCGAGCGTTGTCGTCCTCGGAGGCTCCATTCTGGTTACGAGGGGCTCGGTATTTGCGTGGATACGTTTTGGCCTGTTAAGTTAACGAACGTGTTTTCCTACGCGCGTACGACTGCGATTTCATATTGTGCTACGAACTGCGCGGCTGCCCTTCCGTGGCAAGGAAGATAAACTGTAGTTGTCCACATGCATCTTGACGGTCGATACATTTTTTTAACTACTGTAGTTGCGAGTCGCTGTGTTTCCATTAGATCTCTAAATCAAGCATGGGCTTGCGAGTCGAGAGTCGACTCGAACCCCTGTAACACCACGAACGATAACAAAACGGCTCGTAAAGCGGATCTTGGCGATAAGCGTTCAAGATCTTAAGAAAATTGCTAGCTGACGATACCAGCAGTAGGATGTAAGTTATCCCTACCTTCAGTGCACTGCTCTTGCTTGAACATCGACTTCATACAAGTCGAATAATGTCGGCGAAACTGAGTTGATATTGTTAAGCTTTTCTAAGCTTGGTGTTCCTAGTGATCGTACGCAACACCGACAAGCTCCTTTCCGATCAATCTATGCAGACCTAGATAGTTGTCCTCAGCATGATGTTCAGGTCATGCTTAAACGGTGTCTGCGATCTGGTCTCCTTCGCTTGACAAGAAACCCAACTCATCTTCCTCGCAGATAGAGGGGCAGTCACGCAGAATCGCGTGCGAAATGGCGAGTGCTCCGCTGAAATTTGTAGCACAATACGAAAGCGCAGTCGTAAGCATGATGAAAATCGCGGTCGTTTGCTTGCCAAAAACGTATCCAGCAAACCTACCTAGCCGAGCAAATCGTGAACAGAATGGAGCCTCCGAACACGACAATCACAGCAGCGCTCACTGCAATCACCACGAGACAAAGACTCCCGTGAGCGACATTTTCGATATAAGCATACGTTCAAATGCAAGAACAAACCTCCGAGCATGCCCAGCTTGCGCTGGTCGGGCGTCACCGTGCGTCCCATGATCTTGGTCGGGTTCTCCGGCGACTCGTTCGCCGTCGCGCTCGACATGTAGATCCAAAAGCCGCCCAGGCAGATGAGTACGAACAGGAAGAACGGGTTCAGGAGGCTGCATCGAACCGTTACGCGAAGAAGTCAGTATAATGTTCATGCTCCTACACGAGCACATATCAAGTGTCTACGTACATCGTGACGACGCCGACCAACGCCGCGGAGATGGCGTAATTGGCACTAAAGAACAGCGCGTTCTTGCGGCATCGGGAGGCCAGGACCTCACGTCCAGGCACATTGAAGGGCTTCTCCTCGCCTGCATAATTCCCACACAATTGAGCGCAGCACACCAGTTAGCGAGGTGATATCAATACTGGACGCCGAGGTGATCAAGACGTACCGAATCCAAAGAACTGGGAGATGCCGCGCACGTTGCGGATGTCGACAGCCTTCATGAGCTGGTTCCTGATCTTCTGCAGCGCGTGCTGCTGCGCCTCCATGGTGATGGTTCCCTGGGGCTCGTCGGACGCGACCTTCATGGCGCTAATGGCGGCTGCTTTGCTCTTTGTGTGATCGCGGGGGAAGAGAAATGTCCCGCGCGCAGAAAAACTGTTGGCAAGCTGCGGTTCGCCAAAAATAACAGGTCACAAATAGCCAATCGTCGACCACCTAAGATCGCGAGGAGTGATTGTCACTTCAACTTCTGCAATTTGGCGCGCGCGCACTCGCGAATTCAGGGACAATGCGGACGCGCGGACAGACACCCAAGGCGCCGCTCAAGAAGACGTACGAGCTGGACGACACGCCCGAAGAGGACAGTGAGTGGATCTGCCTACCTTCGTCTCTGTTGCATTGTCTGGTTGATACCTGGACAACGGCGAGGGCATATATAGCCGAGGAAAGAATGCAGTTACTTTTGGCACTCGTGCTAACCGTTCTCTCCTCTCTTAACGTCGCTGTGTGACAGACAGCTCTTATGATGGGGATAAGGTAGTCGAGGAATCGGTGTGACGGGTTGATAAAGCGCTGACATGCCGTTCCGTAGGAGAATGCGGTGAATGCGGCGAAACCAGGCAGGAAGAGCAAGCGGAAAGGTGGCGCAAGTCGTGCAAGCAAGAAGGGGTTGTCGAAGAGGCAGAAGAACGACAACAGTACTGCGAGTCAAGAGTCGCCGCCGAGCTTTGCCTTCAAAGCGGCCAAGACGTCGTTTCGCAAACGGAAGCTGCTCAAGCATGAGCGACAGCTGCAGAACGAGGAGGAAAACAAGAGACGGATCGACGAGATGATTGCGTACTTCAAAAACCTGGATGAGCAGAAGCTGGAGACAGCGTGATCTCTCGCAAGCGGAAAAGCTTTCCGGGCTCGTTCGTGTTTGGTGGTGGCTCGACGAGTGTGGCGATGTTGCGTGCGCTACCTGGCTCTAGATCATGATGATGATTTTGCAGTCGCTAACTCCTGAAGCTGGTCACAGTAGCGAGGACTTTGATGGCGATTCCGGTTCTCTTCAGCTTTCTTCGCCAGTCGGGGTGCGTCAATGGCAACCGTTTCCTTCAAAACATCGAAGACAGCATCCTAAAAACACAAGCATTACGTTTTAGTCGATTGGATGCACATACTCAAGCATCAAGCCGCATTCTTGCTACGCTTTCTTACCTGGATATCGGGCTCCGAATCATCGAGGTGAACAAAAAGGCAGTCCAGAGCATAGTCGATGATCGTCCCTTGAAAGTGCTCCTTTGGTGCAGCTTGAAGGAAGGTGGCAAATGTCTGGCAAGCCGCTTTGCGCACAGTGTCGTTGCTATCATCGAGGCGCTTCAAAATCTCTGCATAGAGTTGATGTACTGGCTCCTCTGTTCGGCCCAACACAACACGTCGTGTGTAAGCGAAACTGTTCCGTTTAGAAGACATTTACGTTCGACATACCTCCCAAGCACCCAGGTAGTGCAACAAAAAGATACTGGAACGCAAGGCAAACCAGTTGGCGAGTCTTTGCGTCACTGTCGTCCATTGACGATTTCAGTACAGGCAGCATCTGCAAGACAGCGAAAAGTATTAGCAAACCGTAGATAGGAGTGAGCAATAGCTAGACCATAAGGTACCTGGGGTGCAGTCTCGAACAAGCACGGTTGGTCCGCAATACCCTGGCGAAGCAGCGTGTACGCACATGCAACAGCTACTTTTCTGTTGGAAATAGCACGAGGGGGGGGGGGGGGGGTCAGCAGGTGCATAATTTTTTCCGAGCGCAATGCAAAAACCAACCTAATGGTTGCAGCCACACGTCCTCCACGCCAAACGATGTTTGGAATGATAGCTTTTTGGAGCAACGAGACGCTAAATGCCTTGAAGGACTAGTAACAACACAATACCCCCGTCAGAAACTCCACCACGGAATCGCAAACTACCTCAGATCTGACGTACCTGACTAATAGCATCCGTCCCTAGCATTGTCTCCAACAAGGCAAGGAAAGCGAGGCGAACATCTGCATCCTGGGCCGGGTCTAGGTGCAGCAGAAAGACGGGCACAATTTTCTCCAGATTCTCGCCGCATGCCTGCATACATGTACAATTGGGATACATCATCGTCAATGGAAGTAGGGTGCGTGCTATCAAGGATAAAAGACACTTACCGCTCCCCCACGCCGACAGATTGAGTCGAACAATACACGGCTTGGATTGCTTTTCTGCCAACTCGCAGTTGAATCAGCCGGAAGCGCCATCGTATGTAAGAGTTTACCCATGTAGCACCCGTAAAGCGCCTGCGAAAACAGCGATATGGGGCAGTTAGAAAATTATTCACCGACACATGTAATTGCATCGTGGTTAACTCTTACCTCAACAGGTTTCTCCATTTTCACTGCTAGCTCTTCCATCGCTTCGGTTGCCTGATGCATCCAGTGTGTAGTTAGTATATTAGAAGTAAATGTTAGCCCCGCGTTGTAGTATATCCCAGGCTCAATTGCATTTTTCGTGATGGCAACTTACTGTTTCATAGGCAACCGACGATTCTGAAGTCGAGGCGAGGAGGTGGCTCAGTACCCAAAACAGTCGGAAGCAGACCTCGTCTTTTTGGGCAAGCAGTGGTCCGGCCGTCTTCACAATACTTGAGACGACGCCAGCCAGTTGATCTTGAAGGTCTGCTACTTCGGATTCACGAAGACCAGCATCACACAGTGCCTCGGTAATAAGCTAAACGAAGTTACCGTACATAACAAGGGACGGTGAGTAATTGTGTTAAGAAGATGCTTCGACTAGCAATCCGTACCTCCAGGTGGGCTCCAATAGTATTTGTTGTCATGCCCTCGATGCTCATACCCAGTAGGATCAAGCCGTTAGTACGATGTTGTGCGGTATCCTGTCCTGCTAGGCGACCCGCCACCATCGGCAGCAAAGAAGCCAAAATCATTTGAGTGTCAGCGTAGAAGCCGACAACACCGGAGCACGCCTTCACACTGTTCAAAACGGCCTCTTCATCATCGCGGCAGGTCTTGCCTAGCGCCGCAAAAACCTTGTCGAGCAATGGGTTCATGTTTTGCTCCAGCAAAATCAGGTACGCACTGAGAACTTGCGTGTAGCGCTCACGCACATGCACGGTCCAGTCGCTCGTTTTTTCGAGAAGAGGCGGTAGGACCTGGGCTTGAATACTCGCAGCAAGTTTACGAGCGCCTAGCGGAGGACGAGTTTCGAAGAAAAGTGGCGGTACGCTCTTTGCTGAGTCCATATCCACCTCCATTAGCTCCACATCGCTTGACTTGACTCCTCCATCGTCATCACGACCCTCCCAGATAGTCGAAAGTTCATTCAGCTTTGTGAGTGAGCTTGCTCGTACTTCTGGCGCATCGTCTGCGATGCCTGCAAGAAAAATTGGGAAGATGGAAGCTTCGAACTGCTGGACCTGCTCGATCTGAGCCAGCCACGCAGCCAGTGTGATCACCAACTGCTTTCTTACAGAGGGCGCGTGATCAAACACCACCTTGCTCACAGTCGGCAACAGCACCTCCTTTATAAGCTCCGGTAGAGCCTCCGATCCGCACGGTACCGCAGCTTCCAGTGCTTGCAACGCACACACGCGCACACGGCTGTGCTGGTGGCCAAGATTCGCCACCATGGGGCGCACAATGGTGCCGATCTGCATCCCAACATCGCTCTTCCAATTCTTGGAGATCAGGATGACGCACTCCGCCGACATCTTCTTGGCATCAGGAAACGGGTCCACCGCGGTCTTGCCCAATGCGTTGGCCAACTCCGAAATGACGTCGCGCAATGACGTCGCCACTTCCTTCGCCGCCGCAAGCTGCTTCAAGAACGCGTGCAGTAGCTGCAGAATGAGCAGGCGGATCTCCTCCGTCGGCTCCGGGTACGGCAGCTTGCCCAGACGAACGTTGGCCAGCGCCACCAGCTCCTTCAGTGTAGCCTGCGACGGCTCCAGAGCCCCGTTCTCGCACAGAAAGAGCAGTGAAGTCAGTGCTCGCTCGCGACACTTCTCCACTGCGTCGCTCTCGGCGCACTGCAACAATGGGCGCTGCAGGTTGGCGACGCACAGAGTGCGCAGCACCACAGCAGACACGCGCGATGCCTCGTTCTGCAGCGTGCGGTGCAGCTTGTCCGCTGCTCGGCGGCGCACGCTTCGGTCCGGGTCTGCCAGGCAGTTGACGTCACGCTGCATCTTCATGGACAGCATGTTGTACGCGGCCTCGTCCTCCGGAGACAGCGCCATGGCTCGCGAGGCGTCGGGATCCTGTGGCCAAATGACCCGCCACTCACCTGCAGTATACAAACAACTAGTGTGGAATGCAGAGACCGTGTGCTCGAAGATCGTGCAACACTACAGCGCCACAGCAACATTACACTTGTTGCATGACGGATTATGTTGCGCCGAGTGAAGCTGGACAAAGTTGTCCACCTTGGAAAGCATTGGGGCGCGTTGACACGAAAAGAGATACGCCATGTTTGCAAGTGCATGCACGCTAGTTGCTCTATGTGTTGGTGACTCGTCTACTGTTGCCTCTATACATGATGAATACGAATTGCCCAGGCCTCCGGCGGCGAGCCGCCATGGATGCTGTCGGTAAAATCGCCACGCCTTGCCGAGCGACGAGCTTACTTCTTCTTGCCCTGCATGCGCTTGCGGCCGTTGGCGGTCAGCTCGCGCTTCCGCATGCGAATCTTGGTCGGGGACACGTCGATCATTTCGTCCTCACCAATGTAGGTGACGACGTCTTCCAGGGACATCTGGCGGATCGGCGACAGCTTGATGTTCTCGTCAGTGCCGGCAGCGCGCATGTTGGTGAGCTTCTTCTCCTTGGTGGGGTTGATCTCAATGTCCGTGGGGCGGCTGTGCTCACCCACAATCATACCCTCGTACACTTCGTCGCCAGGCTTCACGAACATCTCACCGCGGTCCTCGAGCGAGTTGAGCGCGTAAGCCTACAATGAAAAATTGAGTTGCCGAGTCCGTTAGAAACTGCTAGCAATGGATTTCCAGGTAGAGACACCTATGCTTACCGTGCACACGCCTCCAGATGAAGAGATAAGCTTGCCCTTCGACGGAGGAGTGGCCGAGCCTTGGAACGGAGAGTAACCGTGGAAAATCGAGTTGAGAATGCCACTTCCGCGTGTGTCGGTCTTGATCTACACATGATAATCAAGGTGAGTTACCTACACATTTACTGGCAACGGGAGATCAATACGTACCTCACTGCGGTAGCCCATGAGGCAGCGACTGGGGATCTGGAACTGAAGACGCACTTTGTCGTGCATCTCCTTGAACTCGATGATCTCACCTCCGCGAGTGGACAGCTTGTCAATAACAGTACCAGAGAAGTCGGAGTCGACATCAATCGTCACTTCTTCGATAGGCTCCAGCTTCTGGTTCGTCTCGGGGTCCGTCTTGAAAATAACCTGGGGAGCCGACACGGACATCTCAAAGCCCTCGCGACGCATCTCTTCAATCAGAATGGCCAGCTGAAGTTCACCACGGCCGTGGACGTCAAAGGCTTCCGAAGAAGTGCTAGGAGAAATGGAAATGGCAACATTGTTCTGCAAACACCGATAATTAGCCATCTAACTGTGGATAACAACATACTATGCAGGTAATACACTCTTACCTCGCACTCGCGCTCAAGACGCTGCTTGATGTGAGAAGACGTGAGGAACTTGCCATCCTTGCCTGCGGTCGGCGCGTCGTTTACGCCAAACGTCATCGAAATGGTGGGCGGGTCCAGCTGCGGGGACGGAATGGGCTCCGTCACGTTGACATCAGCGATGGTATCAGACACGTATGCGTTCACACCAGCGATGGTGATGATATCGCCTGTTGCATAAAGTCACACAAACACCAGCGCGAGTCAAAGCACTTCGGTGAGCAAGTGGTCGATGATTAGAAACGTACCAGCGGTGGCCGACGTGATTTCCGACTTGGCAACACCACGGGTCACAAACATCTTCGTCACCCTGCCGGTCTCGAGCTTCTTGCTGTCGCGGTTCATCACTTGGATCGAGTCTCCAATCTATTGAATTCGTTTCACATGCAACACGCAACAAAAAAATAATCAGCACATGGTCACAACGTACAAGCCAAGAAGTGAAGAATGCGCACCTTGACAGTTCCAGCGTGAACGCGGCCAGTCGCCAGACGACCAACGTACGGGTCGTGGCCAATCATGGTGACAGCCATCGCGAACGGCTTGCTGGCATCGGTGTTCGGTGCAGGCACGTAGCGAGTGATCTCGTCCAGCAGAGGCAGCATGCTGTCGCGGGCCTCGCCCTCGTTGTCCAGGTCGTGCACGGCCCAGCCCTGCTTGGCAGACGCGTACAGCACCGGGAACTCGAGCTGATCGTCGTCAGCGTCAAGTGCAACGAACATATCGAAAAGCTCGTTCTCCACCGAGCCGTCGAGGCGGCTGGTGTCGCGGTCCACCTTGTTGACGACCACGAGAGGCTTCAGTCCGCGGTGCAGCGCCTTCGTCAGCACGAACTTGGTTTGCGACATAGGTCCCTCCGTGGCGTCCACAACCAGGACCACACCGTCCACCATGCTCAAAATGCGCTCCACCTCACCGCCGAAGTCAGCGTGACCGGGGGTGTCCACGATGTTGAGCACGTGGCCGTTGTACTCGACGCGCGTGCACTTGGACATGATAGTAATGCCGCGCTCGCGCTCCAAGTCAATGGAGTCCATGACGCGCTCCTCGGAGAGCGTGGTGCCGCCGTGCTTGAGCAGCTGGTCCACCAACGTGGTCTTGCCGTGGTCGACGTGTGCAACGATAGCCACGTTGCGGATGTTCTCGGCCGTGACGGCCGAGTAGTCGGTGGAGAAGGCACGCGCCATTGCGGGCGCATTGCGCTGCAGCAACGAGCGCTGGCTCGAGCGCGCACGCGTCAGAGCAGGCAGGCAGGACCGGCGGAGCCACATGATCAGGTTCAGGCGCGTTGATGCACGAGGTCGACAATCGAAGCGCGTGTGTGGTGGAGAGCGGCGCCGACAACATTGGTGTGTCGTACCCCATTTAGTGTAGTAGACGCAATTTCGGTGGTACAGTCGTAGGTACAGTGTGCCCGATTGGCGTTCGATTGGAGTTATATTGGTGTCCGATTGGCGTTGCATTGGCGTTGCGGCCCGACTTATGGCGCGCCCGAGCCATTTCCTAATCCATAAGTCAATCGAGCGCGGCGCCATTTGTGTGCGTCACACAAAATCGATTATTGATATCAGACCGCTTCACACGGCAAACGCCATCGAGTGCGTGACGAAGGCAAACGCGTGCAGCATCGGGGAAGATGCTGATGCAGTCGCCAGCCGTGTGCTAGAGGAGAGCAGCCCATGCGCGAGACAGTCTTTTGCTGCCCGCTGGTTCAGCAAACACCGCGGGAGTTAACATGCGAAAGAAATACGCCATACACACGCCGGGCGAGGGTGCTTTCAGTAGGGTCGTGAAGCCGAGGCACGCCGCCGTAATGTGCTCACTGCGTTGGTGTCTCACCGACAGTGACTACATGTATTAAAACGGCGGATTGATGCGAGGAATGCCACCACTGAAAGGGCACACAGTTTCGACAATGGACCATTGGCAACACAAATGGTGAAGACAACTGGCAGCTCGTCGTTCGAGACTCGTTGATGGTATCTTCACTGAAGTCAACGTGGCGGTGCCACAGGAGCTGGGGTTGCCTGTCTTTTATGACGACTCGGCTCCAGCCGGCAGGTCTTACTTTCGCGGTGTCGCCTGCGCCTGTGCACGACGGTTCGAATTTTGAGTGTCAAAATGAAATGCAAGGCAGCGCGTCACAGCAGCTGACGAATCTTGGCGGGGTCAACGTTGCAGGATGCACCATGGTCGCGGCTACGGATCTTCGCATTGGCGAGACGCTGACCCATGCAGCATGGACCATGCTAGAGTTGGTGCCACCAACTTGGTGTTTCGCCGGGTTCACATCGTGGCGGCGCTGGTGCTTGGGAAACATGAGCAAGATGAGGGGCTGACTGGCGCAGCGTCTTTGGGGGAGGCGGTGGCTACTTATCCCGCGATTTGACGCCCAACTCCAACATCGCAGCCCGATTTCTAGCGAGCGCCAGACTCAGCAGAAATCCAAGCAGCGCCGGTGGCGGATCAAGCGCTCCGGATCCCAGACGCTGCGCCGGGTTGTCTGCCCATCGAGCCCCATGCTGCTGCTGGCTGTTGCCCAAGGCAACGCAGTAAATCAGCTCCGCCCGACGACGGGATGGAGTCGCTGAGCGGAATTCGGAAGCCACCAAAAACCGCGGCGAGTGTGACATTCGCCGCGCCTCTGGCGGCGGCCGCTGCCTCGGCGTGAGAATTCGCGAATGGCTGTTTGCGTGCGCAGCTCGGCCCCGCCGCGAGGTAGGATACCAGCGAAGGCGGTATCCACCCGTCCTGCTTGGTGCTTGGGCGCTCGCGAACGCCCAGCTGTCGCCGGTCCCCCGGTCGGGGTCAACTCGAGCTTGGGTGGCGGGCAGCGGAGACCGAGTCAGCTGCGTTCCCACCTTCGAAATTGTCCAGCACAGCGCGGGCCGGGCCGCGTTACACTGGACTTTTGGCTGGCGCGGGGCGGCAACCCGGCCCGGGTCGGGATCCGCCGCGCAGCGTCTCTGCGAAACCAGACACAGGTCGTCCCCTGCTGGCAGCAGCGCGTGATGCGGAAGATCTGCCCGAGCCTCATTCCTCATTTTGCAGGCTGGCGCTGCCCCTCGCACCTCGTCGCTCCCAGAAGCCCCACAGGCGACCCCCATGGCGCGCGCTCGGAGCCCGTGCGCGGCGCGGCTGTTGCCGCTGCTGCTGGCGGTGCTGCTGGTGGCGCTGCTCGCCGCGCGCAGCGAGGCGTCCAAGCCCATCACGAACGCGCTGCAGCGCGCGCGACAGAACCTCACGGCCTTCCAGCGCCAGTGGATCGACCCGGACACGGACCCCAAGTTCTACAACGTGTCGGTGCCCAAGGGGCCGTTCAACTTCGGCGGTCGACTCAACGATACGAACGAGTACACGCTCATCTTCTCGGACGAGTTCAACAGCTCCAGGCGCACGTTCGAGGCGGGCTTCGACTCCAAGTGGACGGCCATCGACATTCGCGACACGACCAACATGGGCCAGCACTACTTCCTGCCCCAGGCCGTGCAGATCGACAAGGGCAACCTCATCATCACCACCTCCAAGCCCAAGGAGCGCTACCGCGGCGCCAAGTACGTCAGCGGCAGCGTGCAGACCTGGAACAAGTTCTGCTACACTGGCGGCTTTGTCGAGGTCAAGGCCATCCTTCCCGGTAAGTGGGGCATCCCCGGCACGTGGCCGGCTATCTGGCTCATGGGCAACTTGGGTCGCGCGCCGTTCGGCGGTTCCCTGGACGACACCTGGCCTTGGAGCTTCGACGTGTGCGCCCCCTACGTGGAGAAGGGCGAGAAGGTCAAGCAGAAGATCAATGCCTGTGGCAACCTCACCGACAAGCACGACAAGGACTCGTACCCGGAGAGATACGGCATGAACCCCTTCCAGGGCCGCGGTGCCTCCGAAATCGATGTGATTGAAGCTCAGATTCGCGCCCGCGATGAGCCGGCGTACATTTCCACTTCGCTCCAGATCCGCCCCAGTGTCTACGACGATATGCGCCCCTCCCCTGACACGCTCCCTGGACCGGGTCAGTGGTACCAAGGCCTCAAGTATGGCGAGTTCACCAAAATCAACAGCGCCTACTACGGTGACTTGGGTCTGGACTCCATCTCTGCCCTGACGCAGCTCGAGTCGAACGCGTTCAAGTCGTACCACTTGTACCGTCTTGACTGGTCGCCCGGTCCGGAGGGATACATTCGTTGGTGGATGGACAACAACTTCTTGTTTGAGATCCCCGGCGAGGCGTTGAACAGGTGGATGGGCGGTGTGCCGCCGCGTCAGATCCCGGTGGAGCCCAGCTATCTCATTCTGAGTACGGCCGTCTCGGAGAAGTTCTCGCCGCCGTGTGAGGGTCAGATCTGTAACTCGCTGTGGCCTTCGAACTTCACGATCGACTATGTGCGCGTCTACCAGGGCAACCCGAACCGGTACACGTCGGTGGGGTGCAACCCTCAGGCCTACCCGACAACCGAGTGGATCTACGCTCACCCTGTCGACTATGGCCTCCCGTGGTACGTCTTGCTGCGCGTTGACATCGGCCTCCTCCAGCTGTTCGCGGTGATCAATGCCCTGGTGGGCCTCTTCATGGCTTTCCGTGGCACGTCCCACCCGAAGATGGCGTCGATCTACGCCAGCTCGTTGTGGCTCACAGCTTCATTCTATGGGGCCCTGAGTGCGGCCGCCCCTGACGATCTCGCTTGGATCCAGACCGCGCTTGCTTGCCTTTGTGGCTTGGTTCTGGGCGGCGTCTGCTGCTTGGTGTACCCGGTTTCGCTGGGCGCGATGCTTGGTTTGTATGGCGGTGTGATGGTCAGCCAATTTGTGCCTCTGCTCTCTACGCGCGTGATCACTGCCGTTCTTGTGGGTGTGGGTATCACGCTGGGAGCTGCACCGCAAGTCGACACCAAGCACGTCGTGATCTTGTCGACTTCGTTGCTCGGCAGTTTGGCGTTCTTGTTGTCGGTGTCGCTTTGGGTGAGCGAGGGCGATATTGCTGCGAACGCGTGGGATCTGGCAGGCTTCGTCTTTAACGGCAACAGCGACGACCACGTCGGCTTCTGCTCGGAGCACTGTTTGGCAATGTACGTGCTGCTTCTCGTGCTGAGTGCGACTACCACCGCTTTCGGATACTACCGCATGCGTGGAGTGACGCTGCGCAACAACACGATCAGTGCTCGCAAGGCTAAATTCCCGCCGGTTTCAGCTAGCTCCGACGCTCGGTCTTGGAGACCTGATGATGATGATGTGTCGGCGTCGGATAAGAACATGGTGAACTTCTTTTCCCCCACGAAGCTGCCGCACAACATGCAACAGTTCAGCACTATCTTCCGCATCGCTGTGAACGTGCAGCGCTGCTTTGGTTTCCAGCTGGATAACTTCCGCAACCAGACGGAGCACATCGTGGTGCTCCTTACGAACAACACGCGTAAGGGTGGAAACCCGTACCGAAAGCTTCATGAATTGGTGTTCTCCAACTACAACAAGTGGTGCTCGAAGCTGGAGATCCAGCCGCTGAATTGGAGTGAGCAGCGGGCCCCTCAAGGTGGCCTTACCAGCGTGGACGAGATCTCAGTGGACTTGTGTCTCTTCTTCTTCATCTGGGGTGAGGCTAGTAACCTTCGTCACTCTCCGGAGTTCCTGTGTTTCTTGTTCCACAAGATGAAGGAGGAATTCCCGTCGATCCGTCACTCTGAACGCGAAGCTGGACACTTCCTCGACACGGTGGTGACGCCTGTGTATGGTTTGCTGAGAGCTGAAATGACGTCCAAGCATGACCACGAGGATCGCCACAACTACGACGACTTCAACGAGTTCTTCTGGTCGAAGACATGCCTGAAATTTGACTACAAACACGAGGAGGTTCTCGACACCACGTCACCGAGCCCTGCTTTGATCTATCAGCAGAAGAAGAAGCAACGCGAGGGACTGGGTGGCTTCAGCAGCCGTGGTGGTCTCAATGGCGGCGCCAAGAGCAACAACTTCTTCAACAAGCGTAAGAGCATTGCGGAGGGATTCACCGAGTCTGCTAAATCGTTCGTTGAGAAGCGGACGTGGCTCCTCCCGCTGCGCGCCTTCAACCGTATCTTCAACTTCCACGTGATCTCGTTCCACTTCTTGGCGGTTCTGGCGTTCGCCAACGAGCAAGAGATGAATTTCCAGGACTCGTGCAAGATCATCTCGAGCACGCTGATCACACCCTTCTTGCTGGACATTCTGCGCGACGGCCTCGATATCTTCGCAGTGTATCATGTGCAACAGAAGTCGTTCTCGACGGCGCGTAACGTCATGCGTGTGCTCTTACACCTGGTGCTCGTGGTGGTATCGACGATGCTGTATTGGTACGCCTGGGCGTATGGCGGTTTGTGGTGGCAGTCGTACTACACGATTGTCGTGCTTTTCCACGTGCCAGGCCTGATCAACTGCGTCATGCAGGTGATGCCTGGTCTCACGAACTGGACGCGGCGTACTAAGTTTGCTCCAGTTGCCTTCATTCGTGATATCGTGAGCCCGATGAACCGTCTGTACGTGGGCGACAACGTGTTGGACCCTGAGTCTATGAGCCTCGGCTACCAGTTCTTCTGGGCTTCGCAGCTGGCTTGGAAGCTGTACTTCAGCTACAAGTTTGAGATTTATCCGCTCGTGGTGCCCACGTTCTTGTTGTTCGCTGATCACGTGGAGAACAACGTGAGCATGATCACGACGGTGTTCCTCATCTTTTTGAACTGGATGCCGTTCTTCTTGGTCTTCTGCGTGGATATCACCATTTGGAACTCGATCTGGATGGCCTTCACGGGTACCTTTGTTGGCTTTTCATCGCACATCGGTGAGATTCGCAACTTCAGCCGAGTTCGCACAGCATTCAGCCGCGCTGTGGATGCGTTTAACGCCAAGGTGATCGCCCGAAACTCGAAGACCGGCCTTCAGATATCAGAGAGCACTGGCATGTCGTATGGATCGACTTCTCTTGGGCACGAGGTGCTGGATCGTGTCGCCGGTGGCGCGGATCCGACGTCGCGAATCCTTTCCCAGCGGCGCACCTCTGTGCATGATGACGAGACTCCACTGCTGTCTTTCTCGCGCCGTAAACAGACACCTATGGAGCGACAGGCTGCGCGTCGGCGCAAATGGTTCTCCTTCTCTGTGGCGTGGGATACAATCATCGACAGCATGCGCGCAGATGACTTGATCTCGAACAAGGAGAAGGCACTGCTCCAGTTCCACCGCCTTGATGGTTACCAGCGCGAGATCTATCTGCCGCAGTTCCAGTTGGCTGGTTGCTTCGAGAACTTTACGTCAACGATTCTGGACATCTACTCGTCCAATGATGGCAAGGTGTCGGAGCGTGTTCTGCAGGACAAGTTGCTGGAAATTCTCAGCGAAAGCCCGATGGTAGAAGAATCCGTGGAAGAGATCTGGGAGCTGGCGAACTGGGTGCTCGTTAATGTGCTTGGTCCGTGCCACACGAACGATGTGAAGTACATTACCAGTGTGCTGAACTCGTGGGCTGCACGAGGTGTGTTCCGTGCGCTTAACCTGCAAAAGATTGCCCCTTGCGGTCGCGCTTTGGCTGGCCTGGTGTCGCTCCTGAAGTCCAACGTCCGTGCCTGGAAGAACAATGCCAAGGTTATCCCTGTGCGCAAGGATCCGTCCGATTACGCGTCGTACGAGTTCCCTCAGCAGTCAAGCTCATACCGCCCCGCATCGACTGGTCTTACGAAGTCTGCTAGTACGACGGGTCTGTCGTCCCTTGGGTTGGAGCCTCCTCGTCGCAGCCGTGGTTCTGGTGTTGCGCGTATTGCGCGTATGCAGCAGCAGACGCACAAGCCCTCGGTCAACAACGGCAAGTCCACGCACTCCATCCCAAGCGCGCACATCATGCAGATTCGCGAGCGTGTGCGTACATTCCTGAACTTAGGAAAGGAGATCCTTGCTCATGTTCACGAGCAAGACCCGGTGTACGCTGAAAGCAAGGGAATTTCGGACCGTTTGACCTGGATTCTCACCCAAGAGCGTGGTTTCATGTGGGACGACAACTACACAGGGGAGCAGATTACGCTGACCGCTTTTGAGAGTCACACAGACGTGGTGTTGTCACACCTGCACGGACTTTTGACCTTGCAGAAGATCGATGCTGAACCCCAGTCGTATGACGCGCGCCGTCGGTTGCTGTTCTTCGTGAACTCGCTGTTTATGGACATGCCGCTCGCACCCTTGCTCGAAGAGATGAAGTCGTGGAGTGTCATGACTCCGTTCTATGCGGAAGATGTCCTGTACTCGAGGAAGGACCTGGAGAGCAAGCAGGACGGTTTGGACGTTCACACGTTGCTGTTCCTGCAGACTCTGTACAAGCGGGACTGGGAGAACTTCCTTGAGCGAGTGAAGCCCAAGAAGAATATTTGGAAGGACCCGGAGTCTGCGATCGAGCTGCGTATGTGGGCTTCCCTCCGTGGTCAGACGCTGTCGCGAACGGTGCAGGGCATGATGTACGGTGAAGCTGCCATTCGTCTGCTTGCTGAGATCGAACAAGTTCCGCAACAGAAGCTGGAGGAGCTCATCAACACCAAGTTCACGTATGTCGTCGCGTGCCAGATTTATGGCCGCCAGAAGAAGAACAATGATCCGAAGGCAAGCGACATCGAGTTTTTGCTGCACCGATTCCCGAACCTTCGCGTGGCTTACATCGATGAAGTGCGCGTGAACTACCAGAAGGAGCAGTCATACTTTTCGGTGCTCATCAAGGGTGGAGAAGAGCTTGGATCGGTGCATGAGATCTACCGTGTGCGCCTGCCCGGTAACCCTATCTTGGGCGAGGGTAAGCCTGAAAACCAGAACTCAGCCATTGTGTTCACTCGCGGCGAAAACCTGCAGACTATTGACATGAACCAGGACGGATATTTGGAGGAAGGACTCAAGATGCGCAACCTGCTCGAAGAATTTGACAAGGGTACGGCTGACCGCCCGTACACGATTGTTGGTATCCCGGAGCATATTTTCACGGGTAGTGTGAGTTCGCTGGCCAACTACATGGCGCTGCAGGAGACGTCTTTCGTGACACTGAGCCAGCGCACGCTCGCTCGGCCACTTCGTATGCGTCTGCACTACGGCCACCCCGATGTGTTCAACAAGCTGTTCTTTATTACTCGTGGTGGTATCAGCAAGGCCAACAAGGGTATCAACCTAAGTGAAGACATTTTCGCGGGCTACAACAATTGCATGCGCGGTGGATCTGTGGCTTTCCCGGAGTACACGAAGTGTGGCAAGGGACGTGATGTCGGCATGCAGCAGATCTACAAGTTCGAAGCCAAGCTGGCGCAGGGCGCCGCGGAACAATCGCTATCGCGTGACGTGTATCGCATCAGCCAGCGCCTGGACTTCTTCAAGCTGCTTTCGTTTTACTACAACCACGTTGGTTTCTACTTGTCGACGTCGATCATTATCTGGACGGTGTACATTCTTCTGTACTGCAACCTGCTGCGCTCGTTGCTCTCATTGGAGGGTGTTGGCGGCCGCGAGCCAGTATTGCTGAGCAACTTGCAGTTGATGCTCGGATCAGTGGCGTTCCTCACGACGGCTCCGCTGCTTGCGACGATTTCTGTTGAACGTGGTTTCAAGGCTGCACTGAACGAGATCCTTGTTCTTTTCGTCACGGGTGGGCCGCTGTACTTCCTGTTCCACATCGGCACGAAGTGGTTCTACTTCGGGCAGACGATTCTTGCTGGTGGTGCGAAGTACCGCGCTACGGGTCGTGGTTTCGTCACGAAGCACTCGTCGTTCGATGAACTCTACCGGTTCTATGCTAGCAGCCACTTGTACGCTGCTGTGGAGATTGCCATTGGGCTCACGTTGTACTACAAGTTCACGGTCGGCCACCAGTACTTCGCGATGACTTGGTCGCTGTGGCTTGTGTTCGCTTCATGGTACTGGTCGCCGTTCTGGTTCAACCCTCTGTCGTTTGAGTGGTCGGATGTGATGGAGGACTTCCGTTTGTGGTTCAAGTGGATGCGTGGTGACGGTGGCAACCCGAACCAGTCGTGGGAGGCGTGGTTCAAGGAGGAGAACGCCTACTTCTCGACGCTTCGTCCGTGGTCAAAGGCTTGCGTTACGATCAAGGGTGGACTTTTCGCGCTGATCGCGTTCTCCATTTCTTCGACCGGCGACGAATACCACTCGATCCTGACCGAGTCCACATGGCTTCCGTTGGTTATCTGCTGCTCCATGGCTGCTGTTTATCTGAGTGCTGAGGCGGTCTTCTTCAATTCGTCGCGCGCTAATGGCGAGAACGGACTTGTCCGCTTCCTGAAGCTTCTTCTGGTACTTGTGCTGGGCGCTGGTCTCGTGCTTGCGTTCGTGTACGTCGACGGGATGTGGCAATGCCTGCTGAGCATGGGATATCTCGCAGCGGCTGTGGGCTGCTGGGCGCTTGTTCTCCTTGGTAGCAACTCGCGCTTTGTGGGCTCCCTGTACTTCGTGCACGATGCTGTCTTGGGTCTGGTGTCGCTGAGTCTCATTTTGTTGCTGGCGGCGCTGTACGTCCCCGGAAAGATCCAGACGTGGCTTCTCTACAACAACGCTTTGAGCCGTGGTGTGGTGATTGAAGATATCCTGCGTGCCAACTCGAGCAACGACGACCGTGATGACGACTTGTCGGTACAGCAGATGCGCTCCATCATCATCGAGCAGCAGCGGTTCATCAACGTGCTGACGGCTAGTGGCAGTGAGACAGACATTCGCGCTGCTGGACCAGGAAAGAAGGAGGACCTCATGCATGCGATGAGCGATAACACGCTTAACGCGGTGCTTCGGAACATGTCGGAGTCGGAGCTGAGTGCGTTGCAAGATTCGTCGAGCCGCCTGCAGGCCATCATGTCGGAGGAGGAGCGCAAGGTTGCTCAGCGCAAGCAGCAACAGGAAGAGCAGAGACTTGCTGAGGCTGGTATGAACCCATCGCTGTCACGCACGCGTCGTGCCTTCTCTACGAGCGATTTCTCGGCCATTCCGCCCAACGCGAGCTCGTTCAACCTCCCGAATGGCTCTGCTGCGCCTGGCAACGGTACCACGAACGCCTCTGCTGCTAACGGCCCTCATGCTGCGGTGTAGATGCTTGCTTACGTAGATTTGTTAGACGAACCAAGGTAGAGCGAGAAGCCACTCGGCCTGTTGCATTTTGGATAATGGATTGCCTTGTGTTCATGCGGAGTGTTTTCATCCCAGTCTTATTGACACTTTACATGTACGCTACAGGACACCTACTTCGTACTTCGCTGAAGTGATACACAGAGCATTGGAGGTTGAGGAACCACTAGGGTCTATAATTTGGGCAGGACTGCCCGTCGTTGCGGTCTCTCGTCGGACATTGCTCAGACGTCGGATTGCTTCCTGGGCTTCTTGCCGAAACCACTGAGGAATTTCATGTTCGCGCTCAGCTTTTTCGACAACGAAGTTTTCTGCAGCGGGTCCACGCTGTTCAGCACCGCAGTCTTGAAGTTTTCTGTTACTTCTGAGGCGCAGCCGCATTCAACGAGTTTCTTCTCAATCTCGCCCAAGTTCTTTTCCGAGACGGACCGAATCACCTCCAAGTCGTCGCCCAGCTGCGACGAAGACACGTGGGAATAGATTTTGCGACTATCGGAAGCGAAGCACTCGTCAATATCTTGACTTGGTGACATGGCCAAGTTGGCGAAGAGCTGCTGAATTGCTGGCGAATTCTTCTCGATGAAAGGATTAAGCACCCTACAGACGACAGAACAGTACCAGGTTAGAAAATCACTCGGACACTACAGCATCAACACCAGATAAAGCATACTTGAAATCCGGCTCCCGGTCTCCAAACTTCACACCAGTCGCTGTCTTGAACAGCAACTTAGTGACGAGTACAAGTACACGTCGGGTTTCTGGTGGAGGTAGCTGCTTCGTGAGACCGTATAAATGCGGGGTGGTGATGGCTGGGCACACAAACCGAAGGAAGAGGAAACCTCCGATCACAGACTACGTAACAAGCACGATCCCGTTAGTCCCGCAAAGCATAATGATTTCATGAAACGGCCATCCTGGCTAAGCTTAAGCACATACCCGTGTCAGAGTAGACGCATCCTCTCCCTGGACCCCTTCTTTAGAGCCATCAAAACGACTGATAACCTTTGAGTTCAAGTGCGAGCAGATATGGAAATAAGACGACGGAATCTATACAGCATCAAGCAGCACAATTTTGGTCAGTATCACGCCAAGCCACGATGAGGTTACACGCAACTTACGTAGTTTGCGTTTTTCATGATCGAGTCGATGATGTTCTGGCATGTCCGCATCAGGTTGGCCGCATTAGCGTCCGCTTGGTCCTCGTTCTGAAGTGACTCTTCCTTGTGTGGGTTTAGCTCCATATCGGCAATCTTCAATTTAAATATCTGGCGGATGGGATCCGAGAGAGCCACGCGAATAAACTTGGATCCAATGGCTTTGCTGTATGTGGACACGAGCCGACTCGCATAGTCATCCGACCGGAATAGAGTAGCCACGTTGATGACCGAGGCGACCTCAATTTCGATTGCCCAACGAATAAGGTTGCTGAGGCGGTTGCGACTCCCGAATACCCGAAGGAAAGGGGCAAGCAGAAGCATTTTGTCTTCCCGCCCAGCACTTTGAAGAATAGAAGCCACGACTGACATGGTATCTTCAACCACGAGTGACGGGAGGTCTTTCGGTGTTTGTGGCGAAGGAGGTCGAACTGGAACTTCGAAGTCTCCACTGAAGAAATCGCGTGCCGACCTTGCATGCGAGAAGAGACTGCGTATCCTTGGGCTTGTTCCGGTAGACGAACCCGTTGAGGGCGAACCCGACCTAGCAGAACGCTGCCTTTCAGCCTCCTCCGACTCGTCCTCTTCCTTCGATGGTTCACCGTCAATTCCTTGACGAATCTCAGCGATAATTTCATCGCTGATGACTACCTGGTCTGGCTGGCGTGACTTATCCGGCTGAGAAGACACAATAAAGTCCTTCATAACCTGGTGGATGGAGTCAAGGAACCCACTTGCCTCCAAGAATTGACTGTCCGACTGTAGAAGCATCACAGAAAATAAGAAGTCTGGTTTTGAGAATGTGGTAGAAATCGAAGAAACGTACCGCTTCAAACTCTGACAGGCGCTCGATCTCGCCCTCGTCGTCATCATCGTAGAAAAGGTCATCTTGCGTGATGGAGAAGATGCTTTCGTTGCTGTCGTTGGAGTTGATCTGGCTCAGTGCAAATTCTGTGACGTCTAACGCAATTTGCGCAAGTTAGCCACAAGTGACTTTAACTCACAAACAATAGTACACCACAAACCTGAAAAGGATGATTGAGATTCAAGCAGCGACGAGGAGCTTGAAGTTGTCTTGAGCGGGACCTAAACGAAACATTCACCAAAACGCACCATCAGTAAACCATAGACTCCTTGCCTCGAAACAGTAACAAACTACCTTCGCAGGCCTGATATCAGCTCGGAGTGATGACTGCAAATTGCGTGCGATTTCGGCAAGCTCCATCGCCTGCTGCTGCAAAAAGTCATTCCCAGCACTGCCACCCGAGTCGAATATACCCCCACCACTGTGCGACCCCTGGAAGCTCGAGGTAAGGGAGCCATCCTCGCTGCTCTCACGCGTTGACGATGAATCCGTGAGATCATCTTTGTTCAGGCTGCGCGCCATCTCTGCCAGCTCCGCTGCCTGCTGTTGAATGGAATCATTCTCCGCTACATCGCGACAGCTCGTCGACGTTGCACTCAACGTGGACGAGTCCTTACACGGCAGCTCCTCCTTCGGAGCTACAGAAGCTGGTGTGGCCTTCTGCCGAAGATTTACAGCTGCTGGTACAAACTCTTCTCGTTTAGAAGATGTCACTGCTTCCACTTCATCCGATTTTGCAACTTGATCGTCCCGCTCAGTCGACTCGTCCACTAGACTCAGGTTCTGGAGCGTTCCCCGCCTTCTTTCGCGGTGGCCATCACCCTGGTCAACATACTCCTCCTCCCCTTCGCTTTCAGGAGTGTCTTCGTCCTCTGACAGCACGTCCAATGCTGCCGAGCCGCTAGACAACTTGCACATCTCGATCGCAGCGTCGTCCAGCATAGTATCCAGATCCACCTCACCTGGGCGCGCTTCGCTTGTCCGCTCGATATCATCTTCTCTTGTATCTACCCGGGCCTCTAGTTCGCGTCCTCGTTCTCTTTTTGGCTGATCTCCGGATCTTTCAAGTTCTTGTTCCTTTTCTCTCTTTTCCACGTCTTCTTTCGTTCCTTCAAGCTGTGCTAAACGCTTCTGGAGCTCTTCAATCTCCTTCTTTTGCTGCTCCACCATTAACAACGCATTCCTCAGCAATTCCGACGATTCCTCGTCCTCACTGTTAAGCTTTCGTCTCCTCGAATGAGCCCCACGAGGCGACACCGTGCGCGCTCGCGGCGATTGCACAACTATACCGGACGTCACAGACGTCGACGACGCCGAGCTGGACGACCTGGACAGCCTCCTCGCCAGTGCGAGCGCCGCCTTGCCATCCATGCTGCCCTTTCTCGCTCCTCCAAGCCTCCCAGACGCTTGCCGTAGCTGCTCGACCCACTCCAGGCGCGCTTCATGCGACGGCGCTCGGAACAGCACCACGCGTCCGCTGCAGGATGTGACCTTCCAGCACGGGCCACAATCATCACCTCCCGTGGCGGCGTCTCCGTGACGGAATATGCGGTCCACGGCCGTGACGTCGGCGTCGACCAGCGGCACGACGGCGCGCGGCCAATCTCCCAGGTTGGCGTAGTAGAAGAGCGTCTGCGCGTAGATGCCGACGAAGTAGGGCTCCCACGGCGACTCGAAGCGCCGGCCCTTCTTGTGCAGAATACGCAGCGTGGTGCGCTTCTCGAGTTCCAGCCCCGTGAGCATCAGCTCCGGACACTTGACCAGCTCGGGACGCGCGGCCACGCCGGCCTCGGCCTCCTCGTCGATGGGGATCTGCACAGTAAGCCGCGAGCTGCCGAGGCCCGAGACGCTCGGGTCAAACATCGACGACCGCAACGGCATGAAGACGGACGGACGGTCGGTGCACTACGGCCACAGTATCAGCTCTAGCGGCAGGTGGGCAGTGGTGTGCTGTGGTGGTCGGCGGACAGGAAGCGAGCGCTATGCTCCAGCCGCGGACCGTCAGTGTCGGGGTCTTCTTAGACGCCTCGCTGCGGAGCGGAATACAGAGTGAGGCGACAGGTTGTTTTAGGCGCAGCGAATCGGTGCAACGTCTCGTTTGAACAGCTCGCTGCTATGAAGGTGTCATAAGGTCAGTTGGAGCCGCAATAAAGGGTCCGTACCGGAACGCCCCGGCTATGGCACCCCACTCTGATACAAGCCGACGACTACAAGTCGCAAAGCAGGGCGCCGTCTAGCGAGAGAGACGACGAGGAGCTGCCTGCCCGCCCTGTGACGGTCACATGCCCCGCTGGAAGGCGTTCGCGGAGCTGCTGGACGAAGAGCACGGGATAGACTCGGCCGGCAAAGATAGTCAACACCACTGCCGCCGCCGCCGCCGACTGACCGACTGACGCGCCCTGCTTGGGGATCGACCCGTCACCGAGTGCTCGACGTCCCCGAGTCACGCGTAGCGCGTAACGCGCGCGCGGATTGCCGCTCGCGCTCTGCGCCGTTGGCTTGTCCTCGCTCGACGTTCCCATGGCGGCGCGGCCATGAATCCCGCTCGCACTCTGCGCCGTCGGTGCTCACAGCGGTGCTGGCGGAAATTACAATCGCGACGAGCACGCCGAGCCACGGGACCGGCACTCCGGCTTTTTTATTCGAGAGCTCGACGAGCACCAACGCCGATCTCTGGTCACTGACCGGCGGTCAGTCGAGTGATGCCCTCGCGGCGGCGCCAGCATTGCCGACCACACAAGCGCAGCGAGCCTTCGTCCTGCGGAGGACAACGTACTGTACAGTACACCTCCGTCTGGCGCTGACACGCGTCCACATCCCATGCATTCGACTGCCTATCCCAGCAAGCAATGCGACTCGAAAAAAACTTGAAAAGCCAGCGCTGCGTGCCCGCGCCGCGGTGCAATGGAGCTCTTTCTCCTGGCAGGTTCAGTACATGTAGAGGTCACTGCCATCGGCTCGTTTTGCGATATTCGACGAGCGCCTTTCGGTGGAGTCCTCCTCAAGGATCTCGGCTGGGGCTGATTACCAGGTTGGAATCGATAGAGAGCAGCGCCGATCGCACGACCAGCAGCGCCGTCGTCGCCACTGCCACGACCGTTCTCGGCAACGGTGGAGGCAAAACGTCCTGGGTCCGTCCCTCCCTTTCGTCTGCACCCCATCGGAGACCATAGTCCTCAGCTTACGTACGGCACGGTTGGAGGCGCGCTCGCTCTACCTCCCGCTAAGCGGTTCGCTTGCAACACGACAAACCACGGATTCTCCGCACACTTCACTCGATTACGAGCGCCATACCGTCAGGGCGATCCGGGCGCGGCGCACAGCTGAAGATGCACTTAGCCATGCTCGGGATCCTGAGTATGCTCGGCGCTGCTGTGACGGCAAGTTGCAGTGACGGTCTTGAACTGGCCAGCCAATCACTCGCGTCCTTCCCATTTTCAGCCAATGCGACAACTTCCCTTTCCGCGGTCCCGGTTCGAGCGGCGGTTCGGGGTCGCGCCATACATCCGCGCAGAGTAAGCTGAACCGGTCCCAAACCGCGCCAGATACAGGAAAATGAGGTGCTGGTGGCCGCCGATCGCTTGGCCACCGGAGCTCCTCCATTTTCGAGCAGCCCAGATCAGCAGCATCTTACTCGTCTCGCCCGGCAGCCATGGTACGTTCCTCGCGAGCTCTCCGCTCCACGCGACATGGCAACAGCCGCGCGATGCGACGGGGAGGGCGGGAGGGCGACGTGGGGGGAGTCAACAGGAAGCCCGCCATCTGCAGTGTCCAGGTGGAAACCAGCGCGATCTTTTGCGCTAGCGGACGCTCGCAATGGTGGCGGATCCCCCTCCCCTGTTCGTCGCCCCCGTGGCAGCTTCAATGTAAGCTCCCAGCCGCCCCCCTCGCCTCCTCAGCCCGCGTATCTTGTAGGGTAACTTGAACAGGTCGCTGACTGGTGAGATGCTGTATATGCAGTCCAGCAAGAACTTCTTCGCCGCCCTCGACTCGGATGACGAGGACACGCCGCGCGTGAACAAGAAGGCCACGCCGCCCCCGTCGGCCCCCGTGGCTCTGAACAAGCCCGCCGCCGGCAACAAGAAGGCCCCCAAGAAGTCGGCCCCCGCCGCCGAGAAGAAGGAGTCGCGTGGCCCGCGTGAGGGCGGCCGTGGCCCGCGTGAGCGTGGCGAGCGTGGCCGTGGCAACCGTGGCCCCCGCCGCGAGTTCGAGCGCCGCAGCGGCACCGGCCGCGGCAAGGAGACCAGCAAGCAGGGCGGTGGTGCCCGCAACTGGGGCAACAAGGCCGACCCGAACGAGCAGCTGGCTGAGGCTGCTGCCCAGGAGGGCGCTAAGCCCGCCTCGGACGAGGAGGCCGCTGAGGAGGCCGCCGTCGAGGAGGAGGAAGAGGAGGAGGTGCAGCTCACCCTCGACGAGTACCTCGCCAAGCAGAAGTCCGCTCGCTCGGGCGAGCTGTTCGCCGAGGTGGAGATCCGCCAGGTGGCCAACGAGTTCACCAGCGCGGTGCAGATCACCAAGGAAGGCAAGACCGAGGACTTCATGGCCTCGCAGTACGAGAAGGTCTACAGCAAGAAGACCTCGGGCCGCAAGAAACAGCTCATCACCGACGTGGGCTTCCGCACGGAGAAGCCGGAGCGCTTCACGCGTGACTTCGACTCGTCGCGCGGCGGACGTGGCCGTGGTGGCCGTGGTGCTCGTGGCAACGGCCGCACCGGTGGCCGCGGTGGCCGTGGCGCCAACGCCCCGAACGTGACGGACATGAGCGCCTTCCCCAGCCTCGGCTAAGGGATCGCGCTGCGACGAACCGGAATCGCGCGCCCTTGAGCGCCAGCGACATGATGAGTGAGATCTTCCAAAAGAGGGCTTCTCGAGGACTGGTTTGGCTATCTCTTTTTCTCCTTTTCCCCCCACGAAAGATCCACCGGATAGGGCCTCTGCGCGGCTGGTGTCTGCCTGACTGTGTATCCTCCTGCAGGCAGCCAGCCGTCGTGCGGAAAGTTAGAGAAATTTTTGTTAGCGTGAACTCAGTCTTCTCCTTGGTCTATTATTCAATGCAGCGGGCTGGGCTTATTGCGAACGAAAATACTGATGTTATCATCATCCCGCGTGTCTTCTCTCCGTTTGATTTTGCGTGTTCAACATGTCCTGATATTGCGGTGTTTACACATGTCATGTTTGTGAACAAACCTTCGTTTCCGCAGTTGTCACAGGTGCTACAGGATCGAGGCCCCCCTTCTTCTACTGACAGTTAGTTGACTGTACAAGTTCGCGATCTTTGTCGATAGATACTAGGATGGTGCTGTGAGCCGCCCGATGAAAAGGTGCTTGCCACCGGTTGTAAGTCGTCCCCGTTTGAATATGCCAACTTCAAACGGGGGTCTGGTTTCCCTGACGGTCTCGCCTCCTTCATCATCATCCTCCTCGTCCTCATCGTGCTCGCGACAGAAAATGCCCCGCCCCGAAGGAAAGCCATGAGCCCACGTACCGATGAATCTCCTTCCGTCTGGCGAAGACCACGAGCCGTAGCCATGGATCACATCCTTATACCAATCGCCTTCGTAGACCTCTCCAGAGGCGAATATCAAGGTACCAACGCCATGTCGCTCTCCAGCTTTGTACTCGCCAGTGAAGACACTACCGCACCGGAAGCGGTGTACACCCGCGCCACTTAGCTTGCCGTTAACCCATGTTCCATGCAGAGATCCGCCTGCCGAGAGGTATACGCCTTTGCCGTGCATTAAGCCTTGGCACCACGTGCCTTCGTGCGAGTCACCACCCACCCACTCATACTTGCCAAACCCCTCGCGCTCACCCTTCACAAAATACCCCTCGTACTTGTCCCCTGAACTGAACACCTTGATACCCCAGCCGCTTACTTGGTTGTGCCGCCAGGCGCCATCTATCATTTCTCCTGATGAGAAGATCTTCTTGCCTTTGCCATGCATCATCCCCCTTTTCCATTCACCTAGACGAGCAGCACAGCGGACATGTTCAGCCTATCGAAAGGCGAGAAGGCACGCAAAGCAGCAAGTCTGCACTTCGCTCCTCACCATCGTAGCTGTCGCCATTCTTCCAGAAGAACGTGCCGTTCCCATGCATCTATAGTTGTTCAACCCACGGTTAGGACATTGCCATGTGCCACATATTGCACTGCCAAGAATTGCGAAATACCTTGCCAACCCGCCAATTGCCGACGTATTTGTCACCGTTCGCCCACAGGTACGTGCCCGTTCCGTGGCGGTGGTTCTTGCGGTACAAGCCTTCGTGGCAGTCTCCTGTTCCAGCAAACGTCTGCATGCCAAAGCTGCTCAACTCGCAAGACTGGAAACGTTAATTCACATACTTCGACAAGACATCCGCCCAGACCATGGACGCAAGATTCGCACCCTTCAAAGTCTCCGTGCACCCATCCGCCTTCAAAGACGTGGCCCGATCGTAGGATATGAACGCCGGTACCATGCTTTCGCTCTTCATCATCCACGCCCCCTTCGTAGCGGCTGCCGTCAGCGTACCGGATCACGACGTCCCCTTGCGGCTTCTTCCATCGGATGGATACAATCTCCGGGCTGCGATTTCCCGGTCCAGGCGATTCGTCCGATTCTGACTGCGGTGTTGGCTCCTTCTTTGAGCGTCCGATAGCCTCCGACGCATCAGGTCGGTACGCAGCGCGCGTTCCGCGGCGCCGCCCGCGGTTCCCCATTGGAAATGGCCGGCGTCGATCAAAGTGTTAACAAAATAACCAACACTCACGTAAACCGAGTTGATACCGAAAAAAACCGATGTCGGTAGAATTCGGTATGCCAAACCCGTCTATTGCTAAAACTAGTAATGGAGCATCTCAGTCGCGTTGCTCCGTTGAGTTGCTTCGGGGGTCGACACCCTGCAGTGGAGTCTGTTGGAATGCATATTGCAGGCCAGCTTCAACTGCAGCAAGTTGAAGAATGAGCCTGGGACCTGGACTGGTGGTAAGACATGCAGCAGTAGGAGTTCTCAGAGAACCAGGTCCCTGTATGAGAAAGAGGCAAATGCCCGTAGGAGCTGGCAGCAGCTCCACCGCTAATCTATTTACCTTTCCTTTTGCCTTCTTTCGTGAAGAGCGTTCGGCCGTCGGATCTGGTACAACGTCCGACAGGGTTATGAGCCCAAACCAGCGGACTTGCTACTGCACAGGAAGCGATCCAGGATGACGGACCACGTCGGAGGGTGTGTCCAAGAACTGGAAGGGCAAGGACTGGCAGGCATACAAGTTTGCGATGCAGATAGTGTTTCGTGAGGCGGAGCTCATGGAGATTGTCGATGGGACGATCACCAAGGAGACGCTGTCGGATGCGGAGAGTGAGGAGAAGTTCGACAAGAAACAGACCAAGATCATGCGCTTGATTGGGATGTCAGTGCCGTCGGAGATCTTGCACCAGATTAGGGACAAGATGACAGGCACGGAGATGTGGGAGGCCTTATGTGACCTGTTTGAGAACAAGGTGAATAAAACTGTTAAGGCTCACACTATTCGTCGCCTTCGTGATGAACTCTGGACTGTGAAGTTTTCGCCGGGTGGAATTATGAACCTGCACTTGAGCAAGATGTTCAATATCCGGACTGAGTTGCAGACATTGCAGTATGCAGTTGATGATATTGACATGGTTGAGATGATGCTGGAGAGCTTGCCGGCCCAAGCAGAGTTCGAGAGCCTGAAGTCGTCAATTCGCTACAGTGCAGACACTACTATGTTCACACCAACCAAGGTCCGCGAGTTGATTCGTGCTGCCGCTGCCCGCCAAGTCGAGTTCCGTGGCAAGGGCCAGCGTGGAGGACCTCGTGTAGGGAGTAATGGTGGGGCTAGTGGAGTGAATGGGACGAAGAGCAGAGCTGATAATCAGCATGAGGAGAAAAGCAGCGACTCCAAGAAGAAGAAATTGAAAAAGTGCTTCATCTGTGGGAGTACTGCACATCTCAGAGCTGCTTGCCCAGATAGGACTGACAAGTGGTGATGGCGCTAATGCAACTGAGCAGAAGCGTAAGCCACGAGGAAATGTGACTATTCGACAGGAGGTCCGCGAATCTCCGAGCCCAGATAGTGACAACGGTGGCTCTAGCGTGGAAATGGCCGCGCTGGACCAGATGATACTTGACGCTGGGGTCGAGGTGGACATACGGGATCCAGAACCCGAGAGTCCTGGTGATGTAGATGCTCATGAAGCGAACAGTGCTGAAGCTGACGATGCAGTTGGAGACTCCAATGGATGGTGGTTCTTCGACACTGCGGCAAATGCGCACGTCACAGGAAACCTGGTGGACTTCGTAGTATTTACGGAGGATACCAGTCAGTCACAGAGCGTGCACGGAGTGGCACCTGCTCTTGCATCGCGGATTGCAGGAGTAGGAACTGTAGCTTTGGTGACGAAGTGGATGGTGAACGTGGAGTAGTTTACCTGAATGATGTCGTTTACGTTCCCGGTGCTGAGCACGGACTCTTTTCACCTGGACTTGCCGCGGAGCAAGGATTCGACTTTGACTATGAGCATGATACACTGAACTTCCGCATCAAGTATGAAGGTCGGACTGTTATCGTGGCTTCGCCGTACGAGGCAACGTGGGGATTCTTTGTGACCCATCCTGTGAATGAGGGGCTAGAGCTGCCTTGAGACAAAACAAGGTGTAACTTTACTACGATTGATGGAGTTGCTTCACTTGCGCTCTGGCACGAGCGACTTGGACGCATCTGCCCACAGTACTTGAAGACCATGGTGGACAAGGGTCTGGTGAAAGGACTGATGTTGACGAGGCGCGAGCAACAAGACCCTTGTGACGCATGTCATTTAGGGAAGCAGAAGAAGACACCACATACCAAGAAGCTGAACCGTGGGCTGAAAGCGCCTAATCAGGCAGTGTATGTGGACTTGCTAATCCCAAGTCAGGGGAATGGCACTCGCTTTGAGGCGGTGCTGGTGATTATGGATGGCTACTCCCGGTTCGTGACCGTGCACATGTTGAACAGCAAGTCGAGCAAGGTCATCAACCAGCATATTAAGGAGTACATCTTGTGGGCCGAGCGTCAAGCCGGCAGGAGCAAGGATGGTGCAGAGCGTGTGAAGTACAGAGTTCGCCAAGTCTGGACAGACAAAGCGGTGAGTTTATGAACTCCGCCATGAAGAAATGGTACCGCGCTCATGGCATCGAGCACATACGTGTCGGACCCAAGAGCTCCCAACTAAATTTGTGTGAGCGAACCAATCTGCCACTCGTTGGGATGATGAAGGCGATGATGCTGGACTCTGGGTTTCCGACGAGCTTGTGGCCCGAGGCTCTGAGAAATGATGTCTACCTGAAGAACCGAGTGTTCAACAAGGGGCACGGTGGTGTTCCGTACGAAAAGATGTTTGGAGTCAAGCCAGACGTCCACCACATCCGCAAATTTGGGGCGCTCGCTTACGTCCATGTTCCCGTTACTCCTGGGCGGCGCAAGTTCAGTGACAACGCTAAAGTCGGGTTCCTGCTCGGCTATGCGGAGGATGTTGTGGGGTGTAAAGTATATTTCCCTGTAGAGCATACAGCCAAATTTGTTGCGGATTTGCGAATTGCGGAAGATGTTGTTTACCGCGATCGTTACGAGCTGGTCGAAGATGCAGATATGGAATCGCTGCACTTTGAGCATGTGCCTGCAGCTGATCGAGACGCAGACACTGGAGCGGATGAGACTGTTGTTAGTGGCGAAATGGAGAGCACAGTGATGGCTTCGGTTGGAAGCGAGTCTCCGGGCTTGCAGTCCCGTGTACTCGAGGGAGGCGAGGAAGACAGTGCGCGTGAGGCACGATCTGCAGTGTCTGGTGCAGCTGGTTCTGTAGTTGCAGAAGGAGCTGAAAGCAGGGAGGCGACTCTGTTTATGGCAAGTGCTGCTCACATCACAGACATTGAAGGTGTGACGGCAGCGATCCCCACTGAGGTTGGACCTACACATGCACGGCTGACCAATACGTCACCATCTCAAGCGGCAACGCAACGAGCTGCAACCGCGAGCAGCGAGAAACCGCAGGAAGATGAAGTGAGCGATGGGAACGAGTCGCCTACTGGTGTCTGTGGATCCGCCGCTGCGTTAGAGCAACTGGACGAGATTGATGAGGAGGAAACTCAGGATGAAGTCGATGATATTGATGAGACTATTGAGCACGAGGAGTCCGTAATTAATGACGATCAAGTTACGGTGGCTAGTGTGTGTGGATCAATGACTATTGACGATCATGATGGGTGTCTGCAAGACATTCAGTCTGAGCATGGAGGCAGCGACTCGGCTGCCGTGGAGTTCGCCAAGCAGACGGGAAAGCGGACGCACCGCGACGAGACGAAGTCCGAGGAACTGCGCGTGGAGCAGGATGCTGACAAGCAGCAGCCGAAGCGAACCCGGACTGGTCTTCGTAAGTATCACGAGCGGCGTCGCCCTCGTTATCTGGATGACTATGAAGTGAATGTCGCGCAGTGTTCGGCCTGAATCTTGGACAAAGATGGTAAACCTATTCTGGCGAGCAATGTGAAGCTCCCGAAGAATCGCCGCGAGTTGTACAGATCGAAGTACCGAGAGTTCTGGCTGCAGGCAGATTTGGAGGAGATGAGCGCGCTGCGTGCCAAGGGAGTGATCAGAGAGATTCCCTGCGAGGAAGTTCCGGTGGATGCAAAGCCGATTAGTACACGTTGGGTGCGGTCTCTTAAGACTGATCGCCAGGGATATGTGATTCGTTTCTAGTCGAGAATTGTAGCTCTTAGAAACTACCAGAGACCTGGAATTGATTTCTCCGAGACGTTCGCTCCTGTCGCGAGAATGTCCTCGTTCCGGGTGTTCGTGGCACTTGCTGCTGTGCTACATCTCCTGCTCTACGGCGGCGATATTAACACCGCGTACCTGAATGCCTTGCTGGGGATCTACCAGTGTCTCAAGTCGATTGAAGGGTTCCCCTGCAAGATTAACGGGCACATGTACGTGGTGGTGAAGGCATTGTATGGACTGAGGCAATCGGGGCGTGAATGGAACACGGAGTTGAACAACTGGTTCTTGGCGCATGGCTACCTCCGCTCTCTCACTGAACCTTGCCTGTACTACAAGTTCGGAACAGACTCGATCATGCTCGTGCTTGTCTACGTTGATGATATTATGGTTGCGACCAACAATGAAGAGGACAAGTGCAAGCTGTTTGAGGAGCTGAATGTGGCGTACGGCATTAAGGACCAGGGGCTTCTCAAGGAATACCTGGGCATTAAGGTGGACCAGACTGATGAGGGCATCACCATTCGCCAGAGCAAGTATGCTCGAGAGGTATTGCGGACATTTGGATACGAGAACGTCCATGCAGTGGGCAACCCGATGGAGACAAATGTTCGGCTGGCGCCTTTGGATGCGAGTGAGGAGTCTGACACTAGCTTTGACTATCGAAAGGCCGTCGGGATGTTGATGTACTTGGCTACGGGAACGAGACCCGACCTGGCGTTTGCAGTGGGGCAACTTAGTCGGTTCGTGGCCAAGCCATCTGCCAGACACGTGGGGACACTGAAGCGTGTTCTGCGGTACCTTGCTGGTACAGTAGACTATGGCATATCGTATGAACGACCTACGGATGTGCCAAACACTATTGTATTTGAAGGCTTTTGTGATAGTGACTGGGCCAATGACCCTGAGTCACGTAAGAGTACTACCGGGTTCGTGTTCTCGCTAGC